ATTTTATGGCTGTAGTTGACTTACCTAAAATACCGGTGCAGGAAGAATATTATTATCGTCAATTATCTGTCAATACTTTTCGTATTCATAATTTAAACACGAATAATTTATTTTGTTATGTTTATCATGAAGCAACAGCAAGAAAAACGCAAAATGATGTATGCTCTTTTTTGGTTCATTATATCAATAGTTTTGTTGATGATGATGTTGAGGAATTGCATTTGTTTTGTGACAATTGTGCTGGGCAAAACAAAAACCACGCATTACTCAGAATGATTATGGCTCTAGTTGAAATTAAAAAATTCAAAAAAGTTCAGGTGTTTTTTCCACAAAGAGGACACTCGTTTTTGCCGTGTGATCGTGACTTTGCATTGATAAAAAAGCAACTGAACAGAGTGGATTGTCTATACACTTTAGAAGACTATATAGAACTTATTTTAAAATCATCAAGAAACCCAGAAAAATTGTCAGTGTTTCTAGTTGATAAAAGTATAATTTATAACTATCAAATGTGGTTTCCACAATTTTATATTAAAAATACTAACGCATTAGAATGTTTAAGCCGTAATAAAACATTAAAACAACGTCGTACAATAGAAAAATTTTTAATTTCTAAGTACCATTATTTTGAATGTGTATCGGAAAAATGTGGAATAATTAAGGCAAGTGAATTTATTGACGGAATAATATCAAACCATTTCAAATTGAGAAAAAACAATGCAATGCCCATACAACTCCCAAAAACACTAGTTTATACTTCAAGCTTACCAATTCTTGAAAGCAAAGTGAAAGATGTGAAGCAATTAGCGAAATATATTTCAGAGCCAGCATTGCAATCATTTTGGAATTATATTATATTTTCGTTACAAACTGAGACACCTCAAGCAAGGCAAAATAGAACATAAGATATTAAATATCTTTAATTATATAAATTTTATATAATTCAATTTCTAATTATTAAAAAGATATCANAAAGCAAAATGAAAGATTTGAAGCAACTAGCGAAATATATTCCAGAGCAAGCATTGCAATCATTTTGGAATTATATTATATTTTCGTTACAAACTGAGACACCTCAAGCAAGGCAAAATAGAAAATAAGATATTAAATATCTTTAATTATATAAATTTTATATAATTCAATTTTTTTCAAATATATCAAGTTTTTTGTGTTTCCTGAAAAATTTTAAAACTTGGACATGTGTCCTTTCTGCATTTAGCGGTTCAATTAATTAATTAATATATAATTATTTGTTCAAGATTCTGTAAGAATAAATGTTAAATGTAAACAAATATAATTTTGTCACAATTTTATGGAATAATTATGAGAAAATGAGTATGTAAGTTTCTCACAAAGTTATATAATATATATATATATATATATATATATATTATTAAATTACGCAAATAAAAACATTCCTACAATTTTCTATTAAAGATACATCGCTTTCTGGACAGACAGTGGCTTGATTGTTGGCTGGTGATCGCGTGCTTCGGGATCGGCGTACTACGAACGAATGTGTTTCAGCCGGCCGGACGGTTGGTATTTAAGTAATCCGTCCGGCGGCGGCGGCGGCGGCGCTGTTGTTGCGTGGCATTACGTCGTTACGCGGTGGTGGTGGCCGGCTGTCGGGAGTTCTGTGGCGCAGCGGTGTAGTTTGGATTTGTATGGGTGCGCGTACTGTGATCTGCTAGTCTACATTTGTGCTTGTTATCTCCTGGCGTTGTAGGTACCGACCAAAATACGGTTTTTTATGGCAGGAAAAATGATGTTCATATGGAACTTCTTTTGGGACGTTACACAGTGTATTATTATTTGTTCTGAAGTACTTGCAAACGAAAGTATGCACCCGAATAAATTACGTCGGCATATTGAAACCTAATATTCTGATTAGAAAGATCAACCACTCTTTTACTTTGAAACAATGCTTAAAGAACTAAAAACGTCTAGAACAAAATGTATTATTTACCAAATTTAACGAAAAAGCTATTAACGCTTTATACCTGATAAGTTTACGATCACAAAAGCTGGTAAGTCACATTTAATTAAAGAGACTTTTGAGCTGCCAGCTATAAAAAATGCAGTTAGATTATTGATTTTATAGGAATTAAAAACAAATTTTGACGAGAATTGTAAATATTACGGTTTTTCAAAACATCTATAACCGAACTTCGCTCTACTTCTAAGTAATTATAAATAAAAAAAAAAAAAACGTTCACTTGTTATTTTTCGATTGAAGTAATATTTCTAGTTGAACATATGAAAATAATTAAACAGGGACGCTTCGTTGCTGTAGATATTAATCAATTTTATTTTTTTGGTTTTTCCCAATTATTTGGAAAACTACTTTAGACATCAAAAACGACTTACTCTGTCGGTAGCGAAATACTAATAAGAGCAACATCGACTTTTTATTGTAGAATTTATAAATATAATTTTTAAAATTGAAGTCCAATGTGCTCTGACACTAGTTTTCCCCTTTAAAACAAAAAACAATTATCATAATCTGGTCGCTCTATAAGGTGTGAGAATTTTTACTGTAAATCTGGGGACACACTATTATTACGTCACGTGAGCTCACGTCTTATTTCGCTAACTCACGTCACGTCACGTCACACAGTTAATATGTGAAACCTATAAATACGTTCTGTTTTAATCTGTTAGAAACAAACTAAACCCCACTCACGTGATATTTTACTATTTTATTACGCCTCACGTGATATCACGTTTCTATTTTTCTATCATTTCACATATTTTATGTTACGTAATATCACGTTTTATGCCGATTTTGAATTTGTACTTGGTGAAAATTGAAGCTTGTTTAACTATAGAAGAAAAATTAATTGAACAAGTGAGACTTCATGAGACTTCAGAGTTTTATTTAATTATAAATTGGCTAACTATAGAGACCAACATGTCCGACAGGAAGCATGGGAAGAAATTGGCAGGGAATTACAAATACAAGATTAGACAAGCTTATTATTATTAAATGTAATTTATAAATTAATTTAATTTTTGAAAATATTTGGTAGTTGTATACTTAAAATTATTTTGATGAATGATTCAATTTTACATAATATATGAAAATATGACTTTCTATTACAAAAACTACACAAATTTGAGGTTACAGACGAATTAGTAAGCTGTATGTCAAGACATTCTTCAGAACATTCGCGTTGGTAATGTTTTGATTTCGTCTGATGAGGCCCACTTCTACTTGTCTGGTAATGTAAATAAACAAAATTTCCGCTACTGGGCAGTGGAAAACCCTCAGGAACTTCATCAACAGTCACTTCACAGTCCATATGTGACAGTTTGGTACGCAGTTACTGATTTTTGTGTGTTAGGTCCGTATATTTTCGAAAAAAATGGGCAAAAAAGTAACGGTGAATTCGGATCGATATTGTCACGTGATCGAGACTTTCCTCCGACCTAACCTAAACCAGCTTCCAAGAAACCATGTAGAGGGAAAAGTCTGGTTTTAACAAGATAGAGTCACAGCTCATACTTCACAGCGTTCACTAAACATTTTGTGGGAGTTGTTTTCTGGACATCTTCTCTCTTTACGAGGAGATATCACCTGGCCCCCGAGGTCACCCAATCTATCGCCTTGTAATTATTTTTTATGGGAATATTTAAAGGCGCAAGTTTATAGGCATCGCCCCACATTACTACAAACACTGAAGGAGGTAACAACACAGAATGTGGCTGCCATTACACTGGCAATGACAAAAACAGTTATAGAAAATTTCCGGGAAAGGTTTGTCAATGTATCAACAATGAAGGGCGGTATTTGACAGACGTTATGTTCAAAACTAGGTAATTACTTTATGTAATGCAAAATGGCATAGTATTTGTAATTCAAAAATAAAATAATTTTTTCTGTATCTTTGTTTATTTGCAACTACTTTTTGAAATACGAGATGTTTTTTTGCCGGATCCTGTATTTGAAAATATGATCATTCAATATATTATTTAAAAATTCCATAAGTTATAATTTTAATTGACTATGTTTAGCCAATCAAACTTTATATAAATTGATTTTAAAATTTTGGGTTAATTTTTCACTGTATCATCATGAGGAACTAGTTTCAACTCTAAGGTAAGAATAATAAATGTACAATATTTAAAGTAATTATGCTTCATTATAAGAAATATGCTCAAAATATGTTTGAACTTAAATAAAGTATACCATTTCGACAAAAAATATTAACATATCATAATTATCATAAAAAAGCTAATAAATTAAATAAATTATAAAACAAAAAATAAATCCCTTTTTTAAATTCTTATAACCTAAAAACAACAGAAGAAGAAGGCAGCGTCATAGGCAGAGATATAGGAAATACTTGGTTCATTCTATTTTAAAAAATAGACTTTAATTAAGAAATTATAAACCCATTTTTTTTTAACTATTTCCGCATGTCGATTCAATCTTTTTATGACTTATTGGAACAAATCAAAAAAGAAAATACAATTAAATATTGTATTTCAACAGAGTAAAAGCTTATAATTACTTTGAGGTAGGTTAATTTATTTATTTTAATAACATGAACATTACATTATAACATAATATAAGATAACCACCTAGTATACATTATTTAATACAATTTTTAATATCTATGTTAGTAAATTTTATTCAAATAAATCAAGTATAAAACTTTGACTGCCTGTTTCACTAACATTTGTTGATGTTGGTAAAGGTGAAGCTGCAGATGTATTTAGTTGATTACTTTTAACATCAAAATTGTGATTATAATGATACCCTCGTGTTGTGGTGTTGTGTGGCGTTGAATTATAACCATAATTTGGATATCCAAAGTTACTTGGCCAATATTGCTATAATACATTGAATGTTGATATTCATCAGGCGATGATGTCTGATTTTGTGAAATTAAATTGTACATATCAATTTTAAGTTTGAGGCGTTTGTTTTCAGATACTTTTTTAATTTATTTTACTAATGATAAACAAAATAGTTTATCTTCATCATTCCCATCTTTTTTTTAGGAAACATATCGTTCAGCCATACTTTTTTTCAATAGTATTTGGGAAATGTTCATCAGCTGTATGTGATTTAATTTTTTTTTTGTTCTTACGACAATCATCTTTAGGACTTTTAAAATTGTTATCTATATCATTTACGTTGTTAGTATTTTGAGTTAATTTTACATTTTTATCATCAGTTCAAAAATTGCTTTTGGTTACGTTATTTTCTATTGATCCTTACAGAAACCGTAATCTTTAAAAATATACATAAGTAGATTTGTTAGATCTTCCTGAACCTGATTTCACTGTTTTATACTTTTTGGCTTCTCTTACATAATTGTCGCGTAAGCTTTTCCACTTTTTTTGTAAAGTTAATCCTAAATAGAATAATATAGTTATAATTATACAATTAGGTATAAGTTTTGATAAAAAGAATTAAAAATTGTGAGGGGGGGGTTGAAATAGGTAAAAAATAGGTTATAAAAATATAAAAATAATAATGGTTTTTACAGATACCTAGCAATTGGATGTTCCATTGGTGAATTACATTATGAGTATTTGATGAGAAAAAGTACTGCTGCTGCTATAATCCACCAAGTATGTAAAGTGATTTGAAGAAAATTAAAAAATATTGTAATGTCTAAACCTATAAAGGAAAAATGGTTTGACATTTCCAATGGATTTGAACAAAATGCGAAGTTCCCTAATTGCATTGGGGCACTTGATGGCAAACATATACGTTTGATACACCCTCAAAATTCAAGCCCACTTCATTATAACTATAAACATTTTTTTTCACTAGTATTAATGGCATTGTGTGACTCTAATTATTGTTTTATTTTGGTGGATATTGGGGCATATGGAAAGCGATTCTGGGCTTTTTAAAGAATCATCATTATATAATAAGCTCATTGAAAAAACTTTGAATATTCTTGAACCAAGACCTATTACAGACAACGATGAAATTAAATTGCCATACGTCCTAGTTCCCTCAGGGGAAGGGTCTGATCGATATGACACCCTACGGGTCTAGCGCACTCGGGGCCCTGAGCTTCACTGGCGGAAACCCTCAGGCAGGGGATTCCAGTGGTCCGAACTTCTCCCGGTATAAGGAGACATCTCTACAAAACCTCCGTCCTTCGGGGCGGATAAGCTGCGTAAAGCGGAGCAATCTCTTGCCCCCAAGGCAGGAAACTACCTTGAAAGGCGGGTGAACCATATGGTCAACGGCTTGAGAATACAGAAGGCCAGAGGGATACCACTGCATTAAAGATCCTTTTGGATTTCCCTAACCAAAGTAATCAAACATGCTAGTATAAGATCAAGAAAGAAATTCGTAAAAACATACATTTGGAGTATATTACTATATGGTTGTAAATCTTGGACAATAGGAAAGTATGAAAAAGATAGATAGAGGCTATGGAAATGTGGATGTGGAGGAAAATGACTAGAACAAGCTGCATAGAACATAAGACGAATGAAGAAGTGCTGAACGAGATTAATGAAGAAAGAACAATAATGAACACAATATTGAAAAGAACATTAAAGCTAATTGGACATCTACTCATAAATAATGAATTTATTACTGTCATTATGGAAGGAAAAATAAAGGGAAAAAGATCCAGAGGAAGACCGCGTAAATCCTTCTTTGAAGAAATCTTCAGACAAATGGGTGTTACCTCTTACCAAAATCTCAATAGGACAGCATCTGACAGACATGTATGACTACAACAACAAGTCTTAGCCTTTAGAAGCTGATGATGATGATAGAGGTTCAACGCCAACCTTCGAGGAGGACCAAGTAGATCAGTTCTTGATGTAAAATTCGTTTATCAGTTAACGGCATCCCAAATCACTGGATGGACAGTGTTGAATGAAGAAACTTGGAGCAGTCATAAATATCTGTACTACAACGTTGCTATAGATATGGGAAACCTGAACGTCACATCAAGAGGATGGGCATTGAAAAAATTAAGTATCCAAAAACTGAAGGAATACCTAAACGATAATAATAAGCATAATGACGCGAGTGAATTCATGGAAGTACTTAAAACAGTATGCGACTATCAATGTAGAGGCGAAACTATGCACGGAGGCAACATAGATCCCAATATTGGTGGACGCAGGAAATAACGAGAGGTAGCCCGCGCTATTTTTAACCATGGTTGTATGATGCAATCAATGATAATATATAAATACTGTGCCCGCGATAAGCAGTGCGGTCAGCCCGCTTTCTGCTTGACCGTACCTTTAGGTTAAACTTTTATTTATATTATATTTTTTTTATACTTTTAGAGCTAAAGTATAAATTATTAACATTGATAACGATCGTATGCTGGGCTATCGCTACGTAATGACTACGACAACGTGTGCTGTAATTTACAGCACGTGGACACAGAGTTTGTATCGTTTATCAAACGTTTTCGTCACGCGCAGGTATAAATATAATAGTATGTAAGTATAAATAGTTATATTTATAATCACTACGCGCTTATACATACAGAAGTACAGTGATTGGTATATTTTTATTTGTACGTGCAGGGTATATAATAATTATCATATATTTTATTATTATATAATATAGATTATATTATATTATAATCGCATTGTTAGCGAACAGAGCCGCGTATTATATAAACACGTCGTCGGTGGACAGAGCCATGTATTATATAAACACGTTGTCGGTGGATAGAGCCGCGTTGTCGTTTTTACGATAGAATTATAATGATCGGTATAGTGTAGACATATTTTCGATAGAGAATAATACTATAAAATATTATAGAATTAAATTGTTAATTAACAATATATTGCATAAACACTACTGCGTACAATATATTATACGACGTCAGATTAATGTAAAGTAATAGACGACAGACGTACAGAATTTACAAAACAGGCGAATACAACGTGTGAAAGATAAATGAAACGATTATGCGCCGAGCACAGTTACTCCGTGCTAACGGTAACGACGACGCGTGACGTTCGCACACGTGTGGTGGGGAATGATATGGGATAGCCGGCAGTGGGTTTATTACGACCAAAATATATTTTCGTACTTTTATCATGATAACAACGCCACCGCCAGCCGCCGCGGCTCGTAAATTTATCGACCAACGACGCATTCAAGGACCGTTGAAAGTGAATAAAACATATTTTCTGTGGTCCGGCACCTATTCTATGTCCTAGAATTGTAAACAAATCACATTTTTAATTAAAAGTGTTTCCTAACATAGTCCAGATAACAACGAATACATCCATTAAAATCGGACTTCAGGAGGTATCCTTAATTTACTTAATTAAACATCCTTTCTTAGTGAATGCTTACGTCATGAAATAAAACTACTGACCGAATTTCATAGCTATAGCTACAGCGGTTTCGGCTAAGTAATTTTTTCTATTTTTACACTTTTCAACCCTTTTAACCCCCTTTAGGGGTTCAATTTCACAAAATAAAGTTTAGAGACAACGTTTATTTGTGGTATAGAGCAGTGATTTTCAACCTTTTTTGGATCGTGACCCCCATTTTTTATTTTTGTGTACTGCGACCCCCTTCAAAAAAAAAAAAAATGTTTTATTCGTCAAAATTGAATTTAATTACTAATAAAATATTTATATGATATAAGACTTTGATTAATTATTTACACTTAAAAATGTAATTAATTTATAATACAATATTATTTTAAAACAATACCAGCATATACAATAAATTTAAATATAAAAATAATACATAAATATAATTTTAAAAATGTATAATTTAACTTGTTATTCACGTGTTAATAGGATACTTGAGCTTGAACTTTTGATATTATGGATTTAATATTAGGTTTTATATTAGAGACTGTAACTCTTAAATCTGATTCTACATTTAAATTTGTCCGATATTTGTTTTTTATTACTGTAAGAGCTGAAAACACAGTTTCACACAAGTAAGTAGATGCGAATAATAAATGTTAATTTTTCTATTTTTGACAATTCTGGGTATTCTGATTTTATAGAAATCCAAAATTTGCCACTTATAATTTCATTGAACTTTATACGCAGATTTTCATCGGAAGATAACTCGATTAGTTCTTCTTTCATAACTAAACTTAATTCAGAATACATTTCATTTACATTAATAGAAAATGGATTTCTTATCCATCCCAACTTTTTTTCTGGAAGTTTTTCAAACCGTGTGTTAAAATTATCTTCCAAATTTTTGAGATGAAGTAATATTATATCTTTTATTTTTTTTAATATCAAATATTTGATATTAATATTTCAAAGTTTTCATTATTAATATAATTTATTCATAACCATATTTTTTTTTTAAAAAGCATCGATTTCATCGGAGAGAATTAATATATTTGTGTTTTTACCTTGAAGACCTAAGTTTAGACTATTTAATTTATCAAAAATATCCGCAAAATAACTTAAAATTGCTAACCATTCTTCATTTAAGAAGTGTTCTGCGAGTGTATTTTTATGTTCAAGGAGAAAAATTCGTATTTCATCTTTAAGCTCAACAATTCTTAATAATATTTTACCACGGGATAACCATCTAACATCAGTATGAAGTAGTAGTTTTGTATGATCAGATACTATTTCATTACAGAGTATCATAAATAATCTAGAATTTAGTGCTTTTGTTCCAGCGCCACGGTCGTGGCTCGAGCTAAGTAAAAAAAAAAATAGCTGTACAACGGTGTGTGTATAGTATATCGAAGCAGGAGTTGCCCATTTAAACTGTATTAAATACAGTTAAATTTGTTATACAACATAACTAATTTTCTAATGCATCAATTAACTCCTAGTAAACACCAAAAAATCAGAAATATTGTGTAGAACGTGCTTTTAATCGTACGTTTAGAAATTAAGTTATACATGAAAAAGTGCGACATTTTTAATAGAAATTTATATTAAATTCAGAATCACGCTAACCCTCGTCGTCGTCGTCGTAGTAGTCGTCGCATCGGCCGGTTCCCCCACTCGATTTCGTGTATGCTGGCCTAGGTGGGAGAAAATGTTATTATAATTATTATTATATTTTATTATAGTGCTGAGTGTCGGCGGTCGGCGGATCATAACCATGCATTCATTTCGTTATCTGCCGTCGTTTGTAGTTGTGTATTGGTGTATTTTATTTTAGCGTGTTATCTTATTGTTTGTTCTGTTCACGTATTCGCATACAAATGTGACTTTGGTATAACCAACATAATAGTCTACATTGAGCTATTATAAAAATAGTTGTATTTATTATTTTAAAGAAAAAATATTTGCATTTATTTAATTATAAATATGCCAACTAAATTGCAAAAATAAGAGCTAAATATAAAGAAATGTACTTACTATAAAAAAAAAACTTGACATTATTAATAAAACTATTGTTAAAAAAATAAGTTCACCAAAAAAATTGGTATCTCGACAATCCTCTAAACAAATCAAGGTAAAGTCACTGTTTCCCTTTCATGGACATATTGAAAAATGGACTAATCGACTTATTAGTGCCGTTAAAATACCTTTAGGTATTGCTACAATGAAATCTGACGATATTCTTAAATTTACTATGATTGTCAGGAAAAACAACGTACAAAAATATGTTACTTCTTTCTCATACTTACAAAAAAATATTAAACATAATGTTCTTATTCCTACAAACGAGAAAATAGATTTCAATTTATTGTGATTAATACTAGGACCATCGCAACATACGAAATCTGCAGAACCATTCTTTGCTGACCCCGTTTATAATCCGTTGCCGAATAAGTATAAAAAAAAATTAGAAATAAACGAAGTTGGTCAAATCATGAACATTTTTGAGCCAATAAATAACGAAACTTCTGATATTTCATGGAAGTGTAATGTTGATTTACGCAATTTAAATTATAGTTATATTATGCATAGAGTATTAAAAATAATAAGTGATCTTTTATGCTCAAATTTAAACATTAAAAAAATATTTCAAATATCAATCAGTGTATAAGTGTACCACATAATGGTTTTAAACGAGGTCATAATTTAGCATGTCATTACAACATGTCATTATTACAACTATACATGTACATCAAATCTGTTATTTCTTAGCCATTTTTACACGAAGTTTACGAAGGGTTTTTGTTGTGATACTACTATAGGGATACAATTTCTCAATTATCTTTTGTAATCTACCTACTACTTAAATCATTTTCGTGTATAAATACCTTATTGGCAGTATACCAAATTATTTGTAGTTTTACAAAGTAGTTCCTTGTAGAGCAACTCTATTCAATCAAATTCTAACAATATTATTTTAATTCACTATGAGTACAGATAGAAGATGTTATCTCGAATATTAATTTAATAGAAATCATACTGCTGGAGGTAGTGGTGAAACTGCAAACTCTAAATATGGTTATAGATGAGTTGATACTTGATCAAATATTTAATGCAAATGTATTATCATTATGTATATGTTTTATAGGTACTGATATATATAACTGAAAAATGTATCCTTAATAAGACTTTAAATAATTCACTGTGATTTTATATCTTAATGGATCTAAATACAGTATGTATATATTACAATAGTTGGCATTGATAATGAAGTAGGTACCTGAAAAAATCTCTTTGAATCATGCACGAATAATAATTTTTGTTTTTTATTAACATCTTCCAGAAAAAATATAACTTTGACGTTAGCTAAAAACTGTTAGTTTAAATTTGAACAAAATGTAATGGAATCAGATAAAAACATTATTTTTAAAGTTAAACACAGGATTATAAGTAAACAAACTGAAATTATTAACAGTAAACTTAATATAATTTCATCACAGTATACCTTGTAAAGAACCGTTGCCTGCACCATAAATGCATACAGTACTTCTTTTTACGCCTTAAGCGAAAACTTTTTTTATAAACATACATACAAACGTCGAGCCACGAAATAAAGCAGCAACTAAAAATACATCATCGCCTGCAGCGCCACGATAACAATACGCTCTACAGATAAACGCAGTAACTAACGAAGACGTGTTATCGAGCGAACCACAGTAACCGCAACAATGACTGTAACCGCTTCCGTGAAACACGCACACACACAACGGCGAGCGGCCGAACACCTCATATAAAAGGGCAAGCTTCGTCGACGTTATAGGCACTTCCCGCTGATCACTTCACGGGTCAACACTTGACGGAATACCAACGACGGGATTGTCCGGCACTCGCTTGTCTCTCGTTTTCAGTGATACGCAAAAAAAAAAAATACATTGATATATTGGTGTATAAGAAATCGATGAACGATATTTTATAAAGCTTTAATATCCTTCATGTATAATACGTCAAAGATATTTTTTTTTGTTTACGGCCTTTAGACCACACATCCAAACATAATTGCCTCCATCCTTCACGATTTTGTGCTAGTATATGCCAATCTTCCTCCAGGTAGAAAACTATTACATCTTTTTTGACACAGTCCTCCCATCGCATTCTGGGTCTTCCTAGTGGTCTTTTCCTTCTTGGATTCTCTTGTAAGACCGTCTTTGTCATAGCATCAGGTTTCCTCCACACATGACCTACCCATTCCAATCTTTTTATTTTTATCTCCTTTACTATATCCGGTCTGTTATATAAGTCATATAACTCCTCATTGTGTCTTTTACACAATCACCTGTTTGCGGGCCATGATATGGTCCATAAATCCTTCTTAATATTTTCCTTTCAAAGACCCTCAGTTTTGACTTATCATTTTTCCTTACAGTCCAACATTGCGCTCCATAAAGTACTATTTATCTTATTAGTGTGACATACAGCTGAACTTTAAGTGTCTTTGAGAGTATTCTTGACTTGAGTAAGTTCCCCATTGCGTAATAACATTTGTTACCCATTTGGATTCTTTTAAGTATTTCATACTCCATATTGTTTGAATGGGTGATCATTGTACCCAAATATTTAAATTGTGATACATTTTTGAAACTATAAGGACTTACCTTTAGAAACTCTTCTGCTTGTCTTCCGTATCGTTGTCTACTTATTTCCATATATTCTGTTTTCTCTTCATTAATTTGCAATCCAACNTTCCTAAAAGCACTATATCATCTGCGTATGCTAAAATACTTATTGTTGTTCCATCGAGTTTCACCCCTTCATCTGGTGAGATATTCATCATTCTAATTACTTTTTCCAGAACTAGATTAAAAATAATTGGGGATAGTGCATCACCTTGCCGTAGGCCTGTATTCACCTGAACTTCTCTTGATAGTACATTACCAACTTTCACTTTTACCATGGTCCCATTTAAAGTGGCTTTAATTAATCCTATAAGCTTTTGTGGGATGCGGAAATGTTCTAAAATTTTGTATATACTTTCTCTGTTGATACTATCATACGCCTTTTTTGAAATCTACAAAAAGTGTATGTAGTTCTTGATCGAATTCCCAGGTTTTTTGAGCTAGTTGTCTTATAATAAATATTTGATCTATTGTGGATTTATTTTCTCTAAAATCACCTTGATAGTCATTTATGATAATTTCCGCCAAAGGTTTGATTCTATCTAGAATGCAATACGATAAGATTTTATAGGTTATATTCACTAAGGTAATACCTTTATAGTTGCTGCATTATTTTTTATCATCCTTTTTGTGTATAGGGCAAATTAATGCCGTATTCCAATCTTTAGGGATCTCTTCAGTATTCCATATTTTCTCAATTAGTTTATGAATCATCTCATTCAATCAATCATTGTTTCATCGACACATTTTAGGATTTCGCTTTGTATACCATCTTCGTCAGGTGATTTATGGTTTTTTAATCTCTTAATTTGTGTTTTAATTTCTTGTACCGTAGGTGTTTCATATTCACAATTATTATTTGGTTGTTCTTGTATATAATCAAAAATTACTTCAGGGTCTTCTCCATTAAGCAGCTGTTCAAAATATTCTGCCCATCTCTCTGTTATTTCCACCTTTGTTGTTATCAGTTCTCCATCCTTATTTCTTATAAATATTTCATGTCCTTTATATCCTTTTCTCATCCTGTTTACTTGCTGGTATAATTGTCTACTTCTGTGTGCTCTGTGATCTGATTCTGCAATTTCTATAATTGTATGTATATATTTCCTTTTTTCTCCTCTGAAGATATTATGGGCTTCCTTTCTTCTTGTAGTGTATCTTATTCCGTTTAGTTAGTTTGTTGTCAAAGATATTAAAAACGTAGTGTTCTTCTTTATAACATAATAATATATTATATATTCCATAAAAGAAAAATAATTAAGTTATACATATAAAAACCGATAGTTATTATCTACCTATTTCATTTTATTTTATTTCGTTGATATAATATAGTCATTAATCTATATTATTGTGTGGGCTGGGAGCTAGACTTAAAAGACTTAAATATTTCGCGTAGCCCGGACACCAGATTCTTCGCACGCTTTCCCCACCGTCCAAGATCGTGTATTTGTGTGTGTGCGTGTAACTTAATATTAGGAAAAATGGTACAAAGTGATTACAAAAATATTGGTAATTACACTCTTTTTATTAATAATAATTTAATAATTTAGAATAATAAATAGTAAAAAATTCACACATCTAATAGAATAGTTAGTTAGTGGGTAATAGACCGGTATGAAAATAAATTGATAAATTGTATACAATTTATATGATAGTTATATGATATGACACAAAAATATATATACAACAGTGTAATATAACAAGAAACAATAATAAATATGAAATAATAAATAATTTACTCACGGACAATGAAGTGCAGACTGGCCAGCCGCCGACTAAACCTATATTTACCTAATATTAACNATTAATACGGTTGTTAGACGTAGGCACGTATTATTTGCTACGGATTGCTGTGATGCCTATCGAAGCCCTTGTCCTAGGAGCCTAGAGTCCGTCGGAGCCACTGTTCGATATGGCACGCAAAAACAACAAAAACTTTTTACCGAAACGTAAAATTCGCGAACTGTGTGTGTGTCGAACGGGCAGCCAGAACAATACGATATGAGTGAAAGTTGCGTATTATTCACATAATTACACAAAAAGATAAGACATAAAAATAATAATAACACAATTACAGAACATAAACTTACTAAAATTATACATATACGTGGTAGTGCGTGTGCGCGTGACTGGCAGATAATTGCCAATTAATAGCGGCCTTGACCGTCAAAATCGGCCCGCACATTCTAATTAAAATCCATCGTTGCGGCGACAATTATATATATTATATTATTGTATATATGTTATTAAATTAATTGCTATTACATTTTACTCTCAATATTTATTGTCTAAAGACTGTAAAAATACAAGTTTTGATCCTAATAATCTATTTCGACTTTTTGTCAATATGTTTCCGGTTTTACTAAAAATTCGTTCTGAAGGCACTGATGTCGCTGATATAGGTATATACCTATATACCTATTTTCTGGCTAAAGTGTACAGATTTGGAAATGCTCTTTTTATATTTCTCTATTCAATAATTGGTTCATCTTTGAGTCAGACAACTCCTTTATCCAAATACCATCTTATCTCATCTCTTGCATGAAATCCTGACTTGGTTTTATTCCTATGCTTTTGTTCTAGACTTTTAAAAATGACTTTTTAGAAGGACTTTTTTAAATGGTTCTTTGATCGGGTCTCTATATACAGTTTGGTTTTCCCTGCTGTGTTACGCGATAACATCGGTTTTCACACATATTTGTAGCCCTTATCCCTATGAAAAATAAAAAATAAAAACAGAATTTTATTATCTTTAATATCTCCGAAGAAATTCAAGTGGTATATCTTCGTGGGACACCCTGTATATATTGTTACTAATTTCTCATTTTCCATAGGTACCTGGCAACAGGAAATAGTTTTAGAACTTTATACTTCGAGTTTTTAATTGGGGAGACAACAATTAGAACAATTGTTAAAGATACATGTGAAAACACATGGATGTGTCTTAAAGAAAAATATATGGCAGAGAAAACCGAAAGGATGTGGCATCAAATTGCTGAAAAGTTTGCGACAAAAACACATCCGCATCCAAAACCCATGGAGTACAAGTTCAAAGTTCATGAATTATACAAATTTTTTTCTGTAGTTCTTATGGCTGTTGTAGAAAAAAATTATAACTATCGGCTCACTAGGGCCAGAAGAATGGTCGAGTGAGCATTTGGCATCATATCTAATTCAAAACCAAAAATCAAAACTGATTTAAAAACCGAAATCAAAACCATTAAAATTGATAACGGTTTCGAGCCCTGATTTAAACACTCAAATACACGAGTACCTATCATTATTATATGACACGCCAAAATATTGTACCCTAAGAATATTTTAATCTTCTATTGACGTGTACATCCATAATATAAGCCCAAACCAATAAGTAAACATTTATTTCAAACAACTAAGTATAGTATATTTTGTAAAATAATAATTTATAATATTGTCTATAATAGAGGTGGTCTTCGTAATAACGATGTTGGTTATTATTGCGCCAACTTCTTCTTGAGTGACTCCGGCATTTCTGGTGGCGGTGGCCTGGGTAACCTGAAAGCGACCTTAACCGCATCGTAGATAAACCACTGAGCCGCCGTCAAAGTTCCGACCATTACAATTCTAGGTCCAAGTCCTTGCCATAGTCCTGTTTATACAGATACAGTAAAATTACTAATAATTAGTAAAGTTCCAGAAAATAAAATACAATGTAATAGCAAAAACCTTCAAATATAATTTGGGGAGAGGAAAATGTTAAACATTTACCAATTTTAAATCGAACAAATTATTTTTTCGTATTTTATAACATCCGTAATATATCGACCAATGGTCATTAGCCAGACTTGTAATGATTTACTAATATTTTACGGTATTATATTAATTAATCGTAACTACTTTTAATTAAACTTGCAAATTGTTTACAAAGTTTACAGATATTATTTTATTTAACAACGTCCTGGTTGTATGTACATTTTGTACGCGTTATTCTGAACTTTTTAGTTTTCAAACAGTATACAAAATATACCTAATAATAACTCAAAATGACTGAATATTTATTTCCCAAATTAAAGTATAATATCTATGTCCTCTATAATATTTTACTTTTCGTGACGTATAAAATCTTTTCAAAACAAGCAGCGTGCTTAGTGGAAACGATGATTATTTATTGTGTTTCCTTTTACGTCGGTAACTTAGTTAATTATTATTAATACTAATATTATACGCGTAAAAAAAAACAATATTACTGTAAGTATAATGTGCAATTAAAGAATTGAATGAATTTACATCACCTACGTATATAACGAGTGTAATACCATAGCGGTATTGTCATTATACAATTTCAACTATTCATTTAAATTTAAAATCTATACGAGCCGACTAAAAAATTATACAATTCGAAAAGTAATAGTTAAGTTAATCATTATTAGATAATATTCGGTTGATTTTAAAAAAAATATAATATTAACTGTGGACTGAGTATTAAACAAATACTTATAAATACACGCGTAAGAATAATTTGTTTCGTAGGTACTACAAATTTCACCACTTCATATAAACACTGCACTGTTGAATCGACAGTTTTGAGCCCACAGTGTGCCAAAAAACTAAATAGTTAATGAAACAATTTAATTTCCATTTGTTTGTGTCAATTGAATACATAAATTGGAATTTAAATTGATTTTGAATATTAAATTTACCTACATTTTTAAATAGTAGACAACATTAGTTATTTTTGGTTTTGAGATTTTAACTAACTTGTAATAAAATATTCTGGACCACTGTAAAGCCCAATAAAATGTCGAGTATGAAACAAATACTATAATTACACATGCATTTATATACTTACTATAGCTGCCTCGTGCTCGGCGTTGCCCTTGTTAATTTCTTATTCTTTTTACCTTTATTTCCGTTTTTCTTTGTTCGTATTAATATATTGAACTAAAAAAAGTAGTTGGAAAGTTGGCAGTCCGCGGACTAAAAGTGTTCTAGTGTATTATACGAATATTTTTTCAATAAAAAGTAGCCTATATTTTTCTTCAGGGTTACATCTATCTCTATATCAAAATACATCAAAGAGAGTTCAGTAGTTTTTCCATGAAAAAGTAACAAACATCCTCATAAACTTTCACATTTATAATATTAATAGGATATGTAAAATAAAAAACCTCAGTGCGTAATTAATATTACATATTTATGAACTAACAGAATATTATCTAATTTTTTTTATGTAACTTATTATTACTCTTTCGTTTTTCAATCGGGTAAGTTAGTTTAGTCAGTTATTATTTCGATTTTGATTTGCACCAAAGGAAATACTATAATATATAATCGGGATAACTTTCTCACCCATAAATCCAATTTTCTTGATAATTTCACCAGTGGAGGCGCCCTTAGCTTGGTTTAGTTTGGAAACGAGCGTGTCGGCCGGATGAGAAACGATGGCGCAGAACACACCAGCGATATAACCGGCACCGAAAGTTACCAGCAACTGTTCGCCCTTTGTGCACTCGGACCTTGGCTTGGGTACCACGTATCTGTGTGCAGACGAACGAGGTTACAGTTAGTTTTATTTCATCTAATTTGGTTAAGTTGGAAAATCTAACTGAAAATTGAAAATAATCAAAACCTTCCAATAAGTCGGATTTGCATTGAAAGAGTATTTGGTAGAGTTAGTATTTGACTGTTATTAGCCTAATGTAAACACTTATAGATATTGCTAGTAGAGTATAAAAAACAATCGGTAGAGTAGAGTAGATAAACACAGGTAAAGTACACTCTACTTGATTTACGCCCACTACCGTTTTAACTCTACTACGTCCTGTTTTTGAATAGTCAGTGCTACCAAACCCAACAGCTGTTCAAAAAATCTTCAGATGTCATTCTTGGGCCTAAATCCTCCCTGATAGTCACCTAGTAAATTCTCTGCTGTGGGTCTTACTCTATCTAGTATACAATATGCTAGAACTTTGTACGTTGTATCTAGTAATGCTATACCCCTATAATTATTGCATTCCTGTGGATCATTTTTTTTATGAATAGGACAGATTAATGTAGTGCCCTAGTCCTTCGGAAGTCTTTCTTCATGCCAAACGCTCTCAATACTATGTATTTTATTTATCGTTAATTCATCTAGGTTTTTTATGAATTCTCCTTGGATTCCGTCCTCCCCAGGAGTTTTATGATTTTTTAGCCTGTTAAGTTGTATTATTTCATCTTTGCTCAGGGGCGGACATTCAGTGTCATTGGGTTCCGTTGGCATCCATGCAAATGTCTCCACTGGGTATTCACAATTGATTAATGATCCAAAATAGTGTTTCCATTTTTCCAACACCTTGTCCTGTTCTTTTACTAGAGAACCATCGTCATTTTTAAGGAACTTATTATGTTTTTTGTAACTTCCTCTAATTGAATTTATCTTCTGGTATAGTTGTCTAGTCTTATTTACTCTATGATCAATCTCGGCTTCCTCTAGTACATCTTTTGTATATTTCCGTTTTTCATATCTAAATATATTATTTGCTTTTTTTTAGCGTTCTTTGTATACCACAGATTTCTCTCTATTAGTGGGGTCGTTGAGCAGTTGAGTCCTGACTTCTTTCCTTCTATTAAATTCTTCCTTGCAGAAATCGTTGAACCACGGTTTCCTTGTTATCTTTTGTTTTCCTATTACTGTATCTGTAACTGTATTTATGGCATCCTTTAACACTTTCCACTTAGTGTCAATTGTCTCTTCTTGATTTATGTTTAGGTTGTTCATTGTTGCTTGAAAATTTCACATATATTTGTGTACTTTAGCATATTCACATCAGATCTGTCTACTTACGTTCCTCTACTATGGATTAGTTTCTTGAGTTTTACTTTCAGCTTTCCTTTAACTAGGTAGTGGTCTGAATCACAGTCAGCACCTCTTACAGTTTTAACATCATGTACGCAGTTTTTGAACCTAGTATTTATCAGGACATGTTCTATCTGACTGACATATCTACCATTTGGTGCCTTCCATGTACCCTTATAAATATCTTTACGTGGGAACATCGTGGTCTTTACAATAAGTCCTCCATCATTTGCAACATCTATAAGCCTGAGTCCATTCTCACTAGTTACATCGTGAAGGCTATGGATACCAATCGATGACCGAAATATGTTCTTCTTCCCTAACTTGGTATTGAAGTCGCCTAGGACTATTCTAATTCTATTTCGTGGTATTTCGTTTAGCGTGTGTTCCAAGTTATTGTAGAATTCGTCGTTTTCCTCTTGCGTTTTTTCCTCCGTAGGTGCATGTCCATTCAGGAAAGTGATATCAAAAAATTTCCCTTTAATCTTCAATGTTGATATCCTAGGGTTAGTACTTTTAAATTCTGTTACCAAAGGAACTATACTTTTGTGTATAGCAAAACCCGTTCCAAATTGTCTTCGATCAATACATTCTCCGTAGAATATAGTCGTGTCTTGAAGATCCAAGGTACCTTTGTCATTCCACCTAATCTCCTGCAAGGCTATCACTCCTAAATTATATCTCCTGATTTCTTCGACTAAGCATTGTGCTGCTCCCGGTTTGAAAAGTATGCGAACGTTCCAAGTTCCAAAAGATAAGTCAGGTTTCCGTTTTCTAGTCTTGTTCTCCAAAGCTCCACATATCCGAGGCAAGTTTATTGTTGTATCCTGAACAAGGTTGGTTTCACATGGCAGGGTTGTTAGCCCTGCGTATAACCTGGAGGACCAGACTACCACAACCACTCAAGGTCATGGTAGGGCTATTGCAGTGTACTTATGAGTGCACTGGACGATGGGCGTGCCACTTTCCCTACGCCGGGATGTTACGTATATTTTAAAATTTGAAAATATTTTGATGAGAACTGAGACGATTACATCTCACTATTTCGTTGTGTATTGGCGTTAAATGAAACATTTAAGGAGTACAATGTTTTTATAAATACTATCTACATTTGTTTAATAATCGTAAGAAATACCAGTTTTTATTAACAAACTTAATATAACAATATTTTAAATAAATTATAAATTGTTATCGCAGTCCGCTTATAGTGTATACCATGAACATGTATAAAATATGAATTTTCAAATAAAGCAAACTAAATTTTTTAACTCTCATTCAAAGTGAAAATATTTTCTAAAAATATTAGTACTACTGAATTCTATAAAAACCATTTCTACGTACTTGTACAGCAACTCGATAGTTTTTTCGAAACAGGCGAATTTCATCATCGTGTAAGGTATCTGTCTCATCCAAAGTGGAACCAAGCTTTTGTAAAATCCGTTTAATCCTTCGGATTGGTGTATTTTGGGTAAGGCTTCCCTTAAAGTATTAGCAAAACCTGGTTGAGTTTGGATTCTGACCTATATCAAAATAACAAAATTATAATAATAATAAGAGCTAAAACCAGGCCACTAGGGACGAGTGCACCACTGTTATAGGTATGAAGTCGAGGAGGTAGGATATATAAATTTATTTAACGAAAAACGATTCGGAGTGAAGTTTGGTTGTACATGTTTTAAAAGGCAGTAATATTTAGGATATTCGTCAAAATTTGATTTTAAAACTTATATGAAAAACAAAAATACTATATTAAACTAATTTTTTTTTTGTGTACACAAAGTATATTTTTAATGAACCTCTTGTTAAATTTTCAAACATTTCTGTTAAGTCTACCAATTTATCTACACAGTACCTACCAAATAAAGATTACATATAAAACTCGCAAAATTAAAATGTCTATACCAGGTAATCCATTTAAGTGGGTACACTCATCATCTCGGAAGTATTAACTTATTCCAGATTAGTGTTGAAATTTTCGATTTCTGTCAAGCCATTGACATATTTTACTTTTAAGTTTAGGTTTTAGAATAGTGGTAAATAGCTCAACAAATTTGCAAATGTTCTGAAAGTTTTATTACGCCTAGAAAAAGTAAATTTAAGTTTTCTGCAAAAATATCCAGCGTAAGCGCTAAGGCAAGACAAATGGGACATAAGTTCATGGCTCCACGCTGGTTTTGGTTTGATTGGGCCCTGCGGTTTATTATTGTACAGGTATATAATCATTAATTACACCAAAACATTGCCCAGAGTCCCGCAAAACCTTGCGCTGCCGCACTAATATTAACTTGAATTACAAAAAACACAAAATTGAAATAAAAAAAGCATTATTTTTCTGTTCTATCTATGGATTTTTTTTTCGGTTTTGCTCGATCATTAAAAAAAAAACTATAAGGAAAATAAATCAACTTGATTACCAACTAGATTAAAAATTCAATAAAATAGGTCTTATGATGTATTTTTATTGTAGAAATGTACATGTAGTATACATAAGCCGAAAAAATTTAAATAATGGAATCCTAACGCCGAGCTGTAAGTTCATCAATTTCCATTTTTCGTATTTTCTCGGTTTTTCTTAATTATTATGAAAACTATTTAAAAAATCAAAAACGAATTACCTACATGCTCATACATGCTCAAATACATGAAAGATTTAATAAAAAAAGCAATATTTATAGTAAAAAACATTAGCAGTAAAAATTAAAAATAATGAAAGCATTAAATTGATTCGTCTTTATTATTATTTAATCTTTTTTGGATGTCCAAATTATTATGAAAACTCCTTGGAAGATCAAAATTGTTTTTTTAGACCACTAAGTACAACTTATAATGTACCTTATATTATATTTTCAAACATTTTTCTTAACGACTTAAAGTTATACCACTATAACTTTAATAACATAAATCTACCAAATAAAAAAACATAAAAACACGAAAATATTAAATACCTATAAATAGACTAAAACATTTCTAGAATATTTTGAAAAATTACAGGTCTCTACAATAACTTTTAACCGAATAACAACAAATCCAAATGCCGTATTTCCTACGTTTTCACCCCATTTTTTCTTAATTGTTAGAAAAATCATACAAAAAAATTATACAACGACTTTCTTACACAAAAATAAGACAATATTTTCTGAAAATGCTATTCTTATTTTGAAAACTAATTTAGGTATTAAAAATTGGTTTTCTCTGTTGATGGCTATATATTAAAAGTAACAAATTTGATGTTATATTATTATTTGATTAGAGAAATATTTCAGATAGAATATATAGTTTGCAAAAATTAATAATCAGGGCTTTGAACTCAAATGTAACGTAATCGGTATAATCTGAATTAACCGTTACAAAAACCAAAAATCGAAACCTATACTTACCTGAACAAAAATTATAATGTTAGAATATAATTAAACAAAATCTATACTAATAATATCAGTTTAATCGTAACCGAAAGAAAAAAACAATATAATAATATAACTATGTGACACGTCAATTTACATTGGTTTTCTGAGTTAATGTCAACTTTTTACTTTTTTGCGACACTGTATGCTTTATTTTGTTTGATAGTAAAAATGCGATAAAACAACTGCACAACTTATGATTTTCAAATTTCAAATACCTATGATCATATTTTTTTTCAACCTTTAATTTTATAATATTTTAATTAATTGTTCTTTAACTTTTATTTATCATTGAATAATGCCAAAGCCAAAAAAATAGTTTGATACGTAACTTTTCTACATTGGTTTATTCTATTAATAACTATGTATGTTAAATAAACGATTGCAAAGCAAAAATTAGCAAACATGCGAAAAACTGTGATAAACACATAGAAAATGTACATTACGACATCATTAAAGAGAACTTTATTAAAAGTAAAGAAGAATCTAAAAAAGGTTTGAACAATTGTATGAACCTAACACAAAAAAGGTAATTTATTTAACAAAATATTAAAAAATATTTCCTTAAGTTGCTTAAGACACTAGTAAAATTTCATGATGTGCTAAATATTCGGCAAGAGTTTGTTACGTAAGTCATTTTTGTACACAATGGTTTTAATAATATTGACAATAATAATAATTATAATATTGTTATATGTATAATTAATAGATCCCGGATTTATATGCATTTAAAAAGTGTCAAATATGATGCAAATATGCAAAGGAAAAGTGGCTAAAAATGCAATTGTATGCATTATGTTAAACTTTATAAAATGAGTTTATTTTTAAAAAAACACATTTTTACACCAAAGAAAATTCTGTGTATTTTATCAAAAACAAAAAAAAAAAAAATATCCACTGCTATATAATAAATCAATTGAAATTACTCTAAAAAATAATAGAAAACTTAAAAAAAAATACAAATATTTTTAAAAATTAATAAATAATAATAGGTATACATTTTAAAACTTCAGAACAATATAATTAAAATATTAAAATAGGTTCTTTTAATAATTTTCATAACAACGGACAATAATATATTTTTCCATATTTTCTGGTGTCATTGAAGTTCTTTTTTCAGTTAGAATTGATTTATATGTACTAAACGACCTTTCAACATCCACCGAAGTTATAGGTGCAAACTTCATACATGAACACATAGAAGGAGTTAAGTTTGGTGGCATGATACTGTTTTCTTTCCCTGACAAAATTGCTGTTATCTGCTTCGCGGTTTGGAATCCAACATTTTTTTCAATTAAATAAAACAATTTTTCTTGAATTATTTTTCCTTTTTGTCCTGGTACTTTTTCCATCGCCAAAATAACATTATTTACAATTTGAGTAGAATCAGACAAAGTTAAACTAGAATGTTCCAAATTTTTTATACTTTTTACTAGTATAAAAAAATGAGATTGAATAAATGTAAGGTCACTTTTAACAGATTCCAGACTTAGCATATTAATACATTTTTGTATACTAACAACATTTTTATCTTCTAGTTTTTGTAAAATTATTTTAAGATTATCAAAATGATCTGCACAAAAATTAGCTGCTTCAACCCATGTCCCCCATCTGGTTAGTACTGGTTCTGGCGGCAAGGGCACACTGGGCATTATTTCTTTGTATACATCTACTCTCTGAGGTGCTTTAAGAAATACTTTTTTGAAATTACTTACCAAAGTATTTACATTGGGGTACATTTCTCTAACTTTTTCTGCTAGACGTTGGATCATGTGAGCAAGACATGAAATGTGTATCATATTAGGAAAAAATACGTTTAGTGTTTTACCAGCTTTGATCATATATGGCGCTGCATCGGAACATAAAAGTAATACTTTTTCATCATTCCCACCATGAGGCCACAATATTCTTAGGCTGTCATTTACAAAGCGAGAATCGTCGAATGATTAGTTTTATCTAATTTTTTACATGAAATTAAAAATGGTTTGNTTTCATCAGGAATGTGTTTTTTTGTATAATTTTGTAAAAAATCGCGGAAGACTGGATTTTGTAGTTTAAACCAAGGTATATTTGCAGCTACGAGGCTCAAACACAGATCTTCATTAAAACTTGATGTTTTTGGTTTGGTTTCATCTCCCAACAACATTTGTTTACTGTTGTTAGAACTTTTTTTCAAACATTTCAAATGAAACTCGGTAGTTACATGTCACGTTATTTGAAATTTTTTGTTACAACGCACCTGACGATCACAAACTTGACAATAAACTACTAATCCACTAGTGGTAAACACAGTTTTGTCGCGATTGTAAGGCTCAACCCATCGAGTTATGGATGAACCCAAATTAGACTTAGTTTTTGGCATTTTGTCTTTTTTTTTCAAACGGGCTAAACAAACACTACCGCGGACAAACGCATATACAACGAACGATGGTCGATGACTGCGTATTAAATATTAATTAATTGCCATCGTGCCGGGTGGTGGCTATTATTAGGTACCGGTCTAATTAAATAAGGTAACTAAATAAGATTTATAAATATAGCTTACATAATGCTACGCGAAAACACAATGTGATTATTTATAGAATGATATCGACATAATAAGCTGAGACGCGAGTGTTTGTTTATTAATAGTTAATTTATTAAAAACCCATTAAATATTCATGTTATATGCATTTATGAACAAATATGCAATAACCCGAAATATGCAAAATATGCAATATAAAATTTGGAGTTTAAATTCGGTGTGATATGATCCGTGGACATTTTAAACCCCCATAGACGTGCATACACTTAGTACAAACATGCAAATGCATATAAATCCGGGCTCTAATAATTAATAATAGCTAATCATAATAAATTGTTATAATAAAATGGTTTTTCCCGTGAAAAAAAATGTAACTTGAGTTTATTTTCACCATACAACAACTTTCTGTGGAAGTTATTAATACTATTTTGTGCATAACTTACTTTGGCGGCTTCCATCGGGCTGAGAGCAATATCGGCGAAAAATTCAGCGGACGCAGACGCGGCCAAGTACAGTGCCGTCCTATAAACGTACGAGTTCTCTTCGCCAAGCATTTCCGAATATTTTACTTTAAATACTTCGTATAGACCGAATTTGCACATACCCTAAAAAAATAAATGTGCATGGCTTTTAATCAGACACACAACTAAATGGATACTGAAGAATATGGTGGAAGCGGCTCTGATTTAACAAGAATAACTGTACAATTTTAAAGTGTTAGATATATTTTTTAAGAGAGTGCGAAAACAAAAACAAATCACTGGAGGGCTGAAAAATGTCAATTAAAAAAAATATAAGAATATTTCGCTACCACTGCGGGTTATGTTGGGTTTTACACTCACCTGAGCGGCATACCCTAAGAAAGTCGGTGCCCATCCTTTGACTAAACCTTTGCTGCCATCTTCTTTAAACGTTATCTAAAACACATGCCATATAGTTCTTAATTATTATTATTATTTTATAACTGTACACTTATATGTTTGTCGATATAGTTAATAATTTATCTAAACGCAAAGATTTTAAGTGAATTTGATATCACAGCCGATATTTTTTCAGTTATTGCAGTCGCAGTCATGTACTGTAGAGTTTAATTGAACTATGTTCAATTTTTATCACTACTTTGTATATCTTATCCTAATAATTATTGTTTAATAAAATAATAAAGTAAAAACAAAATTATTAAAATAGTTAATACTCGTAAAGTAATATTAATAATAATATCTTATATCAATACATTTTAGATAATAAATATTAACCAAATGATTTATATTATAAATTATTTCTATGTAAAACGACCAATTCGTATAATTTTAGATTGTGAGTGTAGTGAAGAATGTATTGGTTTTACTAAGATAATATTTTTTTTTTTTTTTATACTGTGTACAAAAAAAATTTACATTTGCACAAATGCATTTTGGATGTACTTAGAGACCCAAGCAATTGCTCCCTCGGACTATTTTATTAGCAAAATACCCCTCGATTTGTTGTGCACACTTTTATACCGGAAATCTTGCTCTGATATATCAAGTGTAGGTTATTTCCTAAAAGAAAATATTATCTCCATGGTAGTTAAGGGAGAAAATGTTTTGATTTTTAAGCGGTTTCCATAATATCTGGAAAAAACCTGGATAAAATTCGGAAAATGGAAAATGTACAAAATGTACATAGTAATAAAAAAATATTATGGCCATTTCTTTCCGTGTACAACTTTTCTACCAGCAATTTCGCAGAAATTTATAATTCATTAAAAAATGATAGCAATTTTTCTGAAAGTAAATTTGACTGGGAAGGTCATTTTTCGATTTTGCCAAAAGTCAGCAAATGTGAAAAACTGGAAAAAACATACGAAAACCGGGAAAATTGGTACAATAATAAATAAATATTTTTAAAAAAAATATATAATGCCTATTTAATTATTTTACCATAATATGACATATATTTTGATGACAAAGTATCACTATCAACTGAACTGCGCTCAAAATCGTTTTTTCGTTAGCAATGGTTTATGCTTACAGATATAAATTAAATTACCTATAACAGTGGCTGCACCCGTCTCCATTATCCTAGGACGCCTTTTTTTTCTGTATATTCCATCATTTAATTGTTTATATTCAGTAGCATTTTAATTGTGGACTTTGATCAGAGGCATACCGAGAAGTTTTTTATTGGGAGGCTAAAGTTAGTAATTTGGTCAACTCTAAAAATTGATCCGGGATAACTTGTATTTGTTATTTTGTCGGAACCATTTCATCGTTATATTATTAAAATGTTTTAATTATATAAGTAAATTAAAAATTCAAGCTATAATACTAATACATTTTAATTATATCCATTACCATTAATTATATAAAAATGTGCAATAAAATAATAAATACTTAATAATAAAATATATAATTTTATGCCCTTATAGATGACGCTAGGTCCTGTAGGAATAATTTTAAATATTATTGATTTTCAATCTTCAGGTATACAATTACAATTTATTATAATAAAATATTTATTTTTAAAATGGCACAGTAATATGTTTTCATAGTAAAATAGCAATAGCTAATTGTGTGTACCACTAAAAAAAAAACCTCCTCGATACGCCCCTGAATATAATATATTAACTATTGGACACTATATCTACAAAATTGTTCAGTGGTTAGGTTGCATGCCAAAATAATAAATGTAAACGTCCGAATTGTATGCCATTTCTTATCGAGGTTTTCTAAGTTTCATAATATTAGTACTCATTGGAACATGTTAACATGGAACCATTAGTTGAAAATATTATGCTCAGTGAAAGAATCAAAAAGCTAGTTCTAATAGATGATTTTAAATTTTATTTTCAAAAATTATAATGTAATGATTGAAATGATTGAAAGGTGAGATTGCAGTAAACGATCGTGTAAGGTTTACATCAAATTAAACAGTGAACATGAAGTTATATTCAGAAATGTGGATCATAATCATAACAAAGATGACAAAAAAAATTAAACAGACAATAGGTATGTAATAATTTAAAACGTAAAGCTTAAGACGATCTTTAGAGCTTTAGCCTTTTGAAAAACCTAGTAAAATACTACATAGTGAACTATTAAAGGGATATATTAGCACGTAGACCACAAATGACACTAAACGTGTTCGAAACAATTTACATTACATCCGATTAAGCATTTATCCCAATCTGCCAGGTACTATGATTGATTTACATACAGCTTTAGATAATTTGAACATCAAAACTAATCGAGACGAAGGATTTTTATTTATTAATAACTATGAAAAAAATATTGTAGCTTTTACAACACAATCAAATTAAAAATATTTAAGTGAATGTGAAATTTCTTTTGTTGACGGTACATTTAAAAGTTGTCCTAAAATGTTTTACCGATTATTCACAATCCACGGTGTTAGAAATCATAACTATACTTCACTAATTTTTTTTTTACTAATGGGCAAAACAAAAGAAATTTTTGTAGATGCTTTGACTAATTTATTAATAAAGATGAACGATTTGAGCTTAAATTTATCGTCAAAAAAAATATACGCTGACTTTGAACTAGCTATTCATTTTGCACTGATAGTTGTTTTTCCAAATGCAATAAGAAAAGGATGTCGTTTTCACTTAGGACAGAGTATATGGAGGAAAATCCAATCAGTAGATTTATGTACATATTTTAAAAAGAAAACAGAAATAGGAATGTTTTTAAAATTATTTTTTGGACTGTCATTCTTAAATCCAAATGATGTAGATGACTATTTTACAAACGACCTGATGGCAATTCAACCCAACGATGATCATGCATACATGCGTTATGTGATTATTTCATAGAAACTTATGTAATGGCCAACAGTTTATTTCCGCCATCTATTTGGGCTGAATTTTCTAATTCTACTATGCGTACAATCAATGTTTGTGAATCTATTCCATTCCAAACTGGATAGTATGTTTTACTCTCCAAGTTTTAATATATTTCAACTAGTCGATGTCTTAAAGCAAGTACAATGTGATATATATGTAAAAATACATTCTTCCAATTTAAATAAAAGTTGTCGAGACATATTAGAAAAATAATAATTTATAAGTTCAGTGATAACGCAATTTCAAAAAAAAAGGGATTAATAAAAAAATGTATATAGAAAAGTTATCATATATCGCCATATATGATAACTTTTCTTGCCTAAAACAAAATAAATATAACATCATAACACATGACACATAATAAATAGGTACATAAGACATTAGATTTTAATATATTGACGATATTATACGTATAAATATTTTAAAAAAGTAAAATAACATCAAAATAATTAACAATATTTTTAAATTTAAAAAATAAAACATTTTTAACCACACTAGTTTAACAATAATTAATTTCTACTATCAGTCCTAAGTCTGTAAAAGTGATAGGGAAAATGCCACTTTATTTTTATTGTTATTATTTATTTTATTATTATTAATTATACACGGCACGCAATTCGGACAGACCTCTATAAGAGGTGGTATGCAATTCGAGTGCAGCCCAACGGTTATAGGTGTTGTACACGATAAGCGGCATAATAGATTGGTAATCAATGGCCAATGGTAAAGTAATTTTCAAATTATCAAATTAGACAAAATAAATAATTAAATATTACTATTAATATTACGAAGTATGATTTATTATCTATACGTATATAAAAAATAACATGTCCTGACTGACTGATTCATCATCGCCTAGCCCAAACCACTCGACGGATAGGTCCGAAATTTGGCACAGATAGTTATTATGACGTAAGCATCCGCTAATTAAGGATATTTTTGAAAATTCAACCCCTAAGGAGGTAAAATAGGGAAATTTAGGTAGAAGACATCAAGTTAACTAGTAACCACGTTCGGTTGGCTATGTATAGTATCGGTTACAATTAACATTAGGATTTATAATCTTCCTCACCACTGTATATCCCTCTTATTATTACTGACCAACTGATTACAGTTTACAATTTATTTTTCCAATAATAGGTAATTCTAATCAACATCACTATCACAATCCTATACAAATTATCAGTTGGCCATTATGTACAGTTATTTAGTTTTTGATAAATGTAAAATGGCTAATTGAAAAGTTAAAAAAACAATTATTAAGGGGGTATTATGACCTCCCTACCCCCTCCCGCTAGGTAAGCCCCTGACTGTGATATACATGTTGATGAATTTTCAATTCGAACCCGGTCTTATAATATACTTATCATAATACTCCAGGTGAAACGTTTATTAATTAATTTTTTTTATTTTTATATATAAATATTTATTTATTTATTTACTATATTTAATTATTATCTATTTTTTAATTTTCGAAATTCCGTTGTCAAATTCAAACAATAAACATTTATTAAGTGCATTGTATATCTATAAGCATATCATAAGCATATCTATATATCGATTCTCTTTTTTAATCTCAGACTCAAACAGTAATTATTTACTCGCAAAGTACGGAATAGCGAAAAAATTTTAAAAACAGTAAAAATATCAAGTATCCTTAAAAGATATAGTTACATAATACTGTGATAGAAGAAACATCAAGTTCATTTGTACATTTTCATATATACGGTAAGTGATAAAAATTTAAAAATTTAAAAAAAATCCTTACGGACCGTGTGATACAGCTAATATTGCAATTGCAATTGGTGTTCACATACTCACTTTAAAACCTTGTATAACATTCTTGTATTTGGCTTGGTCAACTTGTAAACGGCATTTGACCAAATCTAACGGAGTGACCATACAATGGGTCACACCACATGATACGAAACCACCGAGTCCGCAGAGTAAAAAGTATTTGGTCGATCCGAATGCACAACTGTCTTTAAACAAATAATACTAATTTTAGTATAATTATATGTAATACTGATCATCGTTATAAAGGCGTAATTTTAGATTAAGGTATATTAAAAACGTTATATAAGTAGTTTAAAAATACATATTTTTTTTTCGGTTAGTAAAAGATTTTTTTCATGGCGCACATCAAAACATCCGAATTTTTCTCGAATTTTCAATAGTTTTTCTGTACAATTTTAAATCCCATATAATAACATTATATTTGTATCATTACTTTTTGTTGGTTTCTGATTACGGGCTTTTCTTTCTTTTTGATTAAGTTATTTAATTCAGAAAAATTCAGTATACTTATAGTTGGCAAATATTTAATGAATTGTATGTACATACCTATATTATATACAATATAATAATATTTTGATGTACTGTGACCCAATCAGTAGTGTATCTGGGTAAAAACTAGAGGGTAAAATATTTTATTCTCCAAAATCAAAACCATTCGGTGTAAATATATTTGTATTCTATGTATTATTGTTTTTTGAAAACAATGTTAAAACTCAATTTACACCTTAAAAACTAATTGTAGGTATTAGGGGTAACATTATTGTTAAATAATATTAAGCTCATAGAAGTTAATTAAAAAAAAAAAAAGAGCCAATACTGGGGACGGGTGTAGCCACTTTTATAGGTGGAGGAAAGTAAGGAAGGTGGGATACACAAAGTTATTTAATTTACATTTGTAACCAATGATAGACCATTAATAACGAAAAACGATTTAGAGCGAAGTTCGGTTAGACATAATTTGAAAGGCCGTATTATTTACGATTTTTGTCAAAATTTGATTTTAAAATTTTAAAAAAAAAACCTACATTACTAAATTATATTTTTTGAAACGAAATTAATTTGTTTTTTTTCTGTTATATACCCAAAGTAGTATCGCGAAAAAATGTTTTCGGAACTCTGGTTTTAACTTGCAACCCCTGTGATGTCAACAAGTACATATCACCAGACTACTTATTATCTAATATATTATCTAATAATACTTCCAAAAAACAGTGAAATTTGATTATAAAATGGTAGGTGTGAAGTTGAATGTTTAATTTCTTAAAAAGCACGTCATTTCAATACTAACACCTTGAACTAACAAATTGTCATCTCTCTGGCTTCTTTTAAGGGATTAATTATGGTGTGAAAGCTAATATAAATAAAACTAACCCCCTCATAATAACATGGTGTAATTCAACCCAACTTATATATCAATTCAATGCTCATATGAGTATAACTTTTATTTCATAGTTTGAACTTTGTACTGGGTCCAAAGGCCCTTCTATACTATATCAGTTTAAAAGTGTTTAAAACATAATACAGTGCAAATATTAATTTACCGGAAAAATGTATCAAAAATTGGAAAAAAAATAATAAACACATTTAACAAAACACGATTGTATACGAAATGCTTAAAGTAACGTAATTTGTGTGCAGTATGTGAGTTAACGTATTTTAAATTTATTACAGGTGTACTGACTGTGACGCTGGGTTTTAGTTTTTCAAGTTTTTTTATTTTTATACAAAACAACATTTTCATCGGCGGATTAAAAACATCACATACATTTTTAACTAATTCGACTCGCTTGATTCGCTATAAGCTTATAAATTATATGTATATTATTATGGAAGCTATAATAACATTCAATCAAATTATTATACATTATACGCGCCACTACAACAACACCATTATTCGGAAATAATAACGCGTTACGCGAAATAATAAAAAAAATCGATAAAAAAAAAAAAAAAAACAATCAATAGTTTTTGCTGTTGTGTTGATTTAAAATCAAAGGACAAGCACGCGTTTATCTGTGCAAATCCGGGCAAAGGATATAAGAAATACGATATCCGGATTCGCGCACAACGAAATTTCTTATTTTTCTCTACAATATATCTGAACGTGTTTTGCACATTATATTTTTTTTCTTATATGAGGTAAAACCAATCCGCGATCAAAATTAAACGTGGTTAGTTTAAGGTAAGTGGTGTAAGTTTTCTTCACGGTTTAATTAATAAATATGCGTACATTTAAATAATATATTTTTCAAATAATTTTCAATTAAACTTTTTTCTCTCAATTCTAAAAAAAATAATAACCATTATAATTATAAAATAATTTTTACTCCCTTTTGACTCTCCTTTAAAAATATTTTATTGTTCATGTAACGTCCGTTTAAATTACCTATGCTAATTATACACAAGAGGGAAAATGTAATAACTACAATTTTATATTAGAGTAAAATGTACAAAAAAAAATGACTTTAATATAGTAGGTATGTTTTTAGGTAAAATAATAATTCACTTAACTCGATTATCAGGACTTAATATAATATTAAATAAATGCGTAGTTAGTTTGTATACCAACTATAATATAGTGACCTTTACTACACCAATATTGTACATTTTCATATAATGTGGTTAAAAAATTAAAAGTGGGTTTAGTTTAAAATTATTTGAGAATGTTCGTCTCATTCACAAATCAAGCGGCAACAAACAGTTTTACAAATTAAAAAATAATACATATACAGGATGAATCACTAAGTGTGCTCACCTCATAAATAGATGGAGTATTAGTTAAAATAAATCTGGGTGTTGATTTCCGTAGATCCGTTGACGAGATACTCCACTTTTTAAGTTTAGATTGTAGGAAAGTAGTGGAGTATCATTTGTGTAGCGGTACGGCTCGCGGCGTATTAAAACAATGCATCATTACTCTCCTCCAACCAAAACTTAAAAGTGGAATATTTCGTCAACGGCTCGACGAAAATCAAAAATGTCAACACTCAGATTTACTTTAACTAATACTCCATCAACTTATGATATTTTTAATATAGGTTGCTATTTGAAAATCAAAAGTAGGTAGTCGTTTCACCCCCAAAAATAAAGGTGACAAAAAATAACATAGATATAAAATTGTAGAGCTGCTTGTTTTTTAAATGTTCTAGAAAACAAATTCCGAAAAAATGTAATACTTTTTGAGATAATAAGTGTACCCACTTATAAATGGATCACTTGGTATACAGTACTCCTTGGCAAAACGAGTAGTTAGCGACTGTCGACCACCTGCAGCAGTCATATAAAAAAAACAATTCGACCACCCAAACAATTTTTTTGATCCACTTGTGTGTATATTAATTGTATTATCATTATAGATGTATCTACGTCGAGTTCAAATATAAGACTGTATACGTATTTTTTTTCAAGGTATTCTTCAGAGGTCGTCAAAACAGGTAGCGTGCCAATTATTATTATTTGGCACACGTGCGAGATCAACTATATTATTATAGTAAACCGAAAAACGTCACTCTACTTATTGCCACAGAACGGCACTGCGGGAGGGTCTAAAGCATTTGCGCATCGTCTGTTTACCTGTGCTAAAATATCGTTCATCGTTTGCCCATCAACTACTGATTATCTTTTGCATATTGTGTGTTTACCTGCATGAAAAAATCATACATCATATGTGCATCAACATACCGAACAATAGAAGGATGTAAAATAACATATAGGGACAAGTTTTTGTTAAATAAATATTTAAAGTTCATTTGATTTGACTATTTGAGTAAAAATGAATTAATTAAATAAATAAGTAAATTAAGCACTAAAAATAATATTATGGTACATTTATAGTTGGTATATTATAATGCCCCATAATTTTTACAAAATAGAACCTGTTTATTTCACCGGTGGTATACTTGAGACAATGGTTTTGAGTATATTCAATTTGTTAACGTTCATAAGGACGTTGTCAATGATGGATACCACTAGAAATATCTTTAATTTTAACATATATCTCTGACTGTATTTCTTTCAACGTTTCCATTACCTAAGTATACAGAATAAAATATTTAATTTAAAAAATTAATTTAATTAAATTATTAATTATAATTTATAAAAATGTCATACTTTCTACATTGAAAGATGAGTACAGTAAAATTGCCAAAGAGCTTCATTTGGTACCTACATGAAGTTATAATTTAGTGTGCTTATATCAGTTATACGTTAGTTTTACTTATTCGTAATTATAATAAAATGTCCGAGCACAAAATATTAAGACAATATTTATTTTTCACTTTAATTAAATGGCTGATTATAAAATCTAAACTATAATTTTTTTTCAATTTATTAGGAAAGAGGGCAGTGTGAGTTTTTGAAAATCTAAAAGGGAAAATCTGAAAATCTCGTGTATTTAATTAAATCGGTTATTTCCAAAAATGACACATTTTAATTTTAATTTGACTTTGTGTTTTTCAACCTCCGAAACCGTCAATTGGAGATGTATGTGTTGTCCACACATAAATGTAACTATACAATTGTTCAGAGTTTTTCTTTCAGTATAAACAAATATTTAGAAAATGGCCGCAGCTTTTCCTCGATTTGAATCAACAAATTTTAATTGACTCATTATTAAATAAATATGTGCACTTAAAAACAACTTAAAATTCAAAAAACATGTGCACACAATATAATTGAAATTGAGGTATTTTATCTCATTCTGACAATAAGTCGTTCGTGAACAACTTGATCAAAATCACTCAAACGAACAAATTGATTCAGATTCAGTAACCGAGAATGATTAACTCATTTTTATCTTCATTTAAATCATTGATTCATAATTCACCGCGAGTTATAAAACAGGTACATACCTGCGAAGCTACGACGTTTAGTAACACAAAAATTATCAAATTTGTTACATAATATACAAGTAGTCCCCGTGTTATAATCACTAAAAAAAAACAAAAGTTTTTACAAAAAACCGTTTCACCTAAATTACTCTATGTGTATTTATAATAGTGATCAAAATTGTCCAACACATTTATCTGTATCGTAACATGATCATTTTTTTGTTCACGTAAATATAATTGAAGTTATTGGTTTATAAACATTCGGTTATTTATTATTTTTGTTTTTTCAAGTTTACTTCACGTAGAGCATCAATTTATGTGGTGGCTCGCACGCGGCGTATTAATAATGCACCACCGCTCTCCTCAAACCCAAACATAAAAGTGGATTATCTCGTCAACGGCTCGCCGGAAAACAAAAATGTCAAAGATAAAATTTATTTTAATTATAACTCTATTTATTTATGGACTTTTTAATACAGGTTTGCATTTGAAAATCAAAAGTAGACAGTGGTTTTACTCCCAAAAATAAGGGTGGCAAAAAATAACAAAAATATAAAATTTTAAAGCTGCTTGTTTCTTAAATGTTCTAGAAAACAAATTCCGAAAAAGGTTACTTAATACTTTCCGAGATAATGAGTATATCCACTTAAATGGATCACCTAAAGGACTTTAATATATATCTGTAAGCAAAAATTAATCAATGCTAACGAAAAACGATTCAGAGCGGAGCTTGGTTTATAGTATTGCTTTTTCAACAATTTGCAGTGTATCCTACGATGATCTGCTACTTGAAATAACTTTTGTTCAATTCAATATTTTTGATATATTTTTAAAAAAATAATTAGTATGCTTCTGTGCTACAATTTAAATATAACAATTTCTTTAACATAAAATGTAAATTTAAAATTGTATATATGTTTTTTTAAAAGTCCAAAACAGCCATTTTGTAAAATAGATGTTTAGAAAATGTTTGGTGGTTGAAACTTTTTTTGAGTCTTTTATTTTCACGATTTTTTGAAAATGTCATATTATAGTAACATAAATATATATATATATATATATTATATTGAAAACATTTTTATGTAAAATTCTATGTACCAGTAACTAGATTTCTCCTACATAATTTTTTACTCAAACGATTTTTGTCAAAATTTGATATTAAAATTCTAATAAGAAAAATATACTTTAACTAAATTGAATTTTTTTTTTGTTTGACAATAGATGACTACTAATAATTAACATCCTATTCAATTTTCAAGCATTTCTGTTCAGTTTTAACAATTTTATCCACATAGTACCAAATTTAAATGACACAAAATTCAAATAAAATATCTACAAATAGCTCAAAAATGGCTAAAAATTAAAACAAAATAAAATAAAAATCATTGATTTTGTATATTTCCCGCTTTTATCGCTTTTATCCCGGGTTTTTCTAGATATAAAGAAAACCCCTCGGAAAATTAACAAATTTGCCTCCTTGAGTACCATCTAGAAAATATTTCCTTTCCGAAATTACACCACACAGACCGAAGCAAAATTTTTGGTAAACATTTTTGTCACAGTTTAAAAATTTAAAAAAAACTCCTAGGATAATGGAATCGGGTGCAGCCACTGTTATAAGTAATTTAATGTATATCTGTAAGCAACGATAAACCATTGCTAACGAAAAAACGATTCTGGGCATAGTTCAGTTGATAGTGATGCTTTGTCAAAAGTATATAAGTCATATTATAATAAAATAATTAAATAGGCATTATATATTTTCTTTAATATTTGTTTAATATTATATCGATTTTTCCGTGTTTCTTTCTTGATTATCACATTTGCTAAGAAAACTCTTAGCAAAATCGAAAAATGACCTTCTTAAATAGCCTTTCAAGTTAGATTTACTTTCAGAAAAATTGTTATTATTGTAAATCGGAGCGAAATTGCTGGTAGAAAAGTTGTACACAGAAAAAAAGGCCATAATATTTTTTTACTAATACCTACATTTAGTACATTTTTCGTTTTTCCGACACTTTATCCCGGTTTTCCCCAGTTATTATGAAAACCGATTGATAAATCACATAAATGACCTACCCAAACCATGAAAGTAAAATTTCCCTTCAGAAAATAAACCACACTTGATACATTGGAGCAAGATTTCTGGTAAAAAATTTGCAGAACAAATCGAGGGGTATTTTTCAATTAAAATTGTCTGAGCTAGTGTCAGCTGGGCCTCGAAGTACACTTAAAATGCATTTGTTTTTTCTCTATTTAGGTAAAAGGTAAAAAAAGAACAAACATTTCTTTTCGAACCCCGAGTTGAACCCGCGTACCTTAGTTTGGCAATTTGTACTCATGACCATTGGACTATAAAAAACGTATAATAAAGTTGAGAATATAGAGCTATTTAACATGTTCATGTAATATCTGCATAATATCTGAACTTCAAAAAGCTATAATTTCGAAACATAGTCAGGCCACTCAATTCTTACTATCCTTCTTAAAATCGGCAACACATATATGTTCGAAAAATCTAATTGAAAAATTAGATTTGTTCCACATAATTTTTTACTCAAACAATTTTTGTCAAAATTAATTATATCACAATTCCTTTACAAAAACAAATACTACATCAAGCTAAATTTTTATTTTTTTTACTACAATGTAAGATTTGATGAACCTTTTGTAAAATGTTCATGCATCTCTGTTATACTTCAAGTCTGTGAGAATATTTTTAAGTGAATTACAAATAACAAAATTGATAAAATAATAAAAATATTAATTTCATACATTTCCCGTTTTTTTACGTTTTATCCAGGTCTTTTCCAAGTATTATGAGAATTGCTTGAAAAATCAAAAAATGATCTTTCAAAAGTACCATTTAGACAACATTCCCTTTCAATAATGGTGCCGAATTTTTGTACATAGGTTAAAAAAATAAAAATAAAATAAACATCTTAGTAAAACCAATACATTCTTCGTTACACTCAGAATCTATAACAAACATTATTGTAAAATCAATAAATTCTTTGCTATAACATTTATATATTCAGAATTTAAAATTCAAGAATTGTTCATAAGTAAAGTTAAATCAATTAATGTTTCGACAGCCGATTTTTAAATATACAGTTTATAGATTTAGTTATTACGGTAGTAATTAAACGTAAACGTGATAATTGACACAAAGGTTATTTGGAGGGCGAATTTCCGATGGTCACTTTTGGTGAAGTTCCGTGCGTAAAGCCAAACTCAATACCTACCGTAAAATATAAATTGAATACCGAGCAATTCAATTTTTTTTAGTGGTTCTTATAAACGAGTAATCATTGTTTTTATTATTCGCGTTTTTCTAAAATTAAAAATAAGCACGCCGTTTATTTGCGTAATGTAAAAAACGATTTTAAAAAGAAATAAACATATTTTGTTTATGGATTGTAGTTTTTATTTCTCTATTTTCTCTCTCCTCTCATCACTGCATTTCTTAGTTTATTGGTGGGAAAATTTGCATCGCTAAAAAATAATACCTACCTATGTTCAATTACCCGAATCGACTATTGTGTTATAAAATCTGAGTATGATACCCGGTACAAATCTACTTGACAAATATTGTCTTCTCGATAAAAACCCAACGTTATTTAATAATAAGTCGAACCGTTCCTTATCTCGTCCGTCGTACGGTTGTTCCGACGAAATCGTACAACCTACGGAATTCCTTGAAAAATATATTTCCCTTCCACTCCAATATTTATGGATATAATGTAACATTCTTTTCGATGTTTAAAGCAGGGTTGAAACATAATATAGTAACGTATACACAGTGCACACGTATATTATACGTGCGCATAAAACATACAGTACAAAACTATTTGGTTTTATACACTTTGTACTGTATAAAAGTGTTCAAAAATTATTTTATTATAGCTGCATAAATAGCAACTATTGGGGATAATTTGTTACATTAATTGTTAATAAGTTTATCTTCATTAACTACATTGATACTTTAAATTTTTAAATATTAAAAAAAAAAGTTTTATTTTTAAATTTCAAATTAAAATAATTTCACCTACAGTGTTTAATGTGTAGCTGAGACGGTATTATTTTCACAATGAAATGCTTTTATTTGTATATTATTTTTAATTAAGGTATTTTCTAGTTGAAATGCAAAATGGAAAATACCAATTCATTATTACGTACAATGTTATATATTATAAAGGTATAAAAAGTTTTTAACACATTTGATGGATATTAATAATAAGTAATAACTAATAATCGTTATAGTGAATATTAAATAATAGTATATTGTATAGAAAAAAAAAATATATTGACATTTCTTTATAAAGTTGTACACACATATTCTACCAAGCCGTGTTCCAAAGTACAGTTTTTTCGTTATTCTGACGTTTTATTTCTAGAGAGTAAGACAACTATATATATTAAGAAATTTTCTATATCGCGATAATACAAACACGGGTATTCGGTGGTTCTTGTGCAAAACTATCTATAATGCAACTCCTAAGTCCCAACGTAAATTTTCGGATTTAATCAGTTTTTAACCGATTATTTTATAATAGATGTTAGATTTATAATATATATATACTATAATAATAGGTGTACATACCTTCAGAAACGGCGGCAACAGCTGCGGCCATCGGGTAGTAATTGGACTTGAATTCTGGAGCAACCGGCGGGAACATCTTGGATGTCTCGGCGATTTCCTGGATCGTCGGCATTTCGCGGAGCGGGATTTGAATGTCTGAGGGATATAGGATAGATATAAAAAAAAATACGTGGACGACGGTAGGTATCTCGTCGAGCGGTACTGCACGGCGAGAGGTAGGACACTGATGGCGAAAACGGTCGGCGTGCGACGGTACACCGAAAAAATCCGACCTAAATAGTTATAATGTCAATGCCGCAGATAGAGTGTGTGTGTGTGTTTGTGAGTGTGTGTCTATGTGCGTGTAGAGTAGATAAAGTGGGAAAAAACTTGGCAGGAAAAAAAAGCATAAGTACTGCGATTACTGGCGTCGTGTAAGAGACGTCCGCGGTCTAAAAAACTCTTCCGCCCGCCGTCGTTTCGCAAAAATGTATTATTAAACATGCCCTCGGACGTACTCAACGCGGGTGCCAAACGCGCACCCGTCCCGATTTTTCTTCTTTTTTTTAAATTTTTATTTTATACGAATAATTCACTGAACCCACTATTTATAATAATAACGATAATATATATGTATTATTATAACGTTCAGCCGTGATTATAGCTGGGGAGGAAGGGTAGGGAGTTCGCAATTTTACCGTGTTCGGACTACTGCGACATATATTTCGAAATTAATAGCTAATGGGATGAGAAATATACTCCGAAATTTCTATTTATTCGATTTTAAATTTTTATTTAATGTGGATTGTTTAAAAGTACCACCTTTCAAAAACTTATTGAAAATTGTTCATTAAACCTACTAGAGAAAAGTGTAATAGCAGGTCAAAATAAATTAAGTCCTTATGTTTTCGTAGCTGAAGATGCTTTCCCACTTTCTCCATGTATATTGAAACCCTATAGTGGACATCAGAATAAAGGCTCGAAAAATCGTACATTTAATTACCGCCTAAGTCGCACCAGAAGAGTCGTGGAAAATGTATTCGGCACAATCGCTTTAATCTTTCGGGTGTTTCGCAAACCTATGTTGTTGCAACCGGAAAATGTGGAAAAAGCTGTACTAGCTTGTGTATACCTACACAATTATTTACGTAAAAGCTCGTTATCAAAAAAAAGATATACTCCTCCAGGAGCATTCGATTCAGAACAATTAGATACTGGCACAATAGAAAGAGAAACTTAGAGAAAACATCAACAATGTTTCAATCATTTTTATCAATTAATCAAATAGCTCGAAAGGCATCAATTGAAGCTGCAGAAGTTAGAAATTGGTTAACCGAATATTTCATTTCAGAACAAGGTCAAGTACCATGGCAAATAAACCATTCTTAATTTTAAAAAATTGTTAACTGTGCATTGCATAATATAATATGTTATATTAAATATATTATGTTAATTAACATATTATTTATTATTATTATGTTATTATATAATTACCTAATTATTTATTTTTTTATTTTTTTCTACTCCGAAATAAAATAATGTTAATCGATTATTTTAAATATTTTTTTTTAATCACAGATAACTTATAATTGGAAAGCACATTATTTTTACCTAACTTTCTTCAGTGAAACCGGCTTCTCGAGATTTCCTTGGTTTATTCTTGTCTTGAAGAAAACTCATTAAATCGTATCCGAACCACTTGGCACGGAAATCTCTTCCCACTCCAGATTTTTTGATGGCCATATATCCACGTCTCTCCCTAGTATATTGAGAATATATATTTTTTAATTTTCAATCAATTTCCATACAGTCTGTATTGAATTGAACACTCATTTCTTTCAATGTGTCAGTTTTCTTAAATCTTTTTTTATAGTTCGCGTCCGTTGCATCCCACAATATAGGCAATTCCCTGTAAGTTTTATTAAAATTACCCAAAAATGAATTATAGATAAAAATGTGAATTAAAAAGTACAAAAATTATTAAATAATTGTACTAGGCCTATATAAGAGCACACCACTTGGGAAAAAAACGCACCATTTGCAGTACCGCATAGTTTTCAAACTTAAGGTGGTGAGGAAATCTGCAAACTGTTGATATGTGTGTGTATTATTAACTTTAACAACACTATTGAAATGAGAGAATGAGATATTAACTATACAAATAAATGAACAAAACTGAAAAGTATAAATAATAACAAGGGAACGGATTTATATATTTTTAAATTCCATTAAAAAAATTGTCAAAAAAACATTAAAAAAAATTACTTAAAAATATTTTAAAAACCAAAAATAGTAGAGGGATTTAAATATCTCCTCTCTAGCTAATTAAAAATAATTGTCTAACACTATGAGAATGATGAACACAAAGTAATTGTTTTCAAATCAAATTGTGCATACTGTGAAAAAATTAGTTTGTGTACCTAATCATTTTTTTTTAGTGTTAACAAATTTTATTTAATAGAGTTAAAATCGTTAGAGGAAGAATTTTTAAGCACTTTTTACTGTTTTAAATATTTTTTTCAGGGCTTTTTTGAAGATTTTAAGCATTTATTTTGTGAACTTTAAATACATATATACATCCGTTTGTATAAATTATAAATGATAAAATATTAAACATTATCTGCAAAACAAATTATAAGGTAAAAATATACAAATATTAATTGTTACCATATTTGCAATTATTTTATTTTATTATCATGCGATTACTTCTGAGCGTCGCACAATTCTGAAAGACATTGTCCATATTTTGAGTGCTGACAAAATATGTACTCTAAACTACAAACCAATTTACCACTGATATAAACCATCGTATTTTTAAAGATTTGATCATGTATGCTAGCTATAATCACTAGTAGGTTGTGGGTAGGTACCATATTATTAATGTCCGTATTGAGTTAAAAATTACAATTGGAGCACGGTCTATTATCAATATCATTATCTATCATTATTTAAATTCTATAATGTTAGCACTCAGTTGTTTGATATGATTAGTGATAAGTTCCTATTTCTAATTCAATATTTGAAAATTTAAAATATATTGAATATTGATTAAAATCGTTTTTCGGTAAAAAATATTTTTTATTGCATACTTTTCCTTATGCATTTCATGTAATCTCTGCGTATATTTATTAATATGAATTTTGGTTAACATCTTTGTTTTAAGGCTTTTGTATTACTTTTTTTAAACTTCTTATTATTACTATGGTTTTTATTGTCATGGCTAAGTAGGTATCGACAAAAATTTTAAAAATAGTATAGTCAAATTAGAGAAATTCAATGACTAATACTTTTTAATAATTTCAAAATGTTAACGAGTATTTTCAAATACTACTATAACTGAAGTTTTGGAAGTTAGGCTATCTCTTTTGAAAACTAAATGTTTCAGGTTATTAATGTTTAATTAATAAAAATGATCACGAACTGTTCATAATTATTTTATGAATTACTAAATAATTTAATGCACGGTTATTGATCAAACCATTCAATAACAGCTAATGTTTCATAATGAAAAAAAATGAGAATAATTAAATAATGTATATGGGTACTTACGTAAAATAATATGTACCTATAGATACAAATCTAAAGGTTATAATAGATTTTAGAAATAATACAAAATAATCATGATATCTATTTGACCAATACAACCATAGAAATAGTTACCTATTTGTTCAAAAATAATAATAATTAATTTTGTTAGTTAATAATATAAAATATTTAAGTTCAAAATATCAAACAATAATGAAAAGGAACATTGGCAATATTTAAATAAAAATATTCTTTGGTAAGTAGGTACAGAAATATTTTTTTAAACATCAGCAATAGATTTTCGAAAGTTAAATAGGCAATAAACAGACAAGTTGAACAATTTCAGGAGCTGAGCAGGCAATTTAGGCACAAATTAAACGGTAGCCATAGAATACTAAATAATAAATTTGTTGGTGTTGGGTAGGCAACTTATTGAACTAGTAGCAGTACAATTACAGGAGTTGAATAGGCAACACTGTGTATAAATTTGGGAAGCACTGGGCATTTTTATCAAATATTGCTAGCAGAACGTACGTCTTTTTGTTATTCAGTTGGAGCATATTGGTCAATACCATTATTTAAGGTTACCAATAGGCCATAATTACCAATATTTATTCTTATTATTTTTCATTATTTTCATCGAGATCTAAGTATAAAAAATTTGATTAAAAGTTACAATAAAATATAATAAATGTATATATACTAGAATTAAATAATATACAAATTGAGTCAGTACCTATCTAAATATTTTACAAAAGTATTTCCATTGTATTATACATAACGAGTGTTGGAATTGAAATTTGGATACACGTTAGCACATTAAACAACAAATTTTAACACAACATATTTTTGTTTGTCAAATATAGGTTAGTAAATTACTATAAATTTTAGCGCGTAAAGTGTTTAGTGTTATGGTTAAACACTATTCCATCCACAAAATATCAGATTTCTGATAAAGAAATTCGATTGATCACTTCTCCTCTAACGGATTGGTCAGCAGCTGAGTTTAGGAACAATTAAATCTAGAAGCTGACCAATCTAATGAATTTAGGAACACGCGGTATAACTAGATAGCTAACTGATTATACCTGACGTACCTCTTATTAAGAAGCCGAATACAATAATATGCGTGGTATTCAACGTTTAGTTTGTTATCACTTTATTAGTTCAAATTTATTATCATATAACATAGATTATTATTAAATAATATAATATAGGTACATAATATGGTTTAGAGTCTAGACAATAAATAATTGGTCCAAAATATTCGATGCCATCGTGACAGTTTACTATTAATACAGTTGTAGCATCCCTATTAAATTAATATTATATTCTGTAATGATAAGAAATAATAACAATAATTACTGTAAAAATTGACTACAATGCATAAGGCAGAGGACTTCCATTTGTTATGGTATTTATATTTTATAGTTAGATTAGGTTTGCAGTCCAGTTATTGTGTACATCTGTGTTTTTTTTTTTAAAAACGAAGATACAATATAAATTATTTTTATTAAATATTTGAATATGATTACCATGTTCCACTTAGTTTTCCTTACTTCTTAGTAAATCCACGTTTATCTATATCGATACTTTTTCCCCACCCTTTACTTGTAGTTTGATAGGTTACTACATGGCTAAATAACTAGCCATGGGTTACCATACCTTACCCGCAAAAAATATCTATAAGATCATATTATTACAGTAATTTTACATTTTTAATAGGTACTTGGGAATTCAAAAAGCTATTATCATTCTAATTGGAAAAAAGGAATTTAAATAACCAAACATTATGCAAGTATATTTTCTTCATTTTTTTATATTATCATCATTCAAATCAAAAGAAACTTCGAACACTAATTATTTTGGTGTTTCTACAGATATAAATTTTTGGCTACCATAATCACCTATTTTCTGTAAAGTTCTGTATTTCATAATAGATAATGGCAGAATGGTATGATTGTCTACGCCTGTCTTTCTATCAAAAACACAACACTTGTTCAAAATAAAATAAGTTATATTATTATTATTTTTATAATTGTAAAATGTATGTTTATACTTTGATTACTTCATTATTTTTAGACCAGTATTTTTGCCTAGTTATGGCCAAGTTTATCTCCTTCTCCTCAACTGTAATGAAGTTAAGCCATTTATAGATCATGGCTAAATAAGAGTGTATTGGACACCACCAAGAGTTGCACTAGTAGAAACATTTAATTAAATAATCAAATGAAGAATTACTGATGTTAAGTATTAATTTAATATGAACAACCAATAATACTATAAAAAATAATACTACTTACACTAATATTACTAATTACTATTTACTATTGCTGCCTTTTTTTTTGTATCATAAATTGTGGCTCGTGGGAGAACTGCTTTTACTATACTTTCCCAGCGGGGAACCACTGTTTTTTAACATTATAACAACAACACACAAATTAATATTACTACTACTATTAACTATAACTTAATAATTTACAAGTACTTGATTTTCTTATATTTTTGACTGTTAATTGTTTTTTAAATAAATCATTATGACCATCAAGGAGAAGACGGGTAAAACTCGCTAGTATTATAGAATAAAAATAGCTCACTGCAACATAGTATACTGAAATACAAAATACGCAACACACGAAATTACTTACGACTGATGATGATAAGAAATTCATTGATTTTAAAATAAATAATTAATTAATTATTAAATTATTTCTAATCGTCACGTTTATTTTAATCATTTTCATTGTAATAAAATGCTTCACGTGGAGTAACTGCAGTTAAAAGTTTGCAATAGCACTAAACAATTTTCATATCCCCTTCTTCAAAAAAATCCTAAATACGCCCTGTCCTCCCTGACGTTGTTTTACACAACAAATAGAGAGTTATTTTCGATTAAAATTATCTGAGTGAACTTAGCGAAACACAGAGCGTTTGAACGTTTGTAAATTTAAAACTAAGTCAGATAGACTTGTTGTCTTCAATAAAAAAAAACTTTGTGATCAAAATATCAATAACTTCAAATAATAATAATTAAAAAAAAATTTAACTGCATTTTGTTATGCAAAATGTTATTTTTCAAGGTAATGTACAAAAACTATAAAAATAAGTATGATTGGTAAGTTTTAACTATACCAATGGATTAAGAATTTAAATACACACGTTTTGTAAAAAAAAAAACTTGAAAATGTTAAATTCTAACTAAGAAATACGCGAGACGGAAAACTCGAACTTTATGTAGGTCGTCAGACTTTTTTTTACATTATTAATGTACACGAAAAAAACACACATTTTTAAAAACCACTAAAAAATGCGTGGGAGCTAAACTAAAATTATGCCGTAATCCCATATAAAGAAATACAATTAATTTAGATTGCTAATTATTTTTTTTTTTTTAGACTCCTCTTGAAGTAGGAAGGAAACGTATGCATTCAACTGCCACACTTCATTCATCTCTTTTACTTATTGTTCTAGCTAGTAACAGATTGTAAATTGTATTAAATAAAAATAAAATGTATCTTGGAACGACAATAATAAGTGCTATAATAAGCGGTATTATACATAATATATTGACAAGAAAATTTAAAACCAAACCGGATACGCACAGAATAGTTTTGTAGATTTTGTCCCTGTACGGATTGAAATCCGAAATTTGACGATACATTAGATAATGTTATATTGTGATTCAAATGTTTACCTATTTATCAGTGATTTAAGTCGTAATTTCGTGGAATTCGAATAATTTATTTCAAAATAATTAAAGTAATAAACGTAGACGTTTTTAACTAATGTCAACATATTTTGACTGACAATAAAATATGTTTTCTGTTAGCATTGGTTGTTTAATGTTTATTCAACGGGATTATAGGTAGATAAAATTATATCTCTACTGTATTATAACTCTATACTGTCATTAATTGTCTTTTTTTTACCTATCTATTTTATTGTTAGCACTATAACAATAAATGTTAATTAACAGTAATTGTATAATCTATTCGGTTTTTTTTTTTTCAATGACTAAAATCAAATCGATATTCGGTGAACCATCATATTATTTTTTCTTCTGTTTAAAATTTATACAATTACCAAAAATTAGTTAAATATTTTTGTAAATTTACCCGACCGATTTTCACAAGCGGTCTCCATAAACATTTTAATTTGTTTTCAATTTTCACGATTAAGCAATAAAAACGACTCAATGATATGATATCCAGCGACGCGATTGCGGTGCAGAGTTAAGTAAAAAATAAAGAGCTCGTGCGTCAACCGCGGAATTATATTACACGAGACGGTCAACTCCTATTTAACCTGTGCAATTTTACGGTAAATTAGAAATTACTTAGCCCCTTGTTGATATCACAACTTTTCTAACTTGAATTTTATTTCTTAGCGAGGTTTTACACGTAGTTGACGGAGTGTTTTTGTTGGGATTACAGTAACATTACACTATATTATACTGCGAGTATATATTATGACAAAGCTATACGCTTAAGCAATGTACATAACACGGGACTTTTTTTCAAATTTATACGAATATTATCATAAGTTGATAAATCGTCATACAATTCGTTAAAATCGCCGAAATTAAGTACGCAATACTCGAGATATTGTGGGGAATTGAGAACCTAACAGTGTTCACGGGTTAGGTTGAGTTCAATTATTGTAAAGGACTCGGATTTTTGTATTTTTTTAAGCCCCATAGTCCCAGTCTTTTATTTTTTCAATGCAGGTATATATACGCAATTCCTCATAAATACCTACTACTAGATAATTTCCAACACCGTATTATCGTCATTAATTATATAATATGTAGGTACCACAACTCGACTACAGCATCGGTTAGTGAAATCATTCGTTCGGCATAGCGAACCTACGAGTTCTTCGTTCACCTATAATAATATTATTATCGTTATAATGGTTGTCGGCGGCGGCAGCGGCTCATTGGCACGTGAAATAATAGAAGACAAAAAAATGATGGTGGTGAATTCGGTGGCGGCGACCGTTGTATTGTCGTTTTGGAGGGAGACGGACGCGCCAATGCATTGTAACGCATTTCGAGTCGGTCGCCGTCGCCACCGTCCGGTGGTACTGACACACGACGGGCCGACTGACGGCGGAGTGCGGACGGAGGCACACGCCGCGTCGTTCGTAACACGACATCGTCGCACGCACGGCCGTCCTTGTCAATAAATACGTTTTGTCGTGTTCGATAACCGACCGCCGTCCCCGTTGAATCCCGTCCTGTCGGTCGGCCTCAAGTCAGTAATTCTCGGCAACGCGCGTGTGTGCGTTGACGTTCGTGCGGTGCCGTGTTACAGGCGTAGGATCGGATCATCGCGATTGCGCGCGCGCGTGTGCCGGAAAAACACACAAACAATAGCCATACGAGTATTAACGTTTAATAACCGCCACTCCACCGGTCCGTCCGAGTCCTTGACATCTACGGGTCGTTTCCGGCGTGTCCGGGGCCGATTTTTCCCGCCGTTTTCTGCTGTCGCCGTAGCGGCCGTCATTTCGTCACCGACACTGTCCGCGTCCATCGTAAAGTCATGCAAGCGTCCGTCGAAGACCCCGTTGCCGTTACCACAACGGCCGCCACATCGTCCGTCGCCCACGACATGTATTCGCCCATCAACACACTGTTCGGACAGGTGAGTTGTACCAAACACGACGACCTATGCATTTTTTTTTTCCCGTCAAACAACAGTTGGGGAGGCAAACGGGATAGGTATTTAACATTTTACTGTGCCCACCATATTGCTTGATTTGATAAATGACATTTATAAATAAAGAAAAAAAACAACCTACGTACGATTTTTGAACGAAAACGTTTATACCGTTCAATAATATTTTTCATTTTTATTCTCAGCAACGCGGCGCACCACATCACCGACACCCTTATAATAAACACATAGGTTCTAGTATTGCCGGCAGAGAGCAGTCGTTTGGTTGTTAAGCTAGTTGAGGACGTGCGCGGTTGTCCATTGTTTTCTCCCCCGACCGTTCTGTTTTGGATTTTGTTCAGTCTACGTACTGAAAATATAATAATAATGAGAACCGGTGTCTAATAATTTCGATTACATTTTTCTTCAGACCTGTTTACTTTTTGTCACTGTTTCTTGCGTTTAGCATTCGACATCGCCCCCGAGTGCTTGTTTGTTAAAAACTGAGACAGATTATCGTAAACATATTTCCAAAATATCATGATTTTTTGGTCATTTCGAACTCGCACAGTTATTTAGCAAAATAATAATTATTACCTATCATTATTAATTACCGAATACCGATGATAGAAATAATGTAGGTAATTATAAATTTAATTATTCAATTGCTAATCGTAATAATTTGTACGTATTCATTTCGGTTTATCGAATGGGTAAAGATAAAGATACACAATATTATAATCCTCGTAAAAATCGTACGGATCGTATTAAAGATTTTTCAAAACTAAAATTAAAAAAATGAGCAATAATAAAAGAAGTAATGTAGAATATTATTGTTCTTAATTTTTTCAAATTACTGTTTTATTAAACTTTTTATTTGTGGAACAATTACATATAGGTACTATTATTATTAATACCTAATTATTCGTTGAACTGGTAACTTGTCAATTATTGATCGAAAGACAATATTGATAAAAAAAAACTGATATTGCTGATGGTTGTGCCATTGTTATTGGTGGGAAGTTAGAAGGTAGAACACATAAAATTATTTAATTTACATCTGTAAGCAACGATAAAGCATTGCTAACGAAATTATTAACGATTCTGAGTGAAGTAGGTACGCTTAAATACATGATTTGAAAGCCGTAATTATTACGATTTTCATCAAAAATTGATCTTAAAATTATTATAAAAGAAATACTACATTACCTTATTACTGTTTTGTTTACCACTAAGTACAATTTATAATGAACCTCCTGTTAAATTTTTAAGCTACTCTATTCGGTTAAACATTTATATCCCTTAAGTTATCTACCAAATAAAAACTACATAAAAAACTCGCAAACATAAAATCCCTATAAATAGATCAAAAATCACCAAAATGGTAAATGAAAGTTTTTTGTCAAAAATTCATGTCTCGACTAATAATTTTAACTGAATTACAACAAAAAACCTAAGTTAAAAATAACGAAATTTTATTTCTGTAAACTTTCTCATTCCTTTTGAGTTTTGTTCAATTATTAATAAAACTACACAGTAAATCAAAAAAACGATTTTATTATAAACCAACAAGATTAAAAATACAACAAAACACATTCCTTGTCATTTCTAGATTAGAGCAATATTCTAGTAGTATTAGTATTTTATTATTATATTATTAGTATTTCTGGAAAAAAATATGAATTGTACAAATTTTAAATAATGAAATTATAACGCGGTAAATAATTAGTTTTCATTTTTTGTCTTCTTCTGGTGTTTCCAAATTAAAAACTACATAGAGAATTAAAAAATTACTTACTTTGAGAGTAACTAGATCCAAAATATAACAGACAAGCTTTCGGGTCATTTTCCAATCGAAACAAGATTTCTAGTAGAAAAGTTGCTCATAGACGCAAAAAAAGAACATATCATAGTAAAACCAAATTATTCTTTCAGCTTCAAATTTAAAATAAGGTTATTGTTTTTTAAAATACCGATGAGAATGAGTAATGTCAGACGAAATCCGAAACAATTGTTTTTAATTATCTTCGCTCAATATATTTTTTTTGTTTTCAGAAGTCTGAAACTTAAATGCATTGCTCGATAATGTTGAGCCTATATATTGGTTTTTTTTTTCTTTTAAATTCTAAGTTTAGCGAGGGATCTGTTGATTTTATGATGTGTGTTTTTATTTTAATTTTTTGTATCTGAGGAATTTTTTTCCCAGAAATCTTGCTCCGATGTTTTAAGTGTAATAAAGGAAATATTGTTTATTTGGAACAATAGAGAGCTTATTTTTTGATTTTCAAAATAATTAGGAAAATAATTATAGAAAAAACAGCAAATATTTTGTATAACGATTTGCATAATGATTACCAAACATTTACTCACTGATTTCCATAAGTTATATTTACTCTCAGTATTTTTGTTAGTCAGTGAACAATTTTTTTGGTCGGTGCATTGGGAAGATAGATTTTTTTATTTTCGTTGTAGTTTCGATTTCGCTTTAGTTCGAATTTGTATTTTTGTTCTCCGATTCAGTGAACAAATAATCGTAGGGACCTGAAATTTTCACTGAATAATTATATTAATAATATGTCACGCAATAATTTACGGACAATATTTTGTCAGTGATTTTTATCATTTGTGTTTTCAATGAATTTTGACACAAGTATGAATCATATAATTTTTTAAAAATATATTACAACAATATTGTATTATATATATATAAAAAAATAATAATGAAAAATAAGTTTATACAGTTTTAAATAATAATAATTCGAAAAAAGCCAAAATATTTTGAATTTTGTACCACGTCTAGATAGGAATCGCCGGTAAAATATTGCGTGACAAAAATATCGCAACTAAAATATCGTAAAAATATTATCCGTATCAGCAATGTAGTAGCAATATAATTATAATGTAATATTATACGTATATACATTTTAATAAGGATGGACATGTTTCACACGTGTGTGCAGTCACAGTTTTAGGTGGGAAGTTGGGAAAAATATAGAGATTAATTTAATTTATATTTGCACGTAATAATAAACTATTGCTAACGAAAAAACGATTCTGAGCGGAGTTCAGTAGATAGGGCTGCGTTGTCAAAAATATGTCATATTATGGTAAAATGATTACAATGTGCGTTTCCATGATAACAATGATTGTTTAAAAAATATTAAAATAATGAACAATTGATAACAACAAAAAATAAATAAGAACGGTAGCCAATGACAACCTTATTTTTAATCTTTCAATTTTATTTAACCTAACGAACCAGATTTTCCTCATTATCTCGAATGATAATGATAATTTCAAAAAATTACGTCTCTAAAGTACCACCCATAGTACATTTCCTATCAGAAGAGGTGCTATACTTGATAATCAGAATAAGCTTTCTGGTAGAAACTGTTCACATAAAAAAAACTGAATAATAATAAACATCATTATAAAACCAACACCTTTCTTGCTCTTCACAGAATCTAAAATGTTAAAATAATTATTGTTATACAAGATAGTAAAAAAAAACCCGTTTTTTTAGGTTTTTCTCATTTGATGAGAATACTCTTGAGAAAATCGAAAAGTGAGCTCCTTAAGGTATCTCTTTACGCCGATTTCCTTTCAGAAAAGATGCTACTCGTAGAAATCCGAGCAAATCTTCTGGTAGAAAAGTTGCGTACAGATAAAAAAAAATGAAAAATAAACATCTTTGTAAAACCATAAGCTTTTTGCTCTACTCAGAATCTAAAATAAATTATAAATTGATGTGAGTAAATATTAAAAGCAATACCTTGAAGATAATCTTCAAACTCTCTGGAATTGTTTTTATTTTTTCCAAATATCTTTTATTAAATGAAAATAACAACCCCATTGTTTAGTAGATGAACAACTACTAGAGTATCGTTTTCTTATTCTGCTCTATGAGTCATTTAGCTATAAACCAATGGCAATATGGATCTTTCTTTAATTTTCTGTGAATTATAAAGAACTAATTAAAATGTGGTGAAGCAGATTTAAAAGTTCTATCCGCATACCATTGTTAACATTTTTTTAATATTTTTAAATTTTTTTTGTACTAAATACTATAACATAGATTTTCACTTTCGGATTTTTTTTAATATTATGTATCAAAATAATTATTCAATATATATATTTTAATACATTATCTAATATTTTTGTAATGCAATATTTTACCAGTGATATTTTTTCAGCATACCGAACGATAATATTGAAATTTATTTTTAATAGTTACAAACTAATACATTCAATTTAATATTTAAAATTAAATAGATAAATATAAGTAACACAATTTAAATATACGGATTTCCGAATCTAAACACAGAACTGCGAAGAACACGAAATTAATATAGGAGCGAGACATATTATTTGGATATGTTTTTGGTTAATATTCTCTAACGTACACAATTTAGATTTTTTTTTTTTTTTTAAACAATAATTATTTAACTCTAATCTGACGGAAAGAATCCACCGTTTTTTTTCGTTTTACTGCTTTGAGTTTATTATCTATAGGGTCAGATGGGGTAACTGTTAATGGTTCTTACTACGTGATTTATAAATTAGTGTTTATGACTTTTCCTATATTTACTGAATTAATATATTATACTGGCCATAGTAATATACAATTTAAAGAATTTCCAATGGAATTTTGGCTAATTTTGTATCATAGAATTATACAATTGCAATTTACATTCGCTCCATAGGTTTAAAATTATCCTTCTATTTCTGGATCAATATCAATAAGTAAATGTATTAATGTTGTATAATGCCATTATCAAATGAGTAATATAGAGCCAACGAAAATGAAAAACGAATTATTTTATGTCAACTTCAAATTTAGTTATTATTAGTTTAATATTCAATTAAATACACCAGCATTTGTGCATAAAATATTTTTGATTCTTTATTATTATTTTATTGATATTTTTTTTTAATTTTGTGGGTACGTATTTTAATTTATAGGTATAAATTCTTAAATGTAATATTTTATACAATCATAAAATGATTTTACACGTTTGCAGTGTAATATTATATTACAAAAGCATCGCTCTGTAAATTTTTACGGAACACCGCGGCGTTGTATTTTTTTATTCCGACGATATGAACCGAAGAAGGGTCGACATCAGATATCTGAGTGCAGTGTAAACTTTTGTTTAGTAACGTACTTTTAGGTCTATTTAGGTAATCTCGTACTGTACCAGGTGATTAATTTAAATGGGTGGTGTTATTTGTTTGGCGATACGTGACGGTACGATGCGCGGCGTGTTATTAATGCACCATTACTCTCCTCTAACCTAAAATTAAAAGTGGAATATCTTGTCAACGGCTTAAAAACAATAAAAAATGTCAACACCAAAATTTTTTAACTAATACTCTTTTAACTAATTTATTTATGCAATTTTCAATATAGGTTGCCATTTGAAAATCAAAAGTAGGTAGTGGTTTTACCCCAAACATAAGGGTTAAAAAAAATATCATAAATATAAAATTGTAGAGCTGTTTGTTTCTTAAATGTTTCCTGCATTTTGTAGTATTCCCGGATTGTTCCCGGAGAAACGAGAGCTCTCTGTCAAAAAACGTCACACTTGGCAGCGAAAACGGCAAAATCGCGAGACTAACCTCTAGGTAGTTATATGTACATATCTTTATGTTATATTATTATAATATAGCGATGTCATTTATTCCGGTTTCGCTTGGCGTCTGGATAAACGTACAAGACGTTTTTTGCGTGGAAATTGTCTTCGGCATTTCGTATTATATTTCATGTATACACATATAATATTATATAGGGTGATTATTTTATCACCAACCAGCGCCGAGGTAATAGTCGACAAAGATTTCGAGGGTAGTAAATATTCGGATAACGGTGTAGTATCAAAATCGATCTGTCATATAGTTCACCGTATTTCCGATATAAGGGGGAAAGGGGTCAGAAAGGATTAAGTCCCTCCAAAACTCAGCAAAGCTCCCCACCCAAATTAAATCCTCATCGAGGATTAATAAATAGTATTAATAAATACCATAATTAATATTATAATTATATTTATTTACAATTACGGGACGGGCCTAATGATGACAGATTTAATAATTATGACCTAAGATTAAAAATAAACTAAATTCGAGTTAAATATACGTTGTAAATGATACCGGTGTTTGATAAATGTCAACAAATTATCGTACTCAACTTTTCGATAAGAATAATTATTGAATATGACTACGTTAAAAAAATAAAATCAGTGAGCGTAATTAGTAGCATCCCTTCAACTTCGCTTATTTTTATTTGTATAACATGGCTGAAATTTTTTTTTCAAGAACACTTAAATGATACGGTGTTTAAACTGCTATTTAGGGTCACTTCCAGTACAACAAATTCCACTGTTCCGCGGTATTCACGTTTTTATTTCATTTATCAAATGTTTAATAAATCATATAAATAATATATTGGACGCGATAAATACGAATGTATACATTTTGTGCAAAATCAAAAACGACCAATTTTATGTAACCCCTCACATCTAACAGAAAATTATAGCCTACTGCTGTTCAGTCGTAAGTCTTTGGTATATGGTAGTGGCATAATGAGATTTATAAATGATAGATGAATAAATGATTTTTGTTCTAGTAAATAGAACCATAAAGTAAGACTCTTAATGAAACTCCTGTTAAATTTTAAAGCGTTTCTCTGTTAAGTCTAACAATTTTACTACAGAGTACCAAACGAATAAAAATTACGTACAAAACTTGCAAAATTAAAATGTCTACAAACAGCTCAAAAATGATACACATTTTTTGAAAATTTTACCACGTCTAGAAAAAGCAAATATAAGTTTACTGTCCGAATTACAAGTCTCCATAAATATTTTTAACTGAATTACAACAAATAACAAAATTGAAAAATAATAAAAGCATTATTTTCGTAAATTTTCTGTTTTTCTTACGTTTTATTTTGTTTTTCCCAAATATTATGAAAACTGCTAGGAAAATAAAAAACTAACTTCCTAAAAGTACCATCTGGAAAACATTCCCTTTCAGAAATGATATTATCTGAGTAAGATTTATGGCAGAAATTTTGTACACAGGATAAAAAATAAAAAAAATATATTTTAGTAAAACCAATACATTCTTCGCTACACTCAGAATCTAAAATATTGACGTATCTTGTGTTTTGCTAGAAGTTGGTTGATATTCGGTTAGATTTTCATAAGAAGCATTCATAAGTCCCCACGATTGGTTATTTGTAACCGATTGGTTACTGCACTAAACCCACGTTCAACCAAATACGATGATGGAAATACAGTCAAAAATGTTTGTACAACAACCCACAGTCCAGAATAAAGTATATGTATCTGCTTTTGCAGCTAGAACGCTTGGTATTCTTTCTTGAACTTGAATTTTAATTTTTCATTTGTAGTTGCTTCTATTGATTCATCTTCTAATATTGGACAATCTATCGTTTCAATATTTGAAAATGGATCTAAAACCTATTCAGGTTGTTGAAATCGGAATGTAATGCTTCCAAGTGTTGACAATAAGTAATTAAATCTTTATCATTTTTTTGTTATATTGATAGATTTAGAAACTGTATAAATTCATTTCATCTTATATTTCTTTTATACGTAAGAAGTTTTGTTACAAATTCAGAAATAATATTTTTTTGTTTTGATTAAATTCAAATCATCACCTTGAAGCTGCAAATTTGTTTCAATAAATTTTTTTAACAGGCCAGTCAAATAAGCAATGCCACTTCTACAATTAATTAAGTTGTCAGGTAAAATATCATATTTTGTTTTTAAAAACTCAAGCACCAAGTCAAATAACTAATACTGATAACATTTAGATAATATAGAAGTAGAAACGTGTACGTTGTTACATTTATTGCGATAATGGCTAATTTATTTGTCGACATACGAACGATTATTCTAAATTTTTTTTAAAAAAAAGAGCTGATAATGGAGATGGGAGCGGCCACTCTTGTAAGTGAGAAGTTGAGAAGGTAGGATATATAAGGTTATTTCATTTATATCTGTAAGAAACGATAAACCATTGCTTGACGAAAGACGATTCCGAGCTCAGTTCGGTAATACATAATTTGAAGAGCCGTAATTTTTTTTTGCGATTTTCGTTAAAATATGATTTCAAAACGCTTATTAAACAAAAAAAAGTTGTCTGATGATTTTAAAAAAATTGATGAAAAAAGTTTCAAATCTCTGTACTTCTAACCGAATTATAGTAAAACAACTCCCAAAAATTAAAATTCCTGAAAAGCTCAAAAGTGGCTTAAAAGTTTTTGCGATGATGCTGTAAAAAGTAAATCAAAAAGGCAACAAAAAAGGTATTTTTTGATTTTCGATTATTCGATAAGTGAGAAATATTTTTACCTATTGATGTACTTTTGAAGTGTAGTTTATGACGTATTATGGAGTTTTTTTTGTGAATATTGCTTCTTATTTGTTTATAAATATATTATAATCTTCTACTATTTATTTGTCTATTATACATTATGTAGGTATTAGTTTGAACATTAATTCAAATTTTTAAAAATATAATCATTCGTAGATATGATTTATAAAATTATTTTAACTTGGTAGGAATACTTAAACAATAATAATATAAGTTAGAAATAGATTTGGCGGAAACGATATACGCCCAATTTCGATTGAAAAATAATGGTCGGCGTAACTAAAATTTGTCAAGTGTGTTTTCTTTTGACGTATTATCAATTTTCCCAAAATTGTTTTAATTTCAACAGATTTAGAATATCTTGAAAATCTATTTAATATAATAACAGTTAAGATAGTAATATTAAGTTAAATTATTTTTATTTACTTGAAATTATGTTAAGATTACTATTGACGGTCAAATAACTGGAAGTGTAAATATGTAATTCAATGATATACAAATTATAAACATATTACTTAAATTTAAATATTTGAGTTACTTTGAATTAAATAATATATTTGTTATATTATGCACCAAGTGACACGATTTAACTCGTTAAACTAACAGTATAAACAATAACTCACATTGACAAAACTATTATCATGGCCGAGTAAGCGACGACGACCGTTAGCCGACGGATCATAGGGTTTTGTGCTAAAAACAGTATCAGATTCTATGATAATTTTGTTTACAAATATCAGTATTTATTATATTCGACTGTCTGAAGTATATCTATATTTATAACAGTTCATTACTAGCTGTATTATAGTAAAACTGTCGACTGTTGACTGTCGATAGTAAATACTGATTGATTGATCATTCTCCTTATGACTACTCCCTTAACCATGACTTCCTGAGTCATTTCAACCCTTTTCTTTCGTCATTCTGATCGTTATTCCCTTCCATTTATCTTTGACGGCATCACGGACGAACCCGTTCTCCTATCTATAATATCTCTTTCCCCGTATTTATATTTGTTATTAGAGTCCACGTCTTTTTATTTAATTCTACCTCACTCAACTTCATATGGGCAAAACTACCCCCTCTAAAAACACAATATTTGTGCAAATAAAATAATTTCTTGGTGCAATTGTAGAGCATAAAAACTTCTTGATCTCAGTATTCTAAATGCATACAAATTCGATCCAATTGGTTTTGTTATCGATCTTTCTTGTCAAGGAAGGAACCAGAAGCTCTTTAGATAAATCCTATTTCCCTTTTGGTACGCCACTGTGTAATATAAATTGTATAGACATCGGATATAGTTAGATTGTTCAGGCTCGTGGATATATAGGAGCCCGTGGGATAAATAATTCGATTTCAAAATTAGCTGACGGGAAAACCTACTAAAATATACATATATGTATGTATGTATGTATACATATTATATACTAGATACCTACTAAAATTTTCAGTGTCTCGAATTTACGTTACCTCTTGATTTTTTTGATTATACAGCGCCATGCCGTCCGAAACTGTGAATTGTATATTATTTTAATCTAAACTGTACTGTCGACCTCGGGGGACACTACTTCGGCGGTGGTGGGCTTATAAAATTATTATTTTCAGGTTTCTTTGAAAGTAACGAAATTTACTTTGAATGGTTTAAATAACAATGGGTTCGAGTTATTTGATTATATTTTTTGATATTTAAAAAAATCTATAATACTGTACATTGTTTGAAATATTCTTACGTTTATTGCATAATTTTAACATTTTGGGTATATTAAAACGTATTAACTACAATTATTTACTAGTATACTATAATGTTTCTTGTATGAACAAATCTAAAACAAAAAATGCTAATTTATTATTGTGAGTGCCAAGAAAGTATTGTGTACCTACCCGGGTAACAATTGGTTTTCGAAAATATTAAATTATATAAATATATCTCTTTATTGAAGAAATAAGAAATTATTATATGATTCAGAAGTTTAGATACCTCGTTTTATCGTTCATTCTAGTCTCAACTTTAAAACAATAATATGCTATTGAAATTATTTGATTATTGGATTGGTTATAATTTTATTAGCACTTTTTATTACTACCACTTTATTTATTCGATAGTTCAAAAAAGTTACAGTGTTGTTTGTCAACTGCAGTAAACAGTGTTCATTGGGATGATCAAACCAGTTTTTGTCGGTGTATCTGTTGAAAATTCGCTCAGTTAGTAATTAGGATCTATATAATCTATATTCTATAATACTTAAGTTCACGATATTCCCGCGGCAATAGAAATTTCAGTCGTTTTAACTTTTTTTATTTTCGTCCATCCTATATAATGTCCCACAGATATTTGACAAATACAATAATATTTGTTATGTTAAATATTTTTAAGTTCTTTTCTTGTAATTATTGTTAAAGCTTTGCGCTGTACAAAAATAAATTGAAAAATACTTTAACATATGGAACATAACTAAAGTTATTGGATTTCTCTGATCTCTGTGAAACATTATGTATATGAATAATATAATATATGAATATATAATTACTTTGTACGTATTCATAAAATATTTTTTTTATAAATATTCAGAAAATTATTTTAAATACTTTTTAAGCATTTTTGGATACGAGTTTTATAATTTGTATAGCTTTTTCAAAGGATTTATGTAGTCATATACTCATTTAATTTAATACATTCCTTTATTATATCTTCTGTATTACTTCGGGTATTATTTGATTTTAAATTATTTATTTACTATTCAAGATTTACTATAAAATACCAAACTAAAATATTAATTTATTTTAAATATATTATATTTTCTATTTAATGTGCTCCGACTACTGATTAAATATTATAATAGATTATAAACTCTAATAATATTAACATTTGCCGAAACTTCAAAATATTTTAGAAATTAAATATCATAATTAAACAAAAGTTTCAATCACCAAACATTTTCTAAAAAACTATTTTACAAATTGCTATTTTTAATTTTAAACAAGGACAATCAAAAAATACCCTCCGTAATACATGAATTAGACAAAATTTGTTTTTAGGAAATATGCTACATTTTATGATCAGAACAAAATGTCAAATAGAAAAGTTGTTAAAAGACACCACAAAAAGTAGTAAAACAAATGTAATCCTCGCTACGCCCAGAATCTAAAATTCGTTAGAATTTGAATCTATTACACTGTAATAATTAATGAGCATATACAATGTCTGTGTTTGTGTATTTAGTGACAATAATTCGATGTGTTTGATATTTGATAACACAGTTTAGGTATATGACTGTTTTAATGGAATTTGCATGAGTCAACGCTGTTCACACAAGTAGATTAAAATAAATGATTAAATTGTCTCTTTCTATTAAATACCACTGCGCGCATTATATTAATCGTAGATATTATTTCCGTTGATGAAAATAATGTATTATAATAATATATAATAGCCGTTATTAAAAATATGATCAATGAATTTCAATGAGTGTTTTGCAGATTTATCGAAATAACGTTCGGTAATAAATTCTAATAAAACTATTAATTCTAATGTATTATTTTTAATGAAGGTAATTATTAATTATAGTATGTCTTTAAACGAATAATTTTAAATGCGATACAACAAACGGAACTAACAAAAACCGCTTAATAAAATAATAATAATAAAAAAAAAACACAAATTAGATATTGTGAATTGATCAATTGCATGTAGATTGACGTAAAAGTTAAATTTATCATATTTTTAGATTGTAATAAGTGTAGTGAAGAAGCTATTAATCTTTTATGCCGGTGTGCTAGGCAAATCTGACGTCAGGCGAATGTGACTCCAAGGCGATAGATTCATTTTTATTTATATATATGTTTAAAATTATTTATATGCAATTTATTTTATATTTTATTACTTATTGATTATACCATTTTTATTATTTATTGGAATACTAAATATTTTTTATTACAAAAAATAAGTACCTACAATTATTAATTAACGAAAACTACTACGAATATAAATTATTTACATTAATATTATTATAAACTTATAGCTATTCATTTTATTATGATAAATTTATTCACCCCAATTACCTATCATAGTTTTAATTGATAGCATAATTCAATATCGCAATATACAGGATATCAATCAATGTTATCTATGTGCTAATAACTGTGTCAATATTAATTTAATTTTTATTTTTTTAACGAATCACAATAGCTACACAGTTATTTCTTATTTCAAAGGTAGTTTATAATTGTTTTCACACCTATTTTTTAGAAATTAAAACGGTTATTACTTTGAAACTATTGATGGGATGTAAATGTATGATATATTACAATTTTATAGAATAATATGTTTTAAAAAATGGCTTAAAATGGTACTTTTACAAAATAGCTTTATCAATATTTTTTGGAAATAAAATAAAATACAGATAATACACGGACATTTCTAATATTTAAGGGCATATATTCATTGGAAAATCCAATTTGGTAGATTATTACTATAGGAGACTACCCTATTTTAATTAGGAATTCCTGGGATTTTACACACGATAATATTTACCGAAAATTCAACGACATAGAAAAATAATGTACATTTGTAAATCATCCGAATTAATTTATTATAATATAATTAATAGCTAAAATGCCGGGTGGCACAACAATTTATTGAATCAATAAAAGTTCAAAAATGTTGCACAAAGCTTCAATGCCTTATTGAATTGATAAAATATTGTTCAAAAGCGACTATTGGTTCAATAGTTTATTGGCTCGAATTCAGACCAATAAGTTATATTGATTTGATAATATGAAATTTATTAATGTAAAAAATTGATATAAATATGAAATTTTTTATTTTCATTTGACCAAATACATAAATTATAATGGACATAATTGAGTTTTCTTCGTTTGAAGATGAGTTCATGATTGATGTGTTAGAAATTTTACCAAAACAGCGTAGGTATAATAGGCATATAGAATTAGTAGATTTGCTATCTATTTCAATCATTATGTCACAAATTATAATTTAATAAATATATGATTAAATTAACAACTTACTAATAAATTAATTTCATTTTATCAATTATCTGTTATCAACCACGGCTTTAGATTATTAAACTATTATATTATGTGGTTAAATTTATATTTTATAATAATATTTTGTGCAACGCTTTTTAATATTTATATATATTATTAAAAAATACTTTATAAACTAATAAAACTTTTAGTGCTGAGAAATTAAAAATATTATGTCATTTCTAACTTCCAACCTACACCAATAGCCTACCTATATTGCGAATTATGGGGACAAGACATTTTCATGAGTTTTACACCTATCCTGTGAGTTTGAGCCTTATTTCATCGGATATTATTTCATTTATAACTTTAAAAATGGCCACGCAAAAGTGCACAACAATGGCCTACCCACAGTACGAACTATATCAAACATGTATTTCCATAACTTTAACCCGCTCTTCGTGATTAAGTTTATAATTTTATCGGCAAGTATCTTATTATTATTTAAATGCTAGCGAACAAATATTAGCTAACTACATGAGCGATTACAATAAATACCCGAGGCACTAACTAAGTAATTAATGCGGTTTACGGTTTTTAAATACAATAAATAAAACTGATCTAGTTTACATTATTAATGCTAAAAACATTGATGTATAGTGCTTATAAATTAAAAGGATAAAATATCCGTATTATGAATAAAAAAAAGTATTCCAATAAATAATAAAAATAGTATAATCAATAAGTAAGGAAATGTAAAATAAATAATTTAAAACATACTTATAAATAAAAATCAATTCAATCGCCGTGGAGTCAGATTTCCCAGACGTCACATTTACCCAGGCGACAAATTGAAACTATACCAGACCACTATAAATAAATTAAGAATATCATACCTATTAAACATTCAATTGATTTCAATTAATAAATGATTTGATATTTATATCTAAGATTTATTTTTTGCGTAATTTAAATTAAAATACTTTTTTAAACATTTTTTTCCATTTGTGCATCAATAAGACGGGTTGGTGGCAGTTATAAAGTATAAGTACAAACGGGATGGACAAGGAGAAGAGTAAATTTATTTATTACTCTTATTTATCGAAAACAATTTTTTGAACGTTTACATAATTAATTAACTTATTTGTTATGATTTTGTTAATAATATATTATTATATGAGTAATTTTCACGTCAGAATGTCAACATTTTAAAAACCTAAATAAACAAAAGTTAAGTACATTTTATATAAATAGTTATTAAAACATTTAATAATACAAACTGAATACCTACATGATCCATAATATCCACTATAATTATGACACTATATTGTTAATTTAAATTTGGAATTAATATTTTTATTTGTACATTTATTTCATGTTGTACATGTACAATGGCTAGCTTCATTTGCGTCCGCCAGTTTCACTGGCAGTGGAGTAGGTGACAGGTTAGGTTAGGGTCTATCGATTTTTGTAACACAAATTGAACATTTAATAAACTGAAAAAACCCAGAATTAGGTAAAATACTTTATAAAAACATCAGAATAAATATTCGAATGTTTCCAAAAAATAGTATTTGGAATACATTGTGTTCAAATATTAGAATTTTAAAAATATTCCAAATACTACAAAATATTCGGAATATTTTAGGAATACATGTAAAAAAAAAAAAAAAAAAATGCTAAATTAAATTCAGATAACTTAAGGGAGTAATAAATATTGTATGGTGATAACTGATAAGTAATAAATAACACGATTGCGCGTATTATATTTTACTTGTTAGGAATTTCGAAAAATGTTTTAAATTAAATATAATTTATTATTTGAAATTATGCATTTTTTAAAGTAATGTATAAATAAATTGGAACATTTTAATTAGATAACCGAGAAAGTGTTTTTCAAGAAAATAATGCACACTGACGTTCAGTATTGCCAGAAAATCCCCAAATATCATAAATTATGATTATGAACTTATCTTCTATATCGCGTTTTCACGACCCGGTTATTTGATGAATATAGACAAATATTTAAATAATCGGCAAGTTACACATCGGCCAGTTATTTTCCTAATAACAATCTCTTTGACTCTTGTCACTTCTACCGACAATTCGTTGGAAGGTAGGGAATAACAAATACCAAATACCGAATATTCGTGCAAGTACTCCGTTATGACTACACAGCGAATGTCAACGAATAGCGTTTATTCGTCAAATACACGAGTCTGGGGAACCCATTTTCCGTTTTCCGCAATATTGAGAAATAAAAAAGCTAAATAATTTATATTACATATTATTACTTTTGTTATTTTAAATTTTTCATAGAGGAGGAAATACAGAGGTAAAAAGAGAAATTATATTACGCTCACAATACTCATTCACACGGTGTATACTTTATGGTTATTTCCTTTAAATCCTATATTATCTTTTATAGTTTAGAAAAGCACCGTCAAAATCGTTTTGGTTCTTGTATTCTCCTCACTCGGGTGTTCCCGTCTCAAAACTCAACTGCACCGTTACCAAATTCCTGCTTTGTCTTTGGCAATCTATATTATCTAAGTTCATGATTGTAATGAAATATTATTAGATAGATATTATTGATAATATTATTACAACTTTTTTTTTATCAAATGAACGTTAAATTAACAAAATAAAGTCGTTCACCTTCGTGTAATAACTTAATGCATTTATGGTTCGTTCACTTAAAATTTAACATGTGTAGTATTACACCTAGTGCCATTACTATAGGTACTGACAGAGGATTAAAGGATAAAACAATGGCAGTATAAATAATCGAAAGAATCAAAACACGGCAATATTTTAAATTTGTATTATTATTGTGTTGTCTATTTCTTTTTAAATTAATAAAAACAAAAATTTCAGTTCTCGTATTTGTTTTATAGGAATTTTTTCTAGTTGGTACTTTGGGAAATCATTTTTTGATTTTTAATTCAATCAGTCTTCATAATAATTGAAAAAAACTTAGAAAAAACCTGAAAATTTACGAAAATAATGTATTTATTCTTTTCAACTTTGTTTTTTTGTGGTACTTATCTAATTCAGTTCAACGTTTTCGTAAAGACTTGAAATTTTGACAGAAAACTTCTATTCGTCTTTTCTAGATATGGTAAAATTCTCAAAACATTTGATCTATTTTTGAGCTATTTATTTGGATTTTAGTTTTGCGAGTTTTTTACGTCATTTTTATTTGATAGGTACTCTATAGATAAAATTGTTAAACCAAACAAAATGCTTAGAAATTGAACAGGAGGTACATTACAAACTGTTATTAATGGCAAAAAAAATGTTGAGTTTAATGTAGTTTTTTTTTTTTTTTAAAAAAGAATTTTAATATTAAATTCTGACGAAAATCATAAATACTACGGCCTATTAAAATATGTATAATCGAACTCCACACCGAATTTTTTTTTTTTAACAATGATTAATCGTTGCATACAGATAAACATTAAATTCCATTCAATATCCTATCTTCCAAACTTCTCACCTACAACAGTCACCGACCCATCGTGAAGTCTTTTTTTTATTAGTAATTTCTGTCTAATGGAGTTTGCCTTAAAACGTTGAAGCATTTTCTTTCCAATTTCGAATTCAAACGTTATGTTATTTCCACAGAAAGGAAGTTTTTAAATTTAACCAGTTAGCTTCATATATTATTAGTTTTTAATAATCCTCATTGTACTACGTCCCTAATATATTATAGATATTTACATTTTGGTTTATCTATCACTCATTTGTTATTAAAAAAAAAAAATATGAAGAAACCACGAGGTGAATTAAATTACGTTAATTGTCTGTATGGTAATTATTAATTAATTATTGATCCATTACATTGTTTAATATTATGTTTTAATTCACGGTACCTAGTTCACAATGTGTAATGAATGTTAAATTATTCTTTTACTCAAATATTGTGTTAATATGAAACACGCTTTCAAATGTAAATTGATTCATTAAAGAAAATTCGCTGACCTATAATGCTTATGTATGGATATATCAGGTTCAAAAACTATTGCCGTTTAAAGCTGTATATGTGACTTATTCATTTATATTTTATACCGTGTTAAAATAAAACCCTAAGAGTAATATAAGCTATCATATACCTATCTATCATATTTAAACCATTGTAAATATTGGATTAGGTGCTGGGGCGTGTACAAAAAAATATATTTTTTTGAAGTGGGAGAGAGTTTAAGGTTGTACACATTCATACTTATATAAGAAAAGGTTTAAAAAGGTTGTAGGTATTCCTATCATTTACATTTATTACATTAAAGTGAATACATTTTCAAAACTCGATTGCATTTTTCTATTTTATAAAAGGTACTTTAATTATTAGAACTCCTTTTTGATGCGAATCTTAACCAATAAAATCATTCGAAAACATTACGTAAATATTGGCTATATAATAATGCACTTTCTACATGTTTAGAATAAACTAATGATGAATACCTATTGCCTAAACCAATCTCTAAGTCATTTTAAACAATAACTTGTACATTTATTATATAATTTATAACAAAAAAAAAAAAAATCACTAAAACAACTTGTATAGGTATTTTATATAATCTGAAAAGATGAACACTTAATTCTTTTTAATTTTAAGTCTTTCTGTAGCCTTATACTCAATCAAAATATGCTTATAGTCATTTTAATTTATAATATATAAAAAAAAAAATCAATACAAAAAAACTTGTATATCAAGTATTTTTATATAATATCTTTAAGAGAAGAAAAAACCTGATTCATTTTTAAGCCTTTCTGTAGCTTTACTCAACCAAATGGGACGTTCCCACAAGGCGTTAATCACGATAGTCAACTACGCTAGTCAACTTTCGTTCGTGATACTCACGAAAGTGTGAATTGATGAAACGTTCACACGTTTTTTTGGGTTCATGCCATTCACGTCTCGTGTTTCGACTTAGTCACTATCGAAACATCGATCATGAATGGTCTGGTTGTTGAATGTTGTGGTGTTTTAAGTTCGTTTTTTGCTACTATCTTAGCAAAAAAGATGGAGCGCTTACAGGTCACAATTACAAGAAAACAAAAAAAAGACGTTTTCGGGTTAGAGAATGGATACAGAAGAAACATGTTAGGAACGTCGAACTTGGTTAGTATACAATTAAAAAGTTCTTTTTTTGGTCCAAGTTCAGGAATATTTAATTCATGACTTATTTTCTTAGCTGCGGCTGCACGTAAATTTCTATCACGGTATTCCTCTAAAGTTGAGTCATGTAATACCTTTTCCATCGAATACAAATCCAAAAAACGCGTAGTTTCACTGTCGTTAAACTTAATAATTCCACGTTGCTGTGACGACATCTAGGCTTCACGAACGGTATATCACGTCTGAAAATTAAACACGTTTGATCTATCCACGCTTGGGTCTTGCGCCGTTCCTCACGAAAGCAAGTTTAACGACTGTGCGTTCACACAGAAGTGTATTTCAGGAAAGCGTGGTTGCCTGTCGTGATTAACGCCTTGTGAGAATGTTCTAAAATGCTTGCAGTCATTTCAATTTGTTTCACAGTGATGCCATGAAACTTTTCTTAAACTGTGCTAATAATAAACATAAAAGTATTTATATTATATTTATATATTAGTGAAAGAAGATCAATGTTACATTTTAGGTGTATTATCCCAGTTCCACCAACATTTTGATGAAATTTAGATTCTAATTAACCTTTTACTCTGATCCAGAACGGTTTATTGATAAAATATCGGTGTTATCCCTAAAAATATACTATAATAATGTTAGATATTTTACAAAATATATTTTGTTGATAGTTATTTAGTATTCCATGTTATTTTTTAATTTGAGTCCCACTAAGATTAATTGTTTCAGAAAAAATCTAAATTTGGCAAAATATTTACCCCACGCATCTAGTATTGTTATAGTTATTGTACCTCTTGTTCCATATTATTATAATATTGTTAGCCCGATTTATGTTATGAATTATTTTAGACAATTTAAATCCAAATAATGTAAATAAAGTACATATAAAAGTTAATAGATAATATTTCTATGTAATATAAATTTATTTTGTAAAATGTTTTACAGATATATACATCATAATATATATCCATTAATTATTCTATGAGGTAAAAAAAAACCGTATATTCTCTTGGTTAAAGGTCAATATTTGACAAATGGACATACAATAAATGAGAATATGATCTTACATTTCACTTAGAAATACGAATCAAATTCAAACACAAAAAAAGTTCTAGACCACTTCTACAAAATCTATACTTTTTAAAAATTTAAAACTTATTTTTTTCAAATGGTTCAATTTTTAAATTTGAATTTACAACTCCAGTTGCTTTATAAAGGTCTGATATTACAGATTTACTAAGTATTTTAACGTCATATTATTCAAATGGTTTGATACCATTTTTTATAGCTGATCTAATTTTTAAAGCACTAAATTTAGAATGCCATAAACATGTACTGAAATCTATCAACCAATTGCTTGGGATAACCTCTACACTATCATTAATAAAAGTCACCACATACCATCCAGTAAATGACACATTTATGATAAAAACTATAAATTAAAAATATATATTTCATTAAGCAACATATTTTGAGTACATTTCATATTAAAACTAAATTAATAAAACTGAAAATATATACAAAACTATAATAATATATATAGTTTTTATTATTAACAAGTTATTATTAAGTAGGTATGTGTTGTAATGGAATAACTACAAAACCAGACACATAAGGATATTGAGCCAATTTAATTGAAACTTATGTTATTGGCATATAAGAGACATTATCATCTAATTGTTCTACGTAATGAATACCAATTAAAAATGAAGAATATAGTTTTTCATAAAAAATGTTAATTGATTTATACTTCTTTCCAGTTATAACAGGAGTATTAAGTGATGGACAATATGCAAAAATGAAAATTTCCAAAATGGTGTTACATGACAATTTACAGCAAGAAATTTGTTTATTAATATTTAACTCCCTTAAATGTAATTTCAAAAGACACCTTTGTCCTACCTTCATTTAAATAAATTAATAAAAACATGAAAGGGCAGCACAATATATATTTTGAACTTAAGTTAGATTCAATTTTAAATAAAAATGTATAATGTATACTGTATATTGCTGTGGCGTTTCATGGGTTTCATGAGTGTAAATATTTTCTTAATGGCCGTATTTTTTTTTCCAATCAATATTCGTATTATATTTGTAATAAATGTGAATATTACTGGTCTCATCGTATATAATTTATATTTACAATTATAATATAAATATATTTATTCCACCAAAAAATGATTGATAAATGATTATAATTTACAGATTTTATATAGTGATAACTCTTTGAATTTTATTATTTTTCATCATTTTTTATTTCTTAAAAAAAAAAAAGATTGTTTCAAAAATAGCTGCTCCATCTATTGTGATATCAAAAATAAAAAACGTAAATCATTTTTCATTTACCTATTCTAATAAACGTTTCAACGAAATTATCGTTGATCTAAAAATATCAATATTTACCTCACGTCTCCACTGTTAAAAAGTACTTAAGTACTTGCACCTCATATTTTGGGAACCGCTGAGATAAGATATAGATACCAGGTGTGGATATATAAGATACACAGAACTTATATCAGAATTAAGATACTGCAGCGATGGAGTAAAATATACTTACCTTTTGGGATGTTTGTAAAAGTCTAGATTTTCTTTGATTTTAATAATATTCTTAACACTGATTTTAGATTCTGAGTGGAACGAATGGTTTATGGTTTTCCAAAGGAAATTGGTGTGGGGAGGTACTTTAGGGAGGTAATTTTTCATTTTTCCAGAGTTTACTCAGCGAATGTGAAAAACCTGGATAAAACATGGTCGATGCCAATTATTCCGTATTTATTCTTATTTTATTTTTGGATAAATTCGTTGACAAAAATATTCGTTATAGATTATGACAGCGATTATATTCATGAAAAATAATAACTACAAGAATCGATACCGGTGATAATGCATCAAAGATATACGGGTGTATTTAAAATAATTAATAATATAGGCATAATTAATGGACACATGACAATATAATTAAGCGATTAAAAATGATCGATGATAATATGTTTCAGGTTCAATTTAACCATATTTATGTGGAAGGCAGTATACTACTTATACTGTTGTGGATATTGTTTAAAAAGACAGCGAGTACTGCAAATTCAAAAAAAACTAAACCTCCAGAAACCGTAAGTGGAGATTTAAAAATATGCAAATTTGAATATTTTTTGTAATTGCATATTATTGTAGACATATATTGGTGTAATATTGATAAATTTTAGTTTAATTTTTGATGTACTACATTATTGAGCAAATTTGTATTTAATTTGTAAAAATTATTACAAATTGTTTTCCTAACGTTTATACTAAAAATCATTTCTTCTCCTTGAGTTCAATTATTTATATAAAACTCGACGCAATAATAATAGAACAATAAATTGTAATTGGCCATTTACCACAAATAATCGATTTCTCGAAGTTGATTCTGTTTTAGATACGAAGCAGAGCGAAGGATTTATTGAGTTTACTATGTGTGTTGTTTTAGATTCGGAACGTAGCGTAGCGACTAATGAATTAGTTCCTTTTTCATGAGCGTGTTTTAAGATCAAATTTCGATGAATATCGTAAAAATGACGGCATTTTAAAATACATTTTACCGAAATTTGTTCTGAATCGTTTCTTATAAGCAACGGTTTATGGTTACTTATAGATATTAAATTAAATATTTACCTGTCCCCAGTATCAGCTCTTTTTTAATTTTTTTATCATTTTCAATGGAAAAATAAATAATGAAATATTTGATACCTTTTTTGTGAACGGGCAATTGCCACTATTACTCTTCCTTGTATTCGCCCTTGTGCATGACCAGTAGCGTAACTAAAACTCTTGATGCCCGTGGAAAAATATCTCGCCAGGTAAAAAATATTATAGTAGTGCCCAAAATAAAACGGCCATATCAAAAAAAAAAAAAATAAATAAAATGCTATTTCTGAATTTTTACCTTAAATATCCTAAAACTATTGCATAAACATCAACGAAAAAGGCCAATAATAATAAAAAAAAATTATATGTTTACACTTCCCTATCAATAACTGCGCTAGCATCGGCCCTGGGTAAGTCGGACCCGATTTCCACGATCTGTTTTCATACATTTGCCCGTCCACTTAATAACAATGCCTTAGATTCTTATTTGGGGCCTCTTAATATCATGGGCCAGTGGCAAATTTCCAGTCACGCCAACCTATTGATACGCCACTACTTTAGTTGGTAAATTGATAATTTATATCCCAATTTAATAATGATTAAAAAAAAAACAGAAATAAAATTCGCTTAAAAATCCTTCGTGAAAATCGCTAGTTTGTGATAAATGAATATTTAAGTAATATGTATAATTTACGTCTACATGGTTATTATTTATTACGATTTGAAATTCAAGCCTATTTTTTTTATAATTATTATAAGTTATTTATTTGTTTTTTATTAAGGTGGATGTAGACGAACAGATAAGACTATGGACCCCTCAACCTATGATTGATTCGTATAACCTAGATGAGCTACCTATGAAAAACTATGTCGTTGATAGTAAGGTAAAAATAAATACATATATCGTAGTGCATACGGTATCTTTTAGGTGATGTTTTTCTTAACCAGGTTTATGATCATGTCACAATTAATGGTCAGTCATGCATAAATTTCGCAACCCATAATTACTACAATTTTATCAACGACAAAAATATTGAAAACAGCGTTGTAGACGCTGTGCATAAATACGGTATCGGTTCTTGTGGTCCCAGAGCGTTCTACGGTACATTTGGCAAGTATTTTTTAACGTGTATTAAGTTTTATTTTCAAATGTTCGATTTTAGGTATAAAACGTAAAGGAATGTATTTGGTTTATTTTTAAAAGTTTTAAACGGGAATAGAAAAATAATTAATCTGTTCAAATAATTCCCGTAGGAGACAAAAATAAACACGATTTCTAAAAAAAAAAAAAAATCATCTACGGGCAGTAGAGCTCTGTCCAGGAGCGTATTTAAGCACACACCCTATAGGCACGGGTCTAGAGTGGCGACATTCGGAGGCAGTAATTTTTTTTTTACAAAATCACAAAAAAAATTGTCTATAAATTTGTATATTATATATTTTTTGTAATTGTTTAATTGAAAAAATTATTTATACACAACTTATGTGTCATAATTAGGCTTAGAGACTTTTAGCTCTAAAAATCATACAAATATGCTTTAAACATTTAATAAATAGCCTGTTATAGAATTTAAAAGGCGTATTTTGCTAATATATGTTTTAATGAGAAAAAACATTAAAATAAGCAAAAATATGCATAATCATATTTTCGATATAGATTTTATATAACATAAACAGGATTTCTATTTGACTCTGCTACTTTTTACATAAATCAGACAAAATATGCAAATGTTAGAAGTATATCCATAAAGTATACATTTATATATATTATATTTATAACCCAAAATTGAATTTTAAAAAATCGCTCAATGTTAACAGCATACACATATTATACGCAATGCGGACTTACGGCCAATACATACATAATACAAAAAAACATGTCTTCAATGCTGGTTTGATTGGCCGTACTGTCAATTAAAATATAGTAATGTAGTATATATAGCTACATAATGATAGAAAAATACCATAGGTATGTATTATAGGTGCTGAATAACTCAATAGCTTGGCAATTTTAAATATAGAAGGATGATTTCTGGTGGAGAAAAAATTGTGATATTTAATTGATACATTCGCTGAAATTTCCATGTTTTATCCGGGCTTTTTAAATTTGCTGAGAAACCTCTTGAGAAAATCGAAAAATGACTTCTTGAAGTATCTTTCCATGTCTATTTTCTTTCAGAAAAGTTATTACACGTAGAAATCTTAACAATTCTTTTGGTAGAAAATTTGCGTGTAGTAAAAAAAAAAAATAAATATATATCTTTGTAAAACTATAAGCTTCTTCGTTCCACTCAGAATCTACAATATATAATTAAGTATAATAATGTGTTATTTTTATTGAAGACAATTATAAAAAATTATATATTTAAATATATTTTATAAATAATTTTAGGAGGGATGGGGTGGAAAAGGTGATGAATTAAAAAGTGCCTATAAAAGGAGAAAAACCTTAATACGCGACTAGTTCCGTTACAAGAATCATACTTACCTTCGCTTATTTTATATCGAATATATATTTTTTGTAAAACAATAATTACCTCGTTAAATATTATTCAACGAGTGGTGGGAGTTGAAAGTTGTAATAACAAAAAGAACATTCTTGATATCAACGTCATGCATATTTACAAAATGTCATGCTCCTTGGTTCACTTAGAGAATTTTGTAGGTGTCTTTAAAGCTGAAAAAACACACTTCTCCAAAAACATAGTGAAATTTACAATGATTTCACTTTTTCTGAATGGAAATCTGATTGGAAATGTACGAGGTCTGTTCAAAAAGTACCAGGATTTTATTTTTAATAATTACAAAAATGAAGTTACATATTATTTAAAGATATCGCCTTCAAAATACTCTCATCCAGACAATATGCAGTGGTTCAAGCGATCTTGTCATTTTTCGAAAGTCCTTTGAAATTGTTCTAAAGTTATAGCTTTGAGTTCTGTTGCCATATTTGCTTTAATTTCTTCTAAGTCTTGAAATCGTTATCCTTTAAGCGCAGATTGTATCCACGGGAAAAGAAAAAAATCGCACGGGGCTAGATCAAGTGAATAGGGAAAGTGTGGGACCACAGGTATTATTTTTTTCAGCCAAAAATTCACGAATTGACAACGCTGAGTGTGCTTGCGCATTGTCGTGATGAAGAAACCAGGTTCCACTTCGCCATTTTTCTGGGCGCTTATTGCGAATTCTCTCTCGCTAACGTATTAATACATCTTTATAGAATACCTAATTGACTGTTTGTCCATGGGGCACAAATTCATAATGAACAATACCTTCAATATCAAAAAAAACAATCAGCATTGTCTTGACATTCGATCTCACTTAGCGAGCTTTTTTTGGTCGAGGGGAAAATTTTGTTTTCCACTGAGATGACTGTAACTTTGTTTCCGTATCGTACCCATAAACCCATGTCTCGTCCCCTGTGATGATGTTTTTTATGCAATTTATATCAGCAGATCGATTTTTAAGGTCTTGACAAATCGTCAAACGATTTTCCTTTTGTTCCGATGTCAACAACCGCGGAACGAATTTAGCAGCTACCCTTCTCATCTGTACATTTTCCGTTAAAATTTTATGACAAGATTCAATTGAAATTCCTGCTTCATTTGCTAACTCGCGAACAGTTAATCTGCGGTCATTTCGCACTTTTTTGTAAATGTTCGCCACAACATAATCGTTTCTAGATGTCGACGGTCTTCCAGAACGTGGATCGTTAATTGACTGTTGACCATCCTTGAAACGTTTAAACCACTCGAAAGTAACGGAGCAACTTAAAGAATCGTCTCCAAAAGCAGTTTTAATCATTGTGTACGTTTCAGTTGCATTTTTACCAAGTTTCAAACAAAATTTGATGCACACACGTTGTTCGTTAATTTCGGACATGACGAAAACGGAGAATGAAACAAACTGAATAGATTTAATCACGTATAATATTAAACTGAGATAAGATAGCGACTTCGGGTTTTGTTCAAAATATTCTCTAATAAGTTGGGAATACATCTAATTATAATTTAAAACGTTATCATGTATAGATTAGCCGCAATAATATTTGTCCTGGTACTTTTTGAACAGACATCGTGCGTAGTCTACCTACGTGCGAAGCATTTCCGTCTTTTTATCATTTCAATCTATGCTATTATATAAAATTGTAAGGGTTTTTCTTCGACCGCGCTAACCGAGAAAACTACTGGACCGATTTGGCTGAAATTTTTTTTGGCTGAAACCCGACACTCTGCTGAAGGTTATAGTACCACTTTTGTCAGTAAAAAAGTTCATAAAAGTTCATAAAAAATTAAAAACAATTGTACCTATATTGTGCGGCACGGCGGGTCGCGGGTTTACAGCTACCTGTAACTTGACCTTTTTTTTGTATCGTGTTTGATATCGGCGTTCCGAGAAGTATATCGCACTTACACCGACAACACGTATACCCAATATTCATNTTCATATCTATACTATATTGTTATTATTATAACTTCGTTATCTATACTATTATATAAAATTGTAAGGGGTTTTCTACGACCGCGCTAACCGAGAAAACCACCGTACCGATTTGGCTGAAATTTTTTACCATTGTACCCGACACTCTGCTGAAGGTTTTAGTACCACTTTTGTCAATAAAAAATAAGTATAAAGTTCTTGAAAAATTAAAAAATTGTCTACCCATATTATATACGTATTGTGCGGCACGGCGGCCCGCGGGTTTACAGCTACCCGCGACCTGACCTTTTTGTTCGTCAAATTGTATCGTGTTTGACATCGGCGTGTAGGTACGAATTGTTCCGAGAAGTTTATCGCACGCACACCAAACAACATGTATACCGAATATTCGTATTAATCTTTATCTATATCTTTATATATTTATATCTACAATAATTTCTCAATTCTCTTTCTCCTTCGGGATTTCCTCTCCATAAGCTAAAATTAAAAATTGGTACTCCGATTACATTATTACGTAATCTTCAACCACCGAAGTTATGTAACGGTACAAGATGACAAATAAAATCGTTGCAGAATAGTGTTATAGGAGCCGTCATTCTTACGGGGCCGGCAAAAGGAGAAATTGCATTTATTCCAAGAATTCCCGTGATTCCGTCGGACTTGCCGTTTCCGTTCAAACGGCTTTAATTCTCTGTTAAAGTTTCTTTGGCAATCACGATAAACAAAGCTCAAGGTCAAACATACAGGTACGTTGGCGTAGGTCTTCGAACACAGTGCTTTTCACATGGACAATTATACGTGGGATTTTCTCGAACTGGGGACCCGAAGCATCTTATGATTTTAATTTCAACAGGAGATAAAACAAAAAACGCCATATACTCAGAAGTTTTATAAAATTCTTTATCAACCGTAAATTACTCAGCATTTCTTTTGTATCTGCATTCATTTTTAGTAAAAATATATTTGTCATTAATCCCGCTTGAAACATTTCAATACGTTTTCATTAACCGTTTTTTTTTTTTTTATATTAATTTGCCGATATTATTAAACGATAGAATTTGATTAAAAAATTCTATATATCATTATCCAAAGGCAAATTAAACAACCAATCACGGGTGAAGCCGTGACGGGTCGGCTAGTTCGTTTATAAAACATCTCTAGTTCTTGAGTATGAGCTAATTTGGTCCAGACGGTACTGCTATAAGTTTACATTATACAATATACCCGTGTAAGAAATAAAATGCAATACAATCGTCTCTATTTTTCTATCGAACTTATACAAATGAAGAAATCGGAGAACAATAGAACATAAAATAATATTTAAAAAAAAAAATTGTTTGGTACCTACCCATATTGCCATTCCGGATATGAAATTAAATTTTAAACAACGTCGTTTGTGTATAAATAACTCGAATTTTCAACGAGTTCAATGTATAACCTACTTCTCCTAATTTTTCGTAGAAAGGTTGTAAAAAAAAAAAAAATAATAATAAATAATCACGCCTTCATGTGAAGATATCACATGTACCTTATATTAGTTTATTGGTGTAATTACTTGGTAGTGGTATTACTTCGTAATCAATTTCTGACGTAACTATATAAAACAATATAATATTGTTTTATATAGTTACGTATGATATTACATTGTTTTATAACATTACTGTTATTTAGCCAAAATCATTTTGAAATATTGAAAATATTGTACTTGAAAAAATACAACACTATTTTGAGCTATTTTTCAACTTATTATTATTATTGTTATTATAATTATATTTTTTTTGGTAGTTGAATATTTGAAAAAATCACTTCTCCTAACTAAGTAGTTAGGTAGATTGGTAGGTACATTAGGTATCTATTTCTCTGGTGCGTAGATATGATCCCTCACCTATTTGTATACCTAACATTTACAATTAAATTCGTGAAGATGAAAATCACGGAACACATTATTTTAGATAAACGAGCCGAGAATTATCAACGGTAATGTGCTATAAATTAATAATTACTTATTACTTGTTAAAGTGCTTATTATAGCTAATGGTTTAATATCTAGGTACTGTAAATAAGTTATTACTTATATAGCAATTATTATGTAGACATTTTACCTAATGATTAGGTATTTATTATGTTTTAAATAATATATTTATATAATATAATGTTTAATGCTTATAAAGCTTAATCGGTGATTATATATTATAACATTGCAACTGCATTCAACTCGTCTATATTATTATGATTTTCGAATCTAATCTATACGACCGAGTCTAGGTATATGATTCATATTATATAAATTTGCATATTAGATAAAGTTTTATAATATAATATACCTAAACTTAAAGGATTAAGAATTTTTGTTTTCTTTTAATACTGACATCGTTAAAAAATAGAACAGAATAATATCCAAAAAATACAATTTTAACGTAATTTTGGTTTGTATGGGTATTTACTGTTCGCCGACGTTTTCGGTAATTAGAATCAATAATGCGGTTAGTAATATAAATTTATTCTTTTCCAAGTTAAGTTTTTTATTGTCTTGTTTGTTTTTTAGAATTTAAAAAAAATCTAAAAAGTCAAAAAAGTTTTATGCAAAACTGACGTAATATAATAACCATCGTACTTCTGTAAAGTAGGGTAAACCTGAATACTCGCTTTCTAAATCGTTTAAAAAAATCGAAAATTGTCTTTGGTTCAAACCACGAGATGTTATAAAATTGACCATTTGTTTTTCAGGTATTATTACATGTGCTATATTAATAACTTTTAAACATAACAACTCTTGATGTATAATACAATGTGTCTTATAAAATGTATGTTCAACATTTTCATTCGCCTCTTTTTGAAAACTTTCAATGAAACCTTTATTTTTCCCCGTCATAGAAGGAGCTCCATTTGTAGCCACAAACGATAACTTTGCCAAAGGTAAATTATATTTTTTCCAGAGTTTAAAAACAAACAAATCAACCTCTCATGTAGTAGTATCATAAATAGGTATAATTTCCAATAATTTTTCAAAAATATTAAATTCCATATCGGCAAGCACGAAAAAACACAGCTAACTGAGCTGTGCTACCAATATCCGTACTTTAATCATAAGCGATTAAAAAATACTCGAAACTAGGTATTTTTAATTTAATCTAATCACTCAAATTGCATGCTAGTCAATTATTCTTTCAACAACCGTATTTCGTGTTAATGATATGTTTTGAAAAGCTTTTAAATTTCCGGGAAAAATAATTTCAGCACTTTCAATTAAACACGTTTTTATAAAATCATCTTCAGTGAACGGTTTCGAATGTTTGGCAATTAACTCTCACAAAACATAACTAATATTCACTGTAGCTTCATTTTCTTGTGGTATTTTACTAAACATTAGCTGTTATTGTTTACACAACGATTTAAGTTTGTCTTGTCTCAGTATCCCTTCATACTGGTCGTATTTTGGCTTGTGTTGTTCGTAATTAATGATGAATTAATCGATGAATTAATTTATGCATTCTTTTACGATTTTTAATTACATTTAAAAAAAAAATAAACCACGACAACATGTATAATAATAATAATATTCAATAACAAACAAAACAATAAATATATAATAGTAATAGAGTTTTATCAAAAAAATGCCTATAAATCATTGTATAGCTCTATTTAATACTTTGTAGGGTAGCTTTTGGACCTTATTATAGCCTCCAACCTTTTAGACATTGAATTCTTTGGTTCCATTTCTGTATTCGCTGTTCTCCAAACAAAACGTCTTCCATCAAAAGCCAAAAATATTAAATTTACTTTCGTCTGTAAATATAACTTTGTTCCAAAATTTATCAGAGTGATGTAAGTTGTCTCTTGCAAAAGCAAATCTCTTTTGTCTATTTTTTTTATTTACAAAATATTTTTGATGAGCCATCACTCGTTATAATTGCTTTGATTTGTTTTACTGTACTATAGCATATATATTGTTAAAAAAAATAATACTATTAATCGAGTTCTGCTCAGAATAACTTTTCGTTAGCAATGATTTGCTTACAGATGTACAATAAAATTCTTCTTTATATGCTATTTTCCGAACTTCTTATCTATAACAGTAGTCCACCCATCGTGCGAAATATCCATTTTTTTAATCTTGTTCTTTTGTAGTAATTCGTCTTTTAATTTTCCTGACAATTTTTATAATAATTGAGCAAAACCGATTTTTCCCAATTATCTTGAAGAATTTTTCGAAAATCTACTTTATAATAATTATTCCCCAAACATTTTTTTTTTTTTTCAAAATCGAAAATTAAAATTTGGAGAAATAGTTCTGGTATAAAAAAAAAAATAGAAAAAATTTAAAATAATGAAATCTTTAGATATGCTTCTAATTAATTCTAACCATTTATTATGAAAACCACTTGAAAAATTAAAAAAATGGCATTCTTAATATACTAACTAGTCTCGAAATAAAACAAAAACAGTCATTTTTTGAATTTACACGATTTCTGGTAAAAAAGATATTTACAAAATAAAAATGCACACATAGTAAATCCAATACTTTCCTCTATGTGCTCAAATATTAAAATAGTAAAAAATGACGATGTGAATAATAATATAGTAATGGTTTTTTTTCATAGATATACACATTGAGCTAGAAGAGAAGCTTGCACAATTCATGGGAATGGAAGAAGCCGTTATATATTCATACGGATTTTCAACTGTGACTAGTGCCATTCAAGCTTATGTTAAGTCAAAGGATATAGTTTATGCGTGCGTAGTAGTTCGATATAGTACTTAGGTATCAATTTTTATTTTGAGTTTTAAGCAAGATTGGAACGTATTTTTTAGTGACGAAGAGGTAAATTTTGCCATACAAAAGGGTCTGCAATCTTCTAAAGCGGAGGTGGTTTATTTCAAACACAACTGCCCAGATGACTTGGAGCGGTTGATTACCCAGCATGATGCAGTTGTAAGTTATCTTCCATTGCCTTTTGTCCATATCATATCGCTGAGAAAATCTTGAACGCCACTGTTGGTTATATGTGAAAGATAGCTTATTTTATATTTATATTCTGAGTGATACAATAAACTTATTGGTTTCCCGACATTTGTCTTTAGTATTTCGAATTTTTAGTAATAAAATAAATGCTGCTGAAGCTCTCTGTAATAATATCTTTATTCTATATAGATCCCAATGGATTTTATTTAGTTGGGATATCTATTTACTATTTAGGTGCTTATAGTATTTCATGCAAATAGCTTTTATAAACTGATAAAATAATTATTATTTAAAAATAAGAAGGAATGTAATAGATGAATGCATATTCCTTATTTGTGACCCCCCCTTCTCTAATGGAATGAGTGCTATGATTTATAAATACTTTCACCATTGTAGTTTATAGCTGCAATCTGGATTCAAGTTACAGATTGAAATCCTAATTATTTTATTGTACCACAATATAAATAACTACATTTTCATATTTATAATTTTGTTTTATGATTTTACTCTAGTTAAGTTTTGGTTTTCAATACACAATGTATACCTAACTGATCTGATTTATAGAAAAAAAGAATGAAGCGAAAATCATTTCTCATAGTTGAAGGAATTTATATGAAGACTGGAAATATATGCAAACTGCGAGAATTAATAGACATTCGCATAAAACATAAAATTCGAATATTCATTGATGAATCCATTTCATTTGGTGTTCTTGGGAAGAATGGTCGTGGTGTTACAGAATACTTTAATATACCAGTAAGGAATAAGTAATAGGTATAGGCAATTACAATTTATTTTGCTCATCTAAAAAAATAATTTTTCAATACATCAATAAATTATTATTAATTTTTTTTTAAATTTACTCATACATAGTTAAGTTACTTATAAAAATAATCTTCAGAATCTGTGAAAATAATTTTTCAATAAGTAAAATGTATCTAGGTAGGTACCTAAATCTAATGTCTGTCTAGTACTGTCTAGTCTAGTAATAATTAAGGAAGGTACTATGAGCCTCAATAAATAATACTAATAAGTAGGTACTAATGTATTATTTTAGTAATATAACTTATATAGAAATTAATTAATATTTATTTTTTGTTTTTAGAAAGATGAGGTTGATTTGATAATTGGAAGTTTAGAGACATCCTTATCATCTGTTGGTGGTTTTTCAGTAGGCTCAACATTTGTGGTTGAACATCAAAGGTTGTCTGGTCTTGGTAATAGAAAATTCAAATTTTTTATTTAGATTTAAGAAACAATTTAATAGGTATATAAATAAAATAAAAATTGTATGTTTTTTTTTTTAAATTTAAAAATCTAAGATATCCAAAATAATTATTATGTGTAATCAATAGATAATATTTAAAAAAGTTAAGATAATGGGGAAAGGTGTAGCCACTGGTGTAGGTGGAAAGTTGGAAAGGTAGGATACAGACGGGAATTTAATGTATATTTGTAAGCAATGATAAACCATTGTTAATGAAAAAACGATTCTGAGCGCAATTCAGTTGATCGTGATACGTCAACAATATATATATATATATGTTATACTATGGTAAAATAATTTAATAGGAGTTAAATATTTTCTTTAATAATATTTGTTTAATATTGAATCGTTTTGCCTGCGTTTTTCCCGGTTTTCCCAGGTTTTTTGGGAGAAATTCTGGGAAAATCGGAAAGTATAGTATCTACAATCCACTGACTCCAGTGTTGTATTTTGAAGATAATTTTTTAATCTTCTTTATGTTGAAAAACTTCTCTCAGCAATGGCTTTTGAAACTATAATTATTGATAGTAAGAAGCTCATACATTTGTAGGTACATTAGTAATTAACATTACTGTTGTACTTAGATAGACGTGTTATAGCCGAGATTTAGATTCAACTAAGTTCCATTTTGACTGTCATAATTGATAATCCGCTTTTATAATTATTTACTGCAGCCCCCTCAAACCTCCTGGATGGGCAACTGGTTGTAAAGTTTATATGGTTGAATTTTCAATTAATTTCGATGATAACCGTGAGCAAAATAACAGAAATACGTGTATGAAAAAATTTTTAAGGTTATAAATAGTAACACCACCCTATCTCATTCGATAAATAAGACAATAACATAAGACATAAGACTTCAGTAGATCTTACTTGCCAACATTAATCTATAATATTTTTTTTATTTTGGACATTTTTGAGCTAATTGTAGGCATTTTACATTTTCGAGTTTTTTTTTTTTTAGATGTAGCAAATGATTTATTGGTTTTACTGTGATGTGTATTTTTTTTTTTCTGTAGGGAACTTTTCAAACAGAAAATGTACTCTGATGTATCAATTTACGATGTGCAGCACATTTTTTGAAAGGAATTTTTATTTAGTTGATGCTGTATTAGGGAGGTAATTTTTTGATTTTCTGAGGAGTTTTCATAATAATCTGGAAAAAGACGAAAAATAAAAAAAATGTATGACTCACCATTTTATTCAAAAATATTTCTTTAATCAAAAACCGATAATACTTTTTTCTTGTATTTCTAATCTAGTTGGTGAGTAATGAAGTTGCTTTTTGATTTATGGTAGTTTTAATTATTTATTATTGATAAATCAGTTTTACTGTAGAAAAAAAGTTGTTGGCATTATTTGTCAGAAGAATCTTGTTAAAATATTATTATGTTTGCCACAGTGTATGAAATCAGAGCTCTAACCTATGACTCAAAATTGCATATGTCTTAGTGTTATCATTTTATGAATTCGTTTGTCATTTTTGTCGTGTATGTGATGTGTCTTTATATTTTTAAATCATGTGCTGTAAAAAGCCTGTGATTTTAGTTTTATTATTTTGAAAACTTATTGTTAGGTTTTCAGTTATGTTATTTTAAATAATATAATATACACTCAATTATTACTAAGTTTATTACTATTTTTGGTGTAAAATTGTTTTTTTTTTTTAAATATTTTTTTAAGCATAATATAATTCATATAATTGTATATTTAGCCATTTTTCATATGTATATTTGCATCATACTTGACAATTTTTAAATGCATATAATTCTTGGCTCTAATACATACAAAAGTTGTCTGTACAGAGGCTTATAATTATTCTTAAAGTTCAGTAATATAAAGTTATTGTATAGTAATGCAGAAAATAAAAGACTTATTTATTTTTCAGGTTACTGTTTTTCTGCTTCACTACCACCTTTACATTCAGTGGCTGCTATCAAGGCATTGGAACAAATTGATAAACATCCAGAACTGTTAGTAAAATTGCAAGAAAGAAGCATAAACCTACATCAAAGCATCTCCCAAAGTCAATTAATCGAACACTTTTATCTTGGTTCAGACCAGATCAGCCCATTGAAACATTTGTATTTAAGGGATAACTTTCCATCATATCTTGAAGAACAAAACTTATTGAAAAATATTGTTGACTATGTGAGTAATTATCTTAGGATTTATATTTAAGAAAAAATACCCATACATAAGTCCCATGATAATCTGACTCTTGAGATAGCTTTTGTTCTATTCAATATCTTTTTTAAAAAAATAAGTATACTTTTGCACTACAGTTAATATATTTAAAAACAATTTTTTAGTTGAGGAAACTTAATATAAGTTCTGAATTTTATTTAAATTTAAAAAAAGAAAAATAAATCAAAAAAGGTATTTTGGAAAATAGATATTTAGACAATTTTTAGGAAAGATAATTGTATAGTTTTTTCAAAAGTATTAAATAGTCCTATTATCAGTTAGTTTAATTCATCTTTTATATCTTCTGTGTTACTTCCAGTATTATTTAACTGTAAATTCTCTATTTATGATACAAAATTTCTCCATTTAATTAATATAAATAAAATATTTATTTGTTTTTATATATTAAATATATTAAATATATTATGTATTTAATTTAATAATGTATTTAAATACATACATACATGTATATTATATAGTATATAAGTGGGTATTTATAAAAAAAATCATGTAAATCATTTACATTTTATCTCAACCTTATAAAGGTATAAACTTATTTTTATATTGTGCATTGATTTTAAACACAAAAATGGAGAAATTTTAAATATGTATATAATTCACACTTGAGACTCTTAAAATGATCAGTAATCATTTAATTTCATATTGTCTCAGTTACAAATTTAAAATTGCGTAATATTCAATGAAGACTACGAAGGAATTTTCAATATTAAATTAAAAATTGCAAATTAAATTTTTTCATGTGAAACCTTGTTTAAAAAAAAAAAAAAACAATTAATTGATTTGATTTCAAGCACAAAAAACAATGAGTTAAAATTTAATAACATTAATATTTAATTTTCTTTTTAAATATTTCATTATCTATTTTCAATTATTTCACTTGAAATAAATTTTGTTGTAGCTAGATATTTTTTTAAATAATTAGTACGCCTTTGTGCTACAGTTAATATATTAAATTTTTTTTTATAGGTGAGCATACTTAAAATCAATAGTTTTATTATAATTGTTCAAAAAAAATTCAAAATAGCCATTTTGTAAATTAGATTTTTAGACAATTTTTAGTGTTTGAACTTTTTGTTTAGGTATGGTCATTTATTTTCTACAATTTTTTGAAGTTTATGCAAATACAAATATTATTGTGGATTATAATTTATTATAATATTAAATATTCTAGTACAATTTATACTATTTGGACATAATAAGTAAATAGGATACAAGTTTTTTTAATTACATAAAAGTTATTAAAAATACATTGCTACCCCAAATAATATTTATATAATACATGACTTTTTAAGGAAATTAGCCATCCATTAGTAACACTTTCATAATTAAATTAACCTGTCAAACAAATACCTATGTTTTTTTTCAAATATTTATGTATTATTAATATTATTAATTGACACTTAATAATTTAATCAGTAATCATTGTAATCAAATAAAACGTGGTATAATTTATTTGGTAACCACAAAAATACAAATATTTTATGAAAACTCCACTTCTTCTTTTACACACCATTAAAGTACTCGTATATAACAGTTGGCATCTTAGAGAGTTTAAATCAGTGTACCGAAAAACAAATCCATTTAGAGTGTACATAGAGATCCAAGTTTTAATTGAAAAATACCTCTCGATTTTTTGTGCAAACTATCAGAAATCTTGTTCTGATATAATAAGTATAGCACCTTTTCTGAAAGGAAATTTTATGTACATAGTACATAGTTAGGGAGGTCATTTATTGATTTTCTTCTCTAATTTTTCCAGCTGTATAATTTACTTGTTTTCAATCCTACAGCATGTAAGCAAAGCGTATATTGTTAGAGAACCTTATGGAAATCCTGATCCCCAATCGGCTCTAATCCCAACGAGATAACAATTTCATTATCAGTTATCAGTTATGATTTTTAAAGGTTTCAGTTTGTAAAAAATAAAAAGTACTTTGTTTTATTAAAATTTAAAATACCATTCAAACTAGAAAAATTATAACATGTATGGAAGAAATAATTTTTTTAGTTAGGTAAGTTAGATACATATTAAATTATTATTTTTATTACAAGATAAAATACTGATTCATAATTAAATACATTGTTCTATATGGAACATACAAAATTTAAAACATGAAGAATACTCATTAAATTAAAAATATAAATTACAAAATTTAAGATACACATAAAATTCGTACATAATCATTTTTGCCCTCACAATTTGTATCGTATGTATAAATCACAATATTTAGTTTTCATATTTTGCTAAAACTTAAAAAAACAAAAACAAATTTGAATAGAATTAATTGTTATTCAAATTAACAAATAATACCTATAATTTAGTGTTACTGATCAGTTTTTAACAGTTAAAGTAGTTATCATTTAGGTACCTAAATAAAAAAAAATATAAAAATATGAATTTTAAATTCAAGTCTTAGTATTCAAGAAAATAAATAAATCAAAATTGGTAAATGTAATAAAATAATATTAATAAAGCACAAAATACTTTTTACAAATTGATAATTAAATCTTTATCTTTTTGGGATAAGAGCCCATTGGAGTATAGGATTTCCATAGGGTTCTCTAACAATGTAGGCTTTGCTCAAATGCATCCCTACACTTTTTAATTTTTTGTACCCTCTACATAAGTGTTTCTTAAGCAATCCCTTTGGGAGTTACCACCTAGTTATTTAGGGTCGCTAAAAATATAAAAAAAGTGGCTCGCCGTGTATAAAACATACAGGCTGTCATATTAAGATAAACCCCTTGAACATCTCCGAAGATAATAAAAATAATCAAATTTTGTTGTTTTTTTTTTTATACACTACTCACAATGACGAGGACTACAAATATTTATACTTGAATTATATATTTTTTTTATTAAAATAATTAAACAATTAATTTTTATTTTATTGTTTTCAGAAAATTTTAATTCAGCCATTCTGTAGAATTTAATAATAAAAAAAAAAAATGTAATTTCAAGTATAAATATTTGTTAGTATATCTTCGTGAGACAACCTGTATATTTAGGGGTATCAAAAAAATTTAATATTCATATAGGAGGTCTTAACAGTAAAAAATTTGAAAAACATTGCTCTACATAACATTTGCTCGTATTAAAATTATAATTATATTGTTATAATACACAGTTTGTTATGATTATACGAGATGTGTTCAATAAATACCCAAATTAAAATTATTACAGAAAAACATTTTATATTATTGACAATATAGTTATACCAAAATAAACTAGAGATAATGACCATTATTTCAGTATATAATTATAATCATTATCTCAAATCAGTCAACATCAATACGTGTTTAAATTTGGTCGTTTTGTATTAAATCACGATTTCACGATAATATTACGAAGCAACACACGTGTATTAAATTTTGTTTCAAAATTGATAAAAATACTACGAAAACTTTTAAATTTATTAAATTGGCTTTTGGAGATGTTTCAATAAGCCATTTTGTAACTTTTGACTGGTTCAAACGTTTTAAAGAAGGCCGGATATCTATTAAAGATGACCATCGTCCTGGGCATCTATTAACATCAAAAACGAATGATACCATTGCTCTTGTTCGAAATAAAATTAGATACGATCGAAGATTATCTGTTAGAGAAGTAGTCAATGAAGTTGGCATATCAATTAGTACTTCTCATTAAATTTTATCAGATGAATTGAGTATGAAATGAGTGTCCGCAAAATGAATGCCAAAATTGTTAACCGAGGAGCAAATAGAACATCGCATTGAAGTGTGTTTGGAACTAAAATATCGGGTTTCTAATGACCCAAATTGTATAAAATCAATTATTACGGGTGTTGAAACATGGATACATCGAAAAGATTCCGAATCCAAAGTTCAGTCACTGCAATGAAAGACCACAAATTCACATTGTCCAAAAAAATGTCATCAGGCCCAGTCAAACAGCAAAGCAATGCTCATTGTTTTTTCAATTTTTTTGGTTTAGTCTATAATGAGTTTGTACCTACGGGCCAGATAGTAAATCAAGTGTTCTATAAACAAGTATTAGAAAGATTAAGAGAGAAAATATGCCGTAAAAGGCCAGGAGTGTGGAAATCAAAGTCGTAGTTTTTGTAAGCTGACAATGCACCAGCGCATTCAGCACTTTCGTTTCGTGAATTTGTAGCATCTAAACATGTACCAGTGGTACCTTATCCACTTCATTCACCTGACTTAGCTCCCTTTTATTTTTATTTTTTTGTTTTTGAGACTAAAAAGTACCCTCAAAGGCCACAGATTCCAAGACGATAACGAAACTATCCATAACGCGACACAAGAGCTAAAGGTTATAACTATGGGTGAAATTCAAAGTTGTTTCAAAAAGTAGCAAAACCGTGGGGAACATTGTATTGAAGCTAAAGAACAATATTTTGAAGATGATCCATTTAAATAGTTTGTAAGTTTTAAATATAATTTTTAATACATTTTGTCTGGGTATTTATTGAACACGCCTCGTATGTTAAAAGATTTAGATTCAAACATATTTTAGATTGTCACAATTTAGTTTTGGATTTTAAATCCTGAGTGAGGTGAAGAAGTTTATGGTTTTACAAAGATGTTACTACCTATTTGTAAATAAAGTGATCTTAACTAGGTACCAGTGTCATATTATTTTTAAAACATAAAATAGGGATTCACTTCATCTCTTCAACTATATTAAATGGATTTTAATAGGCATAAGATAAAACTGTCCACATTACCCCACACATGTAGGTTAAGCGGATCACTTTTTAGAACCAAAAAAAAAAAAATCCTGAGTAGTTATATTCAATCATTTTGATCAAACCTATTATTTTAGATTCAGAATGGACCGAAAAAGCTTATAGTTTTACAAAGATGTTTATTATTATTTTTTTTTAACTGTGCAACTTTTCTACCAGAAGACTTGCTTGGATATACTACGTATAGCACCTTTTCTGTAAGGAAATCGGCGTGGGGAGGTACTTTATGAAGGTTAATTTTTCATTTTACTCAAGAATTTTCTCATCAAATGTGAAAAACCGAAAAAGACGGGAAAATATAAGAAATGAAGGTATTAGTTAAAGTATATTACGGCCTTTTTTTTTTTTGTGCACAACTTTTCTACCAACAAGTTTGCTTCAACTTTTAATGGTAGCAATGTTTCTAAAAGGAGATCTCACTAGCGAGGTAAAATATGTTACAGCCTTCTTTTTTCTGTGCACAACTTTTCTACCAACAAGTTTGTTCCAACTTTTATTGATAACAATGTTTCCAAAAGGAAATTTCACTAGCGAGGTACTATAGAAAGATAATTTTTAATTTTTCCTAGGGTTTTCCTAGAAAATGTAAAATGCCGTGATAAAATTTTGGAAAATAGTACAATATTAAACAAATTTTATTTAAAAAAATATATAAAGCCTATTTAATTATTTTTTTTTCTATAAAATGACATATATATCGTCGACAAAGCATCACTATCAACTGAACTTAGCTCAGATTATATTTTTCATAATTAACGGTTTATCATTACTTACAGACATACATTCAATTCCCGTCTATATCCTACCTTCCCAACTTCCAACCTACATTAGTTGCTGGCTACACTCATCCCCATTATCTTAGCTTTCTTTTTAGATTTAAAATCATTCATTTTTATTTAAAACAGAGGGTTTAATTTTTTAATTAATTCTTTTAGACAAATTAGGTATCCAATTAATAAAATTATATTTTGTTTAGTGTATTTCTAATGGAGTAGCGCTTACAGTGGCTGCTTATTTAAACAAGCATGAGTACAAACAGCCAAAGCCCAGCATCAGACTACTTGTTAGCATAAACATAAACGACGAGAACATTGAATCTCTGATAAATGTACTATCGCAAGCAGTCATTTTGGTGATGAAGAAAACCACAATTCAATAAATTAGTTTGTTTCTTTGGGATTAACAAAATTATTTGTGTATTGTGAAATGGTTCCCATATCACAATTTGTACATTTATCTATTTGCTCATATGTAAATATCATACTTAAAACATATTGTATGCAAATGTCATTTATATACAATATTTTTATTTATATGTATACACATTATATCTTATTTTAACAAACCTAATACAAAATAAACTGATTGAAATTAAATAAGTAGTGCATTATTTTTTTACTAACTAGAACAATAAAAGAAGATTTTTGAGATTTTTATAAAATTGAATACTTATATAGTATAGTTAGGCGTAGCAGTTATATGATTAAACTTTATTTAAATTTAAATTAACCCCATTTTAATTTTAAAAATTAACTCTCAAAAATTAATAAATATTAATTGTATTTAAATTCCAAAAAAGTGTTTTACTTTAGTCATATTTTATAATATTAAATATTTTATATAATAGATAGTTCCTCAGTTATAATACCATTAACCATTATAATACATATTATTATATTATAGTTAGTATGTATAATAATAATAATAATAATTTTATTTTTTTTTTTTACATTTACAATCTATGCAATCTTTGTACAATAAACAATTCGCAAAACAACATAATAGTGCATAACAAACATGATCACATGATAAGGGAAGCCATCCAATAATAGGACCCTTTTATTTAATTTGGATTAAGTGACTAGATCAGGAGATCACGGCACCAGCGTCTCTTGAGACGACGTGGAGGGTCGTCCGGAAGCGTAAAAGAGTACTGGTTTAAAATGAGTGGGTTGGTATGGAGAGATAATCTGGAGTGGAATTTTTTATAATGTGCTATGGTTAGGTTTTCGACTGACTCGATATTTAAGTCTTTATGAAGAGAGTGATTGCTGACGAACCAAGGAGCAGAAGTTATTTGGCGTAGGCAAATATATTGGAATGATTGGATAGTTTTTAATTGGGTTGGCTTGCACAACTCCAGATCTGAGCACCATATGCCCAAACGGGTCTAATCATAGTTTTATATATTAATAATTTGTTTTTTAGTGGAAAATTAGATTTGAGAATTGGACGTAATAAGTGTAGTCTAGAATTTAGTAATTTTCGTTTTGCTTTAAGATGGGGGTCCCAGGTGAGTCTTTTATCTAAAACTATACCAAGGTATTTGACATGTGACTGCGAAGGAATAGAAGCTTTTTGAAATATTAGGGCTGGTGAGTTTTTTTTGTTAAGGATGAAAGGAACATGTATGGACTTATCAGCGTTTATTTTCATTTTCTATTTGAGTGACCAGTTATCGATTAGGTTTAAGTGGAGTTGTAGAGCGAGGAGGCTTCGGCGGAATCAGAATTGGATGATAGTATTGCTGTGTCGTCGGCATAAGTGGCTAAAATGGTGTCGTTGGTTTGGGGAATATCCGACGTAAAGATATTGAAGAGATCGGAAGCCAGATCACTACCCTGAGGTACTCCTGCTTCAATATCAAAAATGGAAGAAAAGTGGTTTCCTTGACGAACAGAAAAGGAACGGTTTTCGGGGTATGAGCGAATTAGTAGGTAGTAAGGGGCAGGAAGAAAGTTTTAGCTTGAAAAGTAGACCATTATGCCAAACACAGTCGAAGGCTTGGGCAACATCGAGAAAAAATCCTGGGCAATATTTTTTATTCTCAAATAAAGAGGCAATTTTGTCTACTAACCTATGGACTTGCTGGATTGTGGAGTGACTGGCCCGGAAGCCGAACTGAGCATTTGGAATGGTGTTATGTGAGTTTACTATAGGTCTAATTCTTTTCGGAACGAGTTTTTAAAATAACTTGGCAAGTACGGGAAGTAGACTTATAGGTCTATATGAAGAAGCAACATTGGTGGGTTTACTGGGTTTGTGCATGAGTATAATTATAGAAAACTTCCATATTGCAGGAAAATAGGAAAGTCTCAACATGGAGTTGTATATATATGTTAGGAGAATAATTGTTTTTTTGGGAATGTGCTTGAGGATTTTATTTGAGATTAACTCGTATCCCAGGGATTTATTAGGTTTAAGTATTTGGAGTGTATTTGCGATTTCGTTAGGTGAAATATGTTTTATGGGGAGAGACATTGGTAATGGAGCACCAAGAAAGTTATTTATTTTGTTTAAATGAGTAGCATTAGGAGAAGTGATGGGGTGGGGTTTGAATACATTAGAAAGGTGTTCGCCAAACAGATCGGCTTTGTCGAATTCAGATAGTGCGAGTGAACCATCTGGTTTCTTAATAAGACATGAACGTTCTTTTAGTTTTAGTAGGTTTTTAGTGAATTTCCATAGAGAGCCGTCTTTTATATTTAAAGATTTGTATTTTAATTCGAAATGTTCATTTTTGTGTTTAAGTATTAATTTTTTATTGGTATTTGCTAGGTTATTAAACGTGTGCTTGTCGGAAGGAAGTCATGTTCTTTGCCAACGGGAGCGGGCTATGCGTTTCTCTGCGATTAATGAATGCTTTTATATTTAATGGCAAAAGATAAGGATTTGGTTTATGAAGGTTTTGAGGATTTGAAGTATAACAAGAATTTCGCACAGTTGTTTGAATCATGCTAACTAAATTTTGTGCTGTGGCCTCAATTTCGTTGTGAGTTTTAAAGGAGATTTTTAAATTTGAACTGTTTTCAAGTTGAGTGGAAAATTTTTCCCAGTTTATAGGACCAGAAGATAATGAATGGCATTAAGGAGAGTGGATAGGTTTTTCCGAAATTGTGAGAAGAACTGGACTGTGGTCGGAGGAGAAGTTACACACATTCTGTATAGAGTGGGATATGTGATCGGGGATTGTTGAAAAAAAGAAATCTAGTATGTCGGGTTGTCTATTTTGGTGGATAGGCCAGTAGGTGGGGTCAGTTGGAGTAATAACTTTACATCCTGATCTATGTATTGTAAAATAGACGACCTCTGGGTTTTTCAACGCGGCTACCCCAGGCAAGATGCTTTGCGTTGAAGTCACCCCCAGCAATATATGTGTGCCCTAAAGAAGATAAAAATAGGTTTAAATGAGCTTCGGATATGCCTGGACTAGGAGGGCAATATACTGCCGCTATAGTTGTTGGAATGTGTTTTAATGTAATTGAAATATTTGTTGCTTGGATAGTAGGACTTTGAAGGTGGGGAAGAGGATGGTGTTGAATTTTAGAAGAGATAAGAATATTGGTACCTACATGCGAAGTGCCATCTGGGTAGTTAATTTTGTAAATGCAGTAGCCAGGGAAAAAATGTTTAGAATTTAGAGTATAGCGCGTTTCAGAAATTAATGCTAAATCTATCAGATTTTCTATAAGGAAATTTAGTAGCTCGGATTCTTTTTTACTGAGGCCGTTAGCATTCCATAGAATGATTTTCAGAGAACTTAAGTTTGCTTGATTATTTGTCATCTTTAAGAATTAGTACGTTTATTACTGTTGTGAGTAGTTGAATTAAGGGACTTATTAATTGTTTGAATTCAGATAGGAAAGAAGATAACTGGTTGCTAGGGATAGTATCGAGAGAGATATTTTCTGGTATGTATTGGTTTTGACTTGTTTTATTGGAATAGGTGTTATTTTGAGAAATCGAGGGAAGTTGGGGGAAAGATTTTACATCAGATGGTGTACATTTGGTGGGGCAAAAGTCTTATCATTGGAGGCGGTTATCTGGTGATTTACAGCAATATTTTTATTAAACAAATTTTTTGGATTATTATTTGGTTTTTGATTAGCTTTCTGCAGGTTTTTGTGGATTGGACAGCCACGATAGTTAGCAGGGTGATCTCTCCCACATAAGACACAGGTGGCTGGAGTGCTGGTTGATTTGGAACATTCAGAAGTGGAATGAAAGGCAGCACAACGTACACATCTAGAATGATGAGCACAGTAGCCTTTCGAGTGGTCATATTATTGGCAGTTGGTATTATTTCGCGTCTTTTGTAGGGCTCCTCTATTTTTATTTTGGTGTGAAGTATCGAAGTAAGATTAAATATCTCGTTATTGATTGGCGCGGGTTCGAGGTCGACGAAAAATATCGGGAATGGACGTTTGATAGATTTGTCTAAGACATTTGAGACTTGGTGGACGTTGTAACCCAAACTTTCGATATCGGAGCCAATTTCAGTAGTTGATGTAGTGGGATGTAAATTTCGGATGACAATGCGAAATGCCTTGTTATCATGTGCTTGGTAAGTGTAATATTCGGCTTTTCCGGATTTTAAATACGTAATGACTGCTCGATAGGAGTCTGAAGTTTTTGTACTAATTTTTAAATTATTTGCGGAGGATTTGAAGAATAAATTGTCTGAGCCAACAAGGTTTATTAAATGATTATGGAGTTCTATGAAATTTCCGACATTGCGTACAAAAATCGGTGGAGGTAGCGAATTTATTTGTTCGGTAATACTGTCAGGATTATTTTTGGACACATTGTGTATTTCAGAGTCGTCTAAATTATCGCTAGTGTTGAGAATATTAAATCTGTTTGTACTGACAAAAACAGGTTTCGTTATTTTATATACTTTTTCAGAAGAACTAGTAGAAGGATGAGAACGTTTCGATTTTGATTTGGTCGTTTGAAATTTGGTGTTTGAATCATTAACATCGGGAAAGACTTCGTTTAATGAACTTGAATCACTGGATATGTGATTAGGATTAGTGGAGGATGATAACTTGGCTTTAGTAGTATTTGATTAGGTATTGCGTACGTTAGCCGTATATTTATTTGTGGTACTACTCATTATGGAATGTTGAGATAAGATATGAACTTCCACCGGCTAGGCCGAGGAGTTCGGTGCGAAAATGTAATTAACTGGCTAGATACGGTTAAACTGATAATATATATATATATATATATATATAATATAATATAATTAAAATTACCTGATTTTTCGAGAATGGAGGCTGGAGAGTGTCTGAAAGATTAATATGAAGCCGGACTGAGAAGTAGAACTTCACTCCAAATCAAATGATATTAAACACGATGAAATTAGACACAATACGAAGTAAATTTAAATACTATTAGCAGAGAATATGATATATGTCATATCTCTAACGATGCACGCGAGCGACTGAATAATAAATATTAAAAATTAAATATCTATGGTTATTATTACATTCCTTAGAAATAAAATTGTTCCAAAAAAGTATTTTCAAACTATTTTATTTTATTTAGTTGCGATTTGTTTATTAGACGAAAAAGACGTACGTTCCATTCTCCCGAGTACTGAATTTATGTGTTTAGTGTTTAATAAATATTGTTATGTTAAAAATTTGTTTGCTGATTTCGAAAGAGTATTAGTGTTTGACAAAAAATCTGGGTCACGCACGTGTGACGACGGTTCAGGCCGTCTTTTGTCTTTTGTCACACATATGCAAATATGTCAAAATAATGACCAACTTTCTCTGGTTCAAATATCAAATGAAAATAAGAATTTAAAACAAATTGTAACTGAATTATAAGCGAACAATAAACAATTACAAAAACAATTTTCGGAACTTCAAGTGAGTATTACCACTAATGATACTACTAAAATTATAAAAACATCTGATAATCGGGGTTTAAACTTGGTACCCGAACCACAAAACCTATAATATAATAAAATCAATTACATTGAACATATTAAAATAATTAAACCGGGTTGCTACATTGCCATAAATACAACTTAATCAACTTTAAATGTACTCAGAAAAAGTCATAGAAGCAAGTGATACCAATCCTACTGTTCATCGATACTCCTTTTCCGAATGATACTACCAGTCTTGATACTTTTTGATTAGCCCTCGTATATGGTTTTATTAATTATATTGTATTATTTTTTCATGCTTTTACTACATACTAATATTATGAGTACATTGTAATTAAAATGTATGATTCTAAAAATAATATTATTTTAGTTATGTATTAACAATAACATAGTACGGTTTCTCATCTATACTGAAATATTACTATAAACATAACTTATACATTATACTATATTATTTTAATAAAATAATATTTCAAATATTAGGAATTAATTATAATTTAGATGTAATATCATTGAAAATACGCTAGCTATCGGATTATAATCACCATATCAACGGTATCAATAAATACAAAAAAAAAACTCACTACGCTTCAAATCTAAAAATTAAAATAATATATTAAAAAAAAACATTTGATTTTAAATAATAAAATATGGCTACTAAATCGAATTTTGTAAGTCACCATATTAAATTCCCTATTATGAAATATATTTTATTAATATATTATACGTATACGAATTTATATAATTTATTTATATAATTTTAGATTGACAGTGATTGCAATACTGACGTAGAAAAAAACAAATTCCTTAGCTTACAATTCTCTTTAAGAAAACAAAAGAGACAGTCTATATTCGATGTTGTAGTTTTGAAAAAAAAAGAACTGCAGAAGGACTTAAATACTGTATCCGCATTTATGGAGATAATGATCAAAACGCACAAAGCGGTAAGATCTCAACTCGACGAAAACTTTAATGATTTATGTAATAAATATCAAAATAAAAAGAAAGATTTAGATAAGAATAAACGATATAAAGTATGTTTGAATATCATAGTTGATGATTTATACAAAAAATATGAAATTTTTAAGTGTCATTTAAAGAAAGAGGACGAAGAAAATAAATATTTGGAAGAAAAAATAAATAAATTGGAAAAATGCCTGAACGAAGAAAAAAAAAATATAACACGTTTAAAAGACCAAAACCATAATCATATAAAATTTTTGGAACAGAAATCTGAAGAACTCGCTAAAATAACACAAGAGTTAGTTGACAAAACTGATGAGCTTAATAAAGAAAAAGAGGTGACCCGTAAATTAAAATTAAAGTTTGATGGTTTTATACAAGAAGTAGACAATCTAAAGTTAGAAGAATTACAACAAATTAAAAATACAGATTTACTAAAAACTGAAATAGAAATAGAAAAAAACCACAATAATGAATTTAATCAAATTGTGTACGATCAACAAAATCAAGAACAAGAGCTCACAGAAGTATTAGAGGCATGGTATAATAAAATTGATTTTTTAAAACAGATGATTGAGAAAGGGAATGATCAAGCAGATATTAGTATTAATAAATTACGAGAAGAAAAATCAAATGTTGAAAAAGAAAAAATATATTTAGATAATGAAGTCAAAATAACTAGGGAAGAATTAAACAAACTGGTGCATAAAAATGAAAACCTAAACACACATATGAACGAATTACAATGCAGATTAGACACAGCTAATAAAAATAGTGATGAGAAACAGAAATTATCAATGGAAAAAATTGAAAAAATTCATAAAGATACGAAAAAATTAATAATTGATATTAATTCCAAAAACAAATTGATTATAGAATTAGAGGAAGAATTATTAGAAACAAAAAAAAGATATAAAACACAAACTGAAAAAGCTCATAATCTGAAAATACAATTAGAAAATTTGAAACATAAACAAAACCAAATGCCAATAAAATGCGAAAAAAGTCCAATTATCGATTACAATGACTACAATAGCAGCGTTGATAGAGTTCTAAAAAATGCGACATTAGGCAATGAAAAATTAAGTACTATTAATACGACCATTAAATATATAGGGAGAACGAATAATTTCAAGGAAAAGAATCAAGTATATGAAAATCTGATTACAAAGTGTAATACATTTATCAATTATTTTACAAAATAATATCTCTATTTTATATAAAATATATTGACTGAAAATAAAGACTTAAAATTATAAAATTTAGAAAATAATAATAATAGGTGTGATAAATAGGACTGCGTTATTATTTTCATTAATCGATTATATTCAATTAATAATTGAGTTGATTATTTATTTTTAAGATGATGAGAGACAGACAGATTTGCATTGGTTCCAACCATTTAATTATAGTATTATTAGGCGTGGGACGGTGGCCAGCGGTGCATAGTGAAATACACAGTTATCTACTCAAGTTTCTCAGCTACGGTTTCCTAAGAGAGCGATGCCGTGATCTAGCGGCCGTAATATTTTGTTATGCGGTGACCGTCTTTACAGCCGTCTTTTAACGGTGACCAGCTATGGTTTCCTAGAAAGTAGTGCGATCATATTCAATCGTAGTTACTCAGTACTCATTCGAGCGGTGTGTCATGCACTGGTGTAAAATGGACGATTTGGAAATCGCATCACTAATATATTTGGATGATGAAGAGTCATCAGAAGATAAAAAAAATCATTTAGAGGAGAGTGTAATGTTTAAAAAGCGCAAAACTGAGGGTCTATTTCAAATTTTAGTGCGTCGCCATCTGCATTGCAATGACGAAAAATTTAGACAAGACTTTTGGTTAACACCAATATTATTTGATTATGTGTTAAATCACATAAGAGGTAACTTAAGCATCTTCAAGGTGATATCTAAGCCATATAATATAATAGAAAGAAAAATCCCATATGCCCTGAAGAAAAGTTATGTATACTTGTGATGTAAGTACACTGAATCATATTGAACTATAAATTATACTTATAAATACGTCTATAGACTAAATGCTGGTACGTATACCGGCCAATATACCGGTCAATACATACCAATAGTATACCGGCCAATATAATATATATTTAATTTTAACTCAGTACAATTCAGTTTATTTTGAGTATCAAGAATTAAGGTATGTAAAATTCGGTTTTAAAATAATTGATAATTATTACTATATTTACAATAATTTCCATTAGACTATAACATCATTTTCTAATATTTATTGAATATTGATAAAGTAAAATAAATCGACTTATCCATATTATAATATATATCGTTATAAATTAACAATTGACAAGAAAAAAAAATTGGCTTTGGTTATTTTCAGAAAGGCAAAAGGCACTTTCTGAAACATCACCAGTGCTCGGTGTTTGTGATGACTCATATGTTTGTCTACTTGTTGCTAGTGGATGGTATCGTTTCTGAATATATGGAACACAATGTTGAACTCGGAATTGATGATGAATCGTTAGTCTGTCTTGAATATATTGAACATATTTTCAATTCAGTATTACCGACCAACGACAAAATTTGCATCCTTAATTTAACTTCTTCATACTGAGGAACTAAAATTTTTGCTATTGAGTTGAAGGATAAGTCAGTTTCGTCCAATTCATTTTAAGCAGGAGTTGCGTTTCGTTCAACTATTTGCTTCAGTAGTGGTAGTTGTTCTTCAGAGTGTGTTAATTTTGTCTTTTTTTTTATCTCTCATAATGTTGTCTTTCCTAAAATCCATTGTTTTATTATTATCTTCGTTAAATTAAATTTTGTCATTCATCTGTTTCATCAATCTAAGTAATGTTTTCTTTAATGTCAGCTTGGACATATTCCATGAATTCACACTCGTCCAATAACATCAGTAATTGTGTTTGTGTAAAGTCTTTGTGACGAAGGAAGGCTATCTAAAAATAATAGGAGAACAGACCTATTCTTTGCTGCTTCTCCGCCTGAACCAGTGCCAAGTTTAACCTTTACGTCGAATGTAATAATCTATTATGTAGGCCCATCTTTTACTGCAATCAAAACCTCTTTTTTTTTTTAATTTATTATTTTTTTTTTTTTAAAAAAATGACATTTACAATCTGTATATAAATAAACAAATACAATAAGCAAATATGACAACAATTTATGACGGGAAAGGATAATGAGAAGGGAAGCTATCCAGTGATAGGACCCTATGATTTCCCCTATTTTTTCCGGCATTTCTGCCAAGACACCAACGTCTTTTTAGATGACGAGGGGGATTTTTGGGGATTGTGACCGTGTGTTGATTCGCGATTAGTGGGTTGGAATGGAGAAGTAATTTTGAGTTGAACTTTTTGTAGTATGTTTTAACAAGATTAACAACTGATTCTATGTTTAGGTCTTTGTGAAGGGTAAGATTGGAAACATACCAAGGAGCGGACGTGATTATACGAAGAGAAATCGATTGAAAAGCTTCGATTGTTTTTAATTGCGAAGGCTTAGCACAACCCCATATTTGGGCTTCATACGACCAGATAAGTCTTAACATTGTTTTAAATAAAAGTATTTTGTTGTGGAGAGGAAGTTTGGACTTTAATACTGGACGTAATAAGTGAGATCTAGAATTTAGTGACTTTCTTTTGGATTTGAGGTGAGGACCCCAGGTAAGTCTTTTATCTAAAATAATACCCAGATATTTTACTTGGGACGAGGAGGGGATAGGTACTCCACGGAGGGTGGGAATAGGCATATTTTTTTTATTTAAAGTGAAAGGAACATGAACTGATTTGTCGACATTAATTTTAATTTTCCAGTTTGAGGATCACTTATCTATAAGATCAAGGTGTATTTGAAGAGCATTGTATGCTACGAACGGATCCCTATTAGAGGAAATAATAGATGTGTCATCAGCGTAGGTAGCTATGATTGAGGAGAAACAGTTACCATGTCGAACTTTAAAGGTTCTGTTTTCAAGGTAAGAACGAATTAGTAAGTGAAGTGGAGCAGGGAGGAGTAGTTTCAGTTTATAAAGTAAGTCAATGTGCCAAACCCTATCAAAGGTTTGAGCCACATCCAGGAAGACTGCCGGGCAATAGTTTCTATTTTCGAAGGAAGAAGAAATTTTGTCGAATATTCTGTGGACTTGTTGGATAGTTGAATGATTTGCACGAAAACCGAACTGTGCGTTGAGAATAACTTTTTGGATTTCGATTATTGGTCTAAGTCTTTTTAAAACGATCTTCTCGAATGGCTTGTCAAGCACTGGGAGTAAACTAATGGGTCTATACGACATTGCAATATTCGAGGGTTTTCCTGGTTTAAGTATTAGAATAACTATGGATAGTTTCCAGATAGCAGGGAAATAGGACAATCTTAACATGGAGTTAAAAATGAAAGTTAGGTATAGAATTGTTTTTTTGGTGAGATGTTTTAAAATCTTGTTCGTTATTAAGTCATGGCCTGGGGATTTTATGGGCTTTAATCTTTGAATCACATTAACAACTTCATTTGGGGAGACATGTTTGATAGGCAGAGACATAAGAAGTGGAGAATCGAGAAAATCGTTTATTTTGGCTATTTGTGAATTACTAGGAGTAATATCATGGTGGGGTATGAAAATATTTGAGAGGTGTTCCCCAAAAAGGTTGGCCTTGTCATGATCTGAGAGGGCTAGCGATCCGTCAGCTTTTTTAATAGGACAAGATAATTCTTTTAATTTGAGTAAGTTTTTTGTTGTTTTCCACAGTGAACTGTCTTGTGCGTTTAAAGATTTGAATTTTGTGACAAAAAGGTCGTTTTTGAATTTTTGGATTAGTTTTTTAATGGTGTTAGATAGATTTTTGAAAATTGACTTGTCTGAAGGTAATCTTTATCTTTGCCATCGGGAGCGAGCCCTATGTTTCTCAGTAATTAAAATATTTATATTCAGAGGTAAGATAAAGGATTTAAGTTTTGAGGCACATTTCTGATTAGGGGGATAAGAGCACTCATGAACAGCAGATTGAATTGACCTTACTAATTGATGGGCTGCGGATTCTATTTCATTGTATGATTTTAGGGAAACTTTTAGGTTCGTAGAATTTTCTAATTTTGATGCAAAATGATTCCAATTGATTGGACCTTTGAAAAGGGAGGGACGAGGTGGAATTAGCATAGGAAGTTCCGTAATGTTGAGTAAAACGGGTGAATGACCTAAAGATAGGTCACAAATGTTTTGAATATCATGATTTAAATGGTTAGGGATTGACGATATAAAAAAATCCAGTAAATCAGGTTGGCGGTTCAGATGAGTAGGCCAATACGTAGGTCCAGGGGGTGAAATAGTTGAAAAGCCGTTTGTTTGAATGAAATTGTAAAACAGACGACCTCTGGGGTTTTCAACTCGGCTGCCCCAAAGGAAGTATTTGTCATTGAAATCACCCCCAAATCACATTGCGAACAAATATTAGTGGAGGTATCGGAATGTGATTTGAATGTTCATCATTATTGCTGGTGATATTATTAGATGTGCCGTTCGTTTCAATAGAGATTTCGTTATCGGGTAATTGGAGAGAATTGAATATGTTTGAGCCAGCAAAGACGGGTTTGGGTTTCTTATTGTCAGATGTTCTAGTTGAGCTGGTCGAGGAAAGGTTATGTTTAGATTTATTTTTGACTAATTGAAAATCCGAGTCATTGGAATCGTCAACCTTGAAGACATCATTTGAAGTATTTGAACTAAGGGAATCGTTCTGTGAACGCTTCGAATTAATATTAGACAGGTTTGGTTTTGTTATATTAGTGCGATTGTTAGTGGTGTCGGAACTGCTCGATAACGGACTATTATTAGTGCAGGTAATTATTATAAAATAAAGATTAGAACGACCGCCAGCTGGGCCGGGGAGTTCACAGATAAGTAATAACTGCTATAATGATTAAAGACCGGTGCGATAGATGTTTAATTAAAATTACCAGGTTTCCACCGCTAGTGGGTTGGAAATAATCATTAGCTTCCGCTGGATATCAAAATCAAAAACCGCGTGACACTATGAATCGATTGGTATTAATCGTAAGGTGATCGGACACTTAATGGATCATTATATTTCAACTATAATGAGTATTATTCAATCGTTTTGCTAGCAGTCGTTAACGCGGATTGTAAATTCACTGCTGTTGATATTGGTTCCTATGGAAGAAAGGGAGATACTGGTATATAACTAAAGAGTAAAATAGGGAAAATGATAAAAAATAATACATTCAATATACCAGTACCAAAAGCAATAACCGGTACAAATAATGTTGTCCCCCATGTTATTGTAGAGAATGAAGCTTTTGCTCTGCATGAATACCTGATGAAACCTTACCCAAGACAGCAATATGTACATGATCAATCAAAAGCTGTATATAACTATCGACTATCTAGAGTTCGGAGTTGTAAAATGTTATTCTTGCATAAAAATATATTGTAACAATTATTACATTATGTTAAATTATACAAGGAAAACATTACTAAACTGAATGGCTATTTAGCAGATAAAATAAAATATTTTAATTAATATGATTATATAAATAGGTATAATATAATAATATAGTTAACTGATAGATATATTATTTTTAAAATGAAACTTTTTTTGTTTTTTCCAACTATATATTTCTAATTTTAGTATTATACACACCTGATTTTTGAAGTCTAATCTCGATATTGTTCCACAAATTTTGCTCCAACTGAGCTTATCTATAATATTTCGCTTTAATATTATATAAAGCTTCATGATTTTTGATGAAATCAATTAACTGCTCATCATATCCAGATGTCCAATTCACATTTCCACTCATCGTATATGTTAATTAATGTATTAATCCTAATAAACGGTCAACGCTACTCGCGAAAAAACGTTGAAGAACTGTTTGTCATCGCTATGACAGCCTGCATTTGACATTACGGTGACACACGACGTTCTCTAGGAAACCTACTCCAATGGTTTGCATAGACAACGTTTTAGTGACGTCATCCACCGCTAAATTACGATACCGTTCTCTAGGTTCTCTCTCGATACCTAGGAAACCTAGGAATCGGAGTGAGATAACGCTGACTAAACCGGTGAATTAGTAAACTAATATATATACTAATTTAAGTAAAAAATTTTAAATATGAAGTTTAATTATGAACTTTTATTGTATCCTAAATAATAATATATAGTAGTACTAAATAGGTTCAATGACATATTGTGAAAAACTTAATCAATATAAAATGGTCCCTAAATTATAAAAAAAAAGTACTCTATATGTGAGGAAAATTATTATCTTTTTCAATATGAAATAACGGTTTTTATAAAGTTTCAATTTAAATTATACTTGAGAAGCTTACACATAAATTGCTGTTCATCAACCAATTTATATATAATAATTATTTTATGAAGCTTGTTATTAGAATAATACATCCACTTTTCCTTAAAAAATTTTTCAAGGCCCTGAAAAAAAAAAATAATTATAATTTTTAAAGTAATTTTTATTCTCTATAGTTTAGCATAACAATTTTTAAACCAGTTATATACAACAGTTTTTTCAGACTATTTTTTTTAAAATATTATTAAAATAAAAGCAACTATGAAAATTTTTTAATATAGAATTTATTACCAGAATTGTTTACATATTACATGGGTAAGCCAGTTTTTGAAAAATATATGAATTTTAAATATGAAGTTTGATTATGAACTTTAATTGTATCCTAAATAGTAATGTATAGTAGTACTAAATAGGTTCAATGACATATTGTGAAAAACCTAATCAATTTAAAATGTTCCCTAATTTACAAAGAAAAAATAATGAATTTTACAAAATAAAAAGCATACCACATGTGAG